TCGTGTCAATTTGAAACAAGAGTGCTATCCATTCAGCCACAGTGCCACACACACTGTAAACCCGATTAGTGGAAAACTAATGTTTCTAAGACTGACCCAGAGAATATACAGGGCTACTTTGGCTTGGCCCTGTCGATTACGGTTGGTAAAAATAAATCCAATGATTTTTTTGGTCAAATTAGTTTTTTCTAAATGTTGAATGCAGCTGGTTGCCATGACAAATATGTAAATGAGCAAACGCAGATAAGTTGACCTCACTCTAGCTCGGTGCACTGTAAAAACGACAACTCAAAATTGTACACCTTACTCAGATTTTTGCATTCACTGACAATAACATTTCCAGTTGGAACTGAAACTTTCTGTTGTGAGCCACTTGAACTCACTTTCAGAAGTTCACTTCAACTTCAAAGTAAAATCAACTTAATATATCAAATAAGATTAACTTTTCATCAGAAACTTCTGAAAGTGAGTTCAAGAGGCTCACAACAGATAGTTGCAGTTCCAACTGGCAATTTTATTGTCAATGAATGCAAAAATCTGAGTAACGTGAACAATTTTGAGTTGTATTTTTTACAGTGTGGTTATAACAACATCCAATAAAACAACGGTAAATAACTTTATAGAGTTTGTAAATTTAAGAAACTTGAATACAAAAATAAAAATAGGGCAAAAAATCCACGAACAGCGAGAACTTCACTTCCTGCAAATTCAATATGAATTTTGGAGCAAAGAATTTTAACAAAACGGAGACGGACGAGACGGAGCACGTTTCAACCACAACATTTGACATTTTTTATTTAGGCGACAAATCTGTGCGGAAAGTTTAAGACACAAGTGAGAGGTTTTAAAGCTGGAGTGCGTAACTTTACAACCACAACAAAAGAACTAACTCAGTCCTGACTCGGTCTCTGGTTTTTGTGTATTTTTAGGCCTCGGTCACATCTTTAGATCAGCTTTATCAGGCAGGAAAGACAGGAAGACAGGACCACCCTCTCTCAGCCAATCAGCTCTCAGCCAATCAGCTCTCAGCCCAACACAAGTTTCAGGAGAGGAAAAATTAGCATGTTGTAGTCCGAGTTGATCCATATTTTTTTCTTTTACAAGACTCTATTGCGACAAGTATTATTTATGGAACAAAAGTTACGTACCCCAGCTTTAACGGTATAGGCAGAATAGACCTAAGAGCTTAAAGGGCCCTGTGTTGGTCTAGCAAACATGTTAAAGGGCCCGTCCCAGACTTTTGCCGTTTTAATAACACTGAGAAACAGAACTGGGATGTTCCACAGTGGCTGGGCGCTTCCTCAGTGATGGGGTGGGGAGCTCGGGGTAGAGGCGCTGCTCCTCCAGGGTAAGAAGAGTCAGTGTGGGATGCCTTTGTGTGTCTGTCCTCTGTGCTGAAGGTTGGTGGTTCGAATCCTGCTCCTGACATTTACATTTGTTTGGAGAAGACCCAAAACAACAGCACAGAGAGAAGTGTAGGAGGAATGTTTAGACCTGTGTCGACGTTTATTCTTGTTTCCTGGTCTTTTTGTCTTTGACACATTTCAAATAAATAAAAATACTGTAACATCTACACATTTTGTCTTCTGGGGTTTGGCTCTACAAGCATTGCGTTGGTAGAGACTTTTTTCCCGTTCTTCTTTACAAAACAACTCAACTGTCAGATCACGGAGCGCGTTTCTGAAGAAGCAGATTTCAGGTCATTTTGCTTTCACTTGGCTGCATTCTGTGAGGTCTTTAAATACAGTTAGAATCCTGCAAGCCACTGTGTGTGTGTGTGTGTGTGTGTGTGTTTATATGTGAGTGTGCTTATGTGTGTGTGTGCTTGTATGTGTGTGTGTGTGGGGGCGTTTGTTTATGTGTGTGTATGAATGTGCGTGTGCTTATGTGTGTGTTTACGTGTGTGTGCGTATGCGTTTCTGTGCTTATGTGTGTGTGTTGAGTGTGTGTGTTTGAGTGTGTGTGTGCTTAGATGGTGCGAGTTGTTTATGTGTGTGTGTTTGAGTGTGCGTGTGTGTTTATGTGTGTGTGTGAGAATCTGAGGGTAGGGGATGCTCCGAGATACAATAAATCCATCTTAAATCTTTTTTGACAAATGACTTCTGATATCAGCAAATCAACTATTCTTTTCTTCTGTCCTTCAAGACGACCGCTGTTGCAAAGTTAGGCCTTTACAAAAATATAGTTAATCTATAAATTCATAAACTCTGTTCCGTCTCGTCTACAGTGACCTTTGCGATGATCTTTGATAATGGCGGTGTGTGGCTGCAGGTTTTCACTCCAACCAAGCAGGAGCGCCCCATCCATCTCCAAGGCTTCAGCGTTAGACTGCACTCCTGCTTGGTTGGAATGAAAACCCGCAGCCACACTAGTTTACAGACCACTGATCTCTGAGGTCCTCCAACCTCAAAACAGTAGAAGTACACACATTTGTCCAGCAGGGGCACTGTGCTCCACAATGTCTCTACAACCGTGTGCTTTCATTTAGACCACGCCATGATAGATTTAGCTCTAAACCAGTTCGACTAAATGAGACTTATTGCGGCTTTTCTTTTCTCGTCTGTCCATATTCTTCTTAAATAATTTCACATTAAAAAACATGAATCGCCAATGACAAAAAAAAATACATGGATTTTTATTATTTGTGTCAAAAATCGATCTGCGCGGAACAGAATAAGGGTGAAAACGTGTATATGTAGATTAGTCAAATAAGCATGAATAAAACTTGGAGTGGCTGAAGGAGAAGGAATAAATATAAAATGGGTAAAAATCTCCTGAAACTGTTTTTTTAATAACCAAATATGTCCATTACTGAACAAACAGAAGCGAATGTTATTATACGGAAACGCCTTCGTCTCACTTTGTGTCACAATCCAGACGAAAAAACCAACTGAAAATCTACATATTGCACATTCATTTCTCCATATTTTGTCACTTCCTGTTTTACGTCGCACATGATTTCAGAACCGTGCAGTACAACACAAGAATTTCTAGATGATTTAAAACGACTTGAATTCAGGATCTTAAAGAAACGACCCTCGGTTTTGGTTCAAAGTAGCCTCAGTGCAGATGTTTTGTGGAAGAAGCCGATTAGATAGCTCTATGGGTGCGTAGCAACAACCTAGTAACCAAAGAGCCAATCAGAAGCAGCGCTGCTCTGTCCTTGCCATAGCCTGTGTATATAGTTTGCCGAACAGGGATGAGGCTGATCTGAACATATAAGCTAGCCGGAGCTAATTTCCTTATGTGGGCATTTGTTCTGACAAGGTTAGCATTGCGCCGTAACAGGGTGCAGACATGTTGCTAAGGTGGTTGCTAAGGCAAGCTGGATGAAGGCTGATTGGTCAATCCTTATATGTGGCTATATCTGGATTTACTAGGAGCCAGAGCACTTCCCTATAAAGCTACATAGAACTAGCGAGTTAGCATTGTCCATCTATCTCGACACATCCATACCTACTGCACATGTTTTTGTTGACAGGGAGATCAGAGCACCTTAAGAGCACAGGGAGAACATGCAAAATCCGCACAGAGAGGCTCCACCTGGCCTGGGGAGGGAAACTGGGACAATAGTTCTGCCGATCGGATAGCAAGACTTCAGCAAGACTTCAGTCGCATTTGTCTGAGTCGCTTTCCTCCCATGAAAACCAGAGGGTTCTGTATTTAAGGTCACTTCAGAAAACCAAAAATAAATCTAGAAAAATCACCTGAATTCAAGTCGTTTTTAAAATCATAACTAGATATTCCACGTCTGCAGCGTGTAGACACTTGTGGGGTTTGTCTCTTGGCATTTTTTAGTTCTCGTTTCTCATTGTTGGTCACTGCCTCTCCAGCACTTCAGGTTGAGTTTATTTGTGTGAAAGCTTCTCCCTGGTCCACGAGTCTCCTCAGTCCTTCGAACCAGACGCCAGGACCGGTGCTACAACTTCATGTTTTCATTCCAAGCAAGTCCAGAGAGTCCAGAGAGTCCAGACCCAGTGTGAGCCACAGACTGTATATTATGAATGCTCCATGGGAATGTGGAGCCAGAAAGAAGGCGATGGGCAGAGAAGGCACCGGATTGGTCAGTTATCAATGTCTTTATCCCGCTCTACGTTTCGTCTTTATGACCGAGAGAGAGAGAGTTAACCCGAACCATTTGAAGAAGAAATATTATGCATTGTTTTTGGACATTCAAAATGATAACGCGACTCTGAACGTGAAATAATACCGTAAGAAGAAAGTATATGGTGAAACAAGTACGAATGGTAAAAAAAAACAAGAAAAATGCCTGTAACTCCCATTGCAACCAGGAGTTAAATTCATCTTTCTATTTCCAAATATGAAAATTACCGGCCGCAAACACAGACGCACGAACGTAATTTCACCTGAGAAATGAGCAAAACGAATTCACGGACAATACTTTTGTTGTAGAAGTCCAAAAAGTGTGACGTCATACTGGTACAATGACGTCATACTGGTACAATGACGTCATACTGGTACAATGACGTCATACTGGTACAATGACGTCATACTGGTACAATGACGTCATCATACTGGTACAATGATGTCATACTGGTACAATGACGTCATACTGGTACAATGACATCATACTGGTACAATGACATCATACTGGTACAATGACATCATACTGGTACAATGACGTCATACTAATGACATCATACTGGTACAATGACATCATACTGGTACAATGACGTCATACTGGTACAGGACTGAGACAGGCGCTTTTCGACAGAAGGGGCGGAGCTACATGTTTGCCGGAAGTTCCCGATATTAGAGTGGATGGATGTTATGGACGTCCGTGGTGCGAGCTCTGAGTGGGCAGACATCTTGGAGACCCAGGGCGTGGCCATTATACAGTCTATGGTTTGCACAGCCTTATAAACACGTTGCTACGGTGATATTTTTCACTCTGCTCTGTGATTGGCAGGGAGCAGCCCTGGTCTCTCTGGGCGTGCTCAGTGATTGGCCGGGAGTAGCGCTGGTCTCTCTGGGCAAGCTCAGTGATTGGCTGGGAGCAGCCCGTGCCTCTGGGCGTGCTCCAAGATGGCGGTGTGGCAGAAGTAGTACTGCTCCGGTGTCTGGATGCTGAAGGCTCTCTGCGTCCTCATCCTCTTCACCGTCTGATGCACATTGAGCGAGCCCACGTCCTGCAGCTGAGCCAGGCAGATGTCCAGGGCGCAAAACGTCCCTGGAAGACACACACACACGCACACACAGGTCAACTGTGAAGCAAAACAAACTAAAGCTGAGGTACCTATCTTTCAAACCGCAAAAATTACATCTGACTCCTTCTGCAGATTGAAACGATTGGATCCAAGTTTACCGTGACGAATGTAATGCGCTCAAGTTAGCATTTAGCCTAGCTTTAGTATCTCCAGGACACTTTTTTAAAAAGAGATTATTAATCTCAATGAGATTCTCCTTGTTAAATAAAGGTTAAATAAAAAATAAATAAAATAAAACAGGATTTGGCTTTAAAGCTGCACTAACTGACTTTGGGATTTTGAAGCAGCGGTCTCGCTGGCCTCTCTCTTTCTGCTCCCCTCCCCGCACCCACGAAGCTATGGCCCCCCACACACACTCACTGTTGTTGACGGAGCTAGCGTCTCCCAATATGGATAGATCCATGTATCGTACATTTGAGCGTGGATGGCGTGACCATAGAACGATAGAACCAGGAAGCGTGGAGGAACGGGACTTTCTTTTGGATGGCTGTTTTGCTGTGTAAGCAGTAACCGGTGATGAAGACACGAAGTTTCAGGTTAGCTCCGCCGCTTGTTGTGCTAACTCAGCCGTCTATGCTAACGGACCTGTAGATTTCTCACGAAAGAGGGGGCCAGTGGTGCGCTGTGATTGGTCACAATCTGAGACCCGAAACACATTCTCTTCCTTGTTTCATCAAAACTCAATCTAAAATATAATGTCACGCCAGCACAAATCTGCGCTACTTTTTCTTCAAAAGGACGTTTATCCCAAAGCACTGCACGGACATGGATAGCACTTTCGTAATGAATCCAAAAATAAAGTCAGTTAGTGCAGCTTTAAGTAAGATTCTTATGTCAAGGCATCATTAAAGGGCCCTAATCTGTCATCATTATAATAATAATCTGCTCTTTTCCAATCCTTCTTTAACTGATAACAGTAGTTCAGAGATATTTGAATTTCTAGATTACTTTTCCAGCCTCTAAATCTTGTTATTGTTTTCATTTCGATGTCCCGCCCTCCACCGTTTCACCAATCAGAAAGTCTGTGATCCAGGCGCCAGAACTCACCGTGTGGAGCTAATCTCACTGGTAAAGTACCATGTGGAGCTAATCTCACTGGTAAAGTACCATGTGGAGCTAATCTCACTGGTAAAGTACCATGTGGCGCAGAACTAAAAAAGGTCTCGTTATGATTCTCAAATCATTAACGACAAAACAAGGAATAAAACCAGGATTTCTATCTTTGTGAAAAAGGTGTTGGTTATAGATTTGTTGTTGACTAAACTCTTGTCTATTCAGCTGTTATGGTCCCAGCTGGATTCGTCTGCATATCTGGCAACCTGAGTCAGGGAGAGTGGGACAGGCTGCAGTACCACTTTTGGCCACATTTGAATAATAAACCCTTTTCCTCTTATTCCTTCCTTTTGTATATTCTGCTCTTTTCTCTACATTTGTATTTGTCGTCACAGAGAGCGCACACACCAGGCGTTCACAGACACCGCTGGTCCGTGCTCGGTCCACAAACCTGTTCGTCCGATGCCCGCGCTGCAGTGCACCACCATGGGGGGTCCCAGGGGGGGCCCGCTCCAGTGGCCCAGGCCCCTCAGGGTCTGCTGCTGCTGCTTCACGGCGCTCAGGAAGTCTATGAGCGACACGGCGGAGGACGGAACGCCGTAGTCCGGCCAGCTCAGGAACTGGAAGTGACTGACCTGCCGCTGCTCACACGTCTGCACACAACACAACCATCTATGTATCGCACACACAACACAACCATCTATGTATCGCACACACAACACAACCATCTATGTATCGCACACACAACACAACCATCTATGTATCACACACACAACACAACCATCTATGTATCGCACACACAACACAACCATCTATGTATCACACACACAACACAACCATCTATGTATCGCACACACAACACAACCATCTATGTATCACACACACAACACAACCATCTATGTATCGCACACACAACACAACCATCTATGTATCGCACACACAACACAACCATCTATGTATCACACACACACAACACAACCATCTATGTATCGCACACACAACACAACCATCTATGTATCACACACACAACACAACCATCTATGTATCGCACACACAACACAACCATCTATGTATCACACACACAACACAACCATCTATGTATCGCACACACAACACAACCATCTATGTATCACACACACAACACAACCATCTATGTATCGCACACACAACACAACCATCTATGTATCACACACACAACACAACCATCTATGTATCGCACACACAACACAACCATCTATGTATCGCACACACAACACAACCATCTATGTATCACACACACACAACACAACCATCTATGTATCGCACACACAACACAACCATCTATGTATCACACACACAACACAACCATCTATGTATCGCACACACAACACAACCATCTATGTATCACACACACAACACAACCATCTATGTATCGCACACACAACACAACCATCTATGTATCACACACACAACACAACCATCTATGTATCGCACACACAACACAACCATCTATGTATCGCACACACAACACAACCATCTATGTATCACACACACAACACAACCATCTATGTATCGCACACACACAACACAACCATCTATGTATGTATCGCACACACACAACACAACCATCTATGTATGTATCGCACACACACAACACAACCATCTATGTATGTATCGCACACACAACACAACCATCTATGTATCGCACACACAACACAACCATCTATGTATGTATCGCACACACAACACAACCATCTATGTATCGCACACACAACACAACCATCTATGTATGTATCGCACACACAACACAACCATCTATGTATGTATCGCACACACAACACAACCATCTATGTATCGCACACACAACACAACCATCTATGTATCGCACACACACAACACAACCATCTATGTATCGCACACACAACACAACCATCTATGTATCGCACACACAACACAACCATCTATGTATCACACACACAACACAACCATCTATGTATCGCACACACAACACAACCATCTATGTATCACACACACAACACAACCATCTATGTATCGCACACACAACACAACCATCTATGTATCGCACACACAACACAACCATCTATGTATCACACACACACAACACAACCATCTATGTATCGCACACACAACACAACCATCTATGTATCACACACACAACACAACCATCTATGTATCGCACACACAACACAACCATCTATGTATCACACACACAACACAACCATCTATGTATCGCACACACAACACAACCATCTATGTATCGCACACACAACACAACCATCTATGTATCACACACACACAACACAACCATCTATGTATCGCACACACAACACAACCATCTATGTATCACACACACAACACAACCATCTATGTATAGCACACACAACACAACCATCTATGTATCGCACACACAACACAACCATCTATGTATCACACACACAACACAACCATCTATGTATCGCACACACAACACAACCATCTATGTATCACACACACAACACAACCATCTATGTATCGCACACACAACACAACCATCTATGTATCACACACACAACACAACCATCTATGTATCACACACACAACACAACCATCTATGTATCGCACACACAACACAACCATCTATGTATCGCACACACAACACAACCATCTATGTATCACACACACACAACACAACCATCTATGTATCACACACACAACACAACCATCTATGTATAGCACACACAACACAACCATCTATGTATAGCACACACAACACAACCATCTATGTATCACACACACAACACAACCATCTATGTATCACACACACAACACAACCATCTATGTATCACACACACAACACAACCATCTATGTATCACACACACACAACACAACCATCTATGTATCACACACACAACACAACCATCTATGTATCACACACACAACACAACCATCTATGTATCACACACACAACACAACCATCTATGTATCGCACACACAACACAACCATCTATGTATCGCACACACAACACAACCATCTATGTATCACACACACAACACAACCATCTATGTATCACACACACAACACAACCATCTATGTATCACACACACAACACAACCATCTATGTATCACACACACAACACAACCATCTATGTATCACACACACAACACAACCATCTATGTATCACACACACAACACAACCATCTATGTATCGCACACACAACACAACCATCTATGTATCACACACACACAACACAACCATCTATGTATCACACACACAACACAACCATCTATGTATCACACACACAACACAACCATCTATGTATCACACACACAACACAACCATCTATGTATAGCACACACAACACAACCATCTATGTATCACACACACACAACACAACCATCTATGTATCGCACACACAACACAACCATCTATGTATCACACACACACAACACAACCATCTATGTATCGCACACACAACACAACCATCTATGTATCGCACACACAACACAACCATCTATGTATCACACACACAACACAACCATCTATGTATCGCACACACACAACACAACCATCTATGTATGTATCGCACACACACAACACAACCATCTATGTATGTATCGCACACACACAACACAACCATCTATGTATGTATCGCACACACAACACAACCATCTATGTATCGCACACACAACACAACCATCTATGTATGTATCGCACACACAACACAACCATCTATGTATCGCACACACAACACAACCATCTATGTATGTATCGCACACACAACACAACCATCTATGTATGTATCGCACACACAACACAACCATCTATGTATCGCACACACAACACAACCATCTATGTATCGCACACACACAACACAACCATCTATGTATCGCACACACAACACAACCATCTATGTATCGCACACACAACACAACCATCTATGTATGTATCGCACACACAACACAACCATATATTTATTTATGTTTCGCACTGAGTCACAACAGTGCGATAACACAGTGTTACCTCTGTGTTGTGTTGCCCCAGTGTGGTGTGTTACCTCTGTGTTGTGTAGCCCCAGTGTGGTGTGTTACCTCTGTGTTGTGTAGCCCCAGTGTGGTGTGTTACCTGTGTTGTGTAGCCCCAGTGTGGTGTGTTACCTCTGTGTTGTGTAGCCCCAGTGTGGTGTGTTACCTCTGTGTTGTGTAGCCCCAGTGTGGTGTGTTACCTCTGTGTTGTGTAGCCCCAGTGTGTGTTACCTCTGTGTTGTGTTACCTCTGTGTTGTGTAGCCTCAGTGTGTGTTACCTCTGTGTTGTGTAGCCTCAGTGTGTGTTACCTCTGTATTGTGTTACCTCTGTGTTGTGTAGCCCCAGTGTGGTGTGGTTGTAGTGAGGATGGCGGTCCACTCTCTGGTTGACAACAGCGATGAGTCCGTACACTTCCTGTCCCCCGTCCTCTAGAGGCCAGTACTGTCCACACTTCCTCCTGCTGCCCTCCTCCGTCCTGAAAACACACACATTAACCACTTCATCTCCTCCGTCCTGAAAACACACACATTAACCACTTCATCTCCTCCGTCCTGAAAACACACACATTAACCACTTCATCTCCTCCGTCCTGAAAACACACACTTTAACCACTTCATCTCCTCCGTCCTGAAAACACACACTTTAACCACTTCATCTCCTCCGTCCTGAAAACACACACTTTAACCACTTTATCTCCTCCGTCCTGAAAACACACACATTAACCACTTCATCTCCTCCGTCCTGAAAACACACACACTTTAACCACTTCATCTCCTCCGTCCTGAAAACACACACTTTAACCACTTCATCTCCTCCGTCCTGAACACACACACACTTTAACCACTTCATCTCCTCCGTCCTGAACACACACAATTTAACCACTTCATCTCCTCAGTCCTGAAAACACACACTTTAACCACTTCATCTCCTCCGTCCTGAACACACACACTTTAACCACTTCATCTCCTCCGTCCTGAACACACACAATTTAACCACTTCATCTCCTCCGTCCTGAACACACACACACTTTAACCACTTCATCTCCTCCGTCCTGAAAACACACACTTTAACCACTTCATCTCCTCCGTCCTGAAAACACACACACTTTAACCACTTCATCTCCTCCGTCCTGAAAACACACACATTAACCACTTCATCTCCTCCGTCCTGAAAACACACACACTTTAACCACTTCATCTCCTCCGTCCTGAACACACACAATTTAACCACTTCATCTCCTCCGTCCTGAACACACACAATTTAACCACTTCATCTCCTCCGTCCTGAACACACACACACTTTAACCACTTCATCTCCTCCGTCCTGAAAACACACACTTTAACCACTTCATCTCCTCCGTCCTGAAAACACACACTTTAACCACTTCATCTCCTCCGTCCTGAAAACACACACTTTAACCACTTCATCTCCTCCGTCCTGAAAAACACACACTTTAACCACTTTATCTCCTCCGTCCTGAAAACACACACATTAACCACTTCATCTCCTCCGTCCTGAAAACACACACACTTTAACCACTTCATCTCCTCCGTCCGAAAACACACACTTTAACCACTTCATCTCCTCCGTCCTGAACACACACAATTTAACCACTTCATCTCCTCCGTCCTGAACACACACACACTTTAACCACTTCATCTCCTCCGTCCTGAAAACACACACTTTAACTACTTCATCTCCTCCGTCCTGAAAACACACACTTTAACCACTTTATCTCCTCCGTCCTGAAAACACACACATTAACCACTTCATCTCCTCCGTCCTGAAAACACACACACTTTAACCACTTCATCTCCTCCGTCCTGAACACACACAATTTAACCACTTCATCTCCTCCGTCCTGAAAACACACACACTTTAACCACTTCATCTCCTCCGTCCTGAAAACACACACTTTAACCACTTCATCTCCTCCGTCCTGAAAACACACACTTTAACCACTTTATCTCCTCCGTCCTGAAAACACACCCATTAACCCCTTCATCTCCTCCGTCCTGAAAACACACACACTTTAACCACTTCATCTCCTCCGTCCTGAAAACACACACTTTATCCACTTCATCTCCTCCGTCCTGAACACACACACACTTTAACCACTTCATCTCCTCCGTCCTGAACACACACAATTTAACCACTTCATCTCCTCAGTCCTGAAAACACACACTTTAACCACTTCATCTCCTCCGTCCTGAAAACACACACACTTTAACCACTTCATCTCCTCCGTCCTGAACACACACAATTTAACCACTTCATCTCCTCCGTCCTGAACACACACACACTTTAACCACTTCATCTCCTCCGTCCTGAAAAACACACACACTTTAACCACTTCATCTCCTCCGTCCTGAACACACACACTTTAACCACTTCATCTCCTCCGTCCTGAACACACACACTTTAACCACTTCATCTCCTCCGTCCTGAAAACACACACACTTTAACCACTTCATCTCCTCCGTCCTGAAAACACACACACTTTAACCACTTCATCTCCTCCGTCCTGAACACACACACTTTAACCACTTCATCTCCTCCGTCCTGAAAACACACACACACTTTAACCACTTCATCTCCTCCGTCCTGAAAACACACACTTTAACCACTTCATCTCCTCCGTCCTGAACACACACACACTTTAACCACTTCATCTCCTCAGTCCTGAAACACACACACACTTTAACCACTTCATCTCCTCAGTCATGAAAAACACACACACTTTAACCACTTCATCTCCTCCGTCCTGAAAACACACACACTTTAACCACTTCATCTCCTCCGTCCTGAACACACACACTTTAACCACTTCATCTCCTCCGTCCTGAAAACACACACTTTAACCACTTCATCTCCTCCGTCCTGAACACACACACACTTTAACCACTTCATCTCCTCAGTCCTGAAACACACACACACTTTAACCACTTCATCTCCTCAGTCATGAAAACACACACACTTTAACCACTTCATCTCCTCCGTCCTGAAAACACACACACTTTAACCACTTCATCTCCTCCGTCCTGAACACACACACTTTAACCACTTCATCTCCTCCGTCCTGAAAACACACACACTTTAACCACTTCATCTCCTCCGTCCTGAAAACACACACACTTTAACCACTTCATCTCCTCCGTCCTGAAAACACACACTTTAACCACTTCATCTCCTCCGTCCTGAACACACACACTTTAACCACTTCATCTCCTCCGTCCTGAAAACACACACACTTTAACCACTTCATCTCCTCTGTCCTGAAAACACACACACTTTAACCACTTCATCTCCTCCGTCCTGAACACACACACTTTAACCACTTCATCTCCTCCGTCCTGAAAACACACACACTTTAACCACTTCATCTCCTCAGTCCTGAAACACACACACACTTTAACCACTTCATCTCCTCCGTCCTGAACACACACACTTTAACCACTTCATCTCCTCCGTCCTGAACACACACACTTTAACCACTTCATCTCCTCCGTCCTGAAAACACACACACTTTAACCACTTCCATGTTTTCATCCTTCTCAAAACACATTTCTCAAACATTATTTAAAAAGTGTATAAAAAGAGTTTATAAACAGTTTATTGTTACGTCAGAAAATGAAAAGGAGGAGGTTTGACATTTTTTCTGGGCGGGTCCCGGCTGCTGCAGTCTCACTCCCAGGTGGTGGGGGTGTACCCGGAAAGAGAATTACCCAATGCTTTTGTATGGCGTCTTTTCTCTTGAAAACGGCTTTACAGGATGGTCCAAAAGTGGCTCTCGGTCCAAAAGTGGTTCTCGGTCCAAAAGTGGTTCTTGGTCCAAAAGTGGCTCTCGGTCCAAAAGTGGTTCTTGGTCCAAAAGTGGCTCTCGGTCCAAAAGTGGTTCTTGGTCCAAAAGTGGCTCTCGGTCCAAAAGTGGTTCTTGGTCCAAAAGTGGTTCTTGGTCCAAAAGTGGTTCTTGAAGATAAAAGTGATGTCACATTAGTTTCAACACCGGAGATAGGCGTTAACCAGATCCCGTCAGACCTCTGAAGCTCAGCAGGGCAGGGCCTGGTTAGCACTGTGATGGGAGACCTCTGGGAACAGCAGGTGCCACAGTGGGGCGGCTGCGGCTGTGAAGTGCCAAACTGTGGTTGTGTCCTTAGGCAAGACACTTCCCCCACATTAGAATGAGTCTGGTGTGTGTGTGAGTGGTTGGTGGTGGTGGGAGGGGCCGATGGCACAGACTGGTTGCCTCGCTTCTGTCAGTGTGCCCCAGGGCAGCTGTGGCTACAGTAGTTTATCACCACAGTGTTTGGACTGAATGAAGAGACTTTGAGATTCCTGAAAAGCTCTGTACAAAACCGATGCATTATTATTATTATTTAAAACTATACAAGAATAAATTGAATTGAATTAAATAGTTTGGATGCTTCTGACGGCTCGAGCTGGAACAAACAAGATGCAACAGTAAAGTTGGGTACCCCAGCTTTAAGAACATAACACCACCAGACTTGCCTGGTTGTCATGACGACCACCAGCACGTTTTGCTCCCAGACCATCCTCCAGAAGTCTGCGTAGGTCCGTTCCAGAGGCCCTGAACCCAGAGACCAGCTCAGAGTCAAACACAGCCTCAGGTCAGACACAGATAAAGAACTTTACCTTGAGTTCCGATGTAGGCGTGTTTGTGTTTGTAGCCGTCCATGAAGCTGGCGTTGATGTAGTCCGACCGCTGCACAGAAATCACAGGTCTTATTCATTTCTACTTTATTTTTGAGTTTTTGTCCAAAGAGTTTGAGCGGTAAAATATGTCCTACTTCAAAAACATTAACAATTATAATGCAACAGAAAAGATTAAATACAAAAATAACTGAATAAAAAATATAGAAAAAATGTATATACAATAATAAAATATAGATGAAAAAGATTGAATAATCAAAACAATACTAATAATAAACATTAAATACTGTATCTTAAACTTTAACCGTAAATCACATGGGAAAGTGTCAGTAGTTAATTACATGATAAATGACTAATGAGTGATTAATAATTACAAATGATGAGGTAATTAACCATAAAGGAAACTCTACACTGAAAAAAGTTATGATAAATAAGTTATAAAAAAAACAATATTCTCCAATGGGACTAAGAAAAATTATATTGTTTTAAAAAAATACAGAAATGTGGCCTTTGAAATGAGAAAATACAGAAACAGTTCATGAAATAGGTAAGTTAGTAATGTTCATTTAAATAGTGTATTTTATAGATCAAAGTCACCAAAAGAACAGGTCAACGGAGAAGACTGAAGCCGGACCAGAACACACTGGTCCATCACAGCCTCCGACCCAACACCCTCCACTCAATACTTTAAGACCTATTGTACATGGGTTTAGTGGTAGGGGAAACCGGAGCACCCGGAGGAAACCTATGCAGGCACATTGAAAACATGTGCCACTGGAGAATCTGGTTTTACGTCAGAATTAACTCAGATTAATTAAATATTAATTAAATAAAACAAAAAACACTTGATTTAAGCAATAATGACGTCATATTTGATCATTTTTTGCAGTGTAATTAACACTTAACTAGCGGTTAATTAGTGATGGAGATTCGACAGTGGAACCATAAGCACAAACTCACCTGGTTGCGTCGCGGTTTTAGCTTGACTCTGGTCTGGTCGAGGCACAGCACGTCTCCGTAGCGGTTTCTGTCCTGGTTGTACACGGCTCTGAAACACACATGGTACAATCACATGGTACAATCACATGGTACACTGTCCACAGTTATTTGGATTTAAACAAAAGATGATTATAAAGTTACACAGAGTTTTATAAACTTCTACTGATGTGTTGGGTTCACATTTTAGAACTAAATAAATGCCGTTGTCTCCCCCTGGACTGTAACCCTAACGTGTGGGGTCTCCCATGGTACACAGGTCTTCATGCCCCTGGTAGAGCCTCCCATGGTACACAGGTCTTTATGGTGCCGGGCCTTAGCCCACGGGACCCAGGGCTCAGCCTGACGGGGAGGACGTGGGCAGTCCCTCCTGTGGACCCACCACCCACAGAGGGGTCTTTGGTGGTCGGGTGCTGAGAGGACTGGGCAGCAGGCGAAGGCGGAGACCTCAACGACCCAGTCACACTCAACATGTGGCTCTTGGGACGTGGAACGTCACCTCACCGGGGGAGGAGCCTGAGCTTGTGGGGGAGGAGCCTGAGCTTATGGGGGAGGAGCCTGAGCTCGTGGGAGAGGAGCCTGAGCTTGTGGGGGAGGTTGAGGGACACCGACTAGAGATAGTTGGCCTCACCTCCATCTGAACACTGACTGTGAGTGTTGTTACGGTCTGAATACTGTTAGGTGTTGTTAGGGTCCGAGCACTGACTGTGAGTGTTGTTAGGTGTCGTTACGGTCTGAGCACTGACTGTGAGTGTTCTTAGGTGTCGTTACGGTCTGAGCACTGACTGTGAGTGTTGTTAGGTGTCGTTACGGTCTGAGCACTGACTGTGAGTGTTCTTAGGTGTCGTTACGGTCTGAGCACTGACTGTGAGTGTTGTTAGGTGTCGTTACGGTCTGAGCACTGACTGTGAGTGTTGTTAGGTGTTGTTACGGTCTGATCACTGACTGTGAGTGGTGGAAGGTCCCGGGCGGCTGCTCCCTCCGCAGCTCCTCGTAGTCCTGGTGGATCCCGACTCGTTGTAGTCTTCCCAGGTGTGCGGCCAGCTCCAGGGGCGTCATGGCGTCCGGTCCTGGGACGTGGACGCTCTGCTCCTCCTCCTCCGGCACTGGGATGGACACCAGCTCGTCCACCGGGTCCACGGCGCCGTTCTGCCCCGACAGGAGCTGCTGGTTGGAGGAGGGAGCGTCCAGAGGCAGGAGGCCCCCGAGGTGTTGGGGCAGGCAGTCTCTGGGCAGGTGCTGCTTCAGCTCCACCGTACGCACCATCTGCACCTGGGGCGGGGGGCAGGGGGAGGGGGGGATGCAGAGGGAGGGGCAGGGGGCATATGGAAGTCAGTGTTTGATTCAGTTTATAAGTAAGTAATGTTTATTTATATAGCACCTTTCTCAGACCAGAGTCAAAGCGGTTTACAATTATGGACATTAGTCTCTCACACAGAGATGGGAGGGGCCAGTACAGGAGGCACAGACCTATTGGTTTTAGTGGTATAGGGGAAACCGGAGCACCCGGAGGAAACACAGATATATTTGTATTGAGTGAAAGAGAGTGAGAGAGTGAGGGTAAGAGTGAGAGAGAAAGAGAAACAGAGAGAGAGAGAGAGAGAAAAGAGAGAGACAGAGACAGAGACAGAGAAAAAGAGACGGAGAGAGAGACAGAGAGAGAGAGACAGAGAGAGAGAGACAGAGAGAGAGAGAAAGACAGAGAGAGACAAACAGAGAAGATTCATTATTCAATCCAATTTATAGTGGTATCGCCCTAAATCACAACTGTGGTTATCTCGGAGAACTTTACAAAACTGTTGATTCAGAAAAACACAGATCAGAGAATCAAACTTGCCCTAGTCCCAGACCCTCATGCTGCTAGAACAGAAGTAAACACAAAAGAGTACACAAATATATAAAGTTAGATTCTCTGTGGAGTTTCTCTACGACGTCACACTTGAATTTAATCAATATGATTAGTCAAATAAAACATAAAAATGACAGTGACACATGTATATTTACCCTCTCCCTGAGTTTCTCCTTGAGCAGCAGACTGAGGAGGTTGTAGGGAACTCGGAACCAAACGGGAGCCCCCACAATCAGCACCTTCTTCAGCCGCGCAGGGAACGCCCCCTGGTGGACAGACAGGAGACACACTTTTACAATGATCACAGACATTCTGCTACAGAGATAGTTTCAGAAATATAACTGCGAGATCTTTGTCCTAGAACTACAATACCCAGAAAGCATCAGCCCCGTCATCATACGCTGAGGTTAGCTTTCCCCACGTATACACCAGTGGGGGCGGGTCCCAGCTCAAAAGTGCAAGCATGTGCGCTGACATGCTGCAATACCACCCCGTGGACACAGATTTGAGCCACAATGCAGTCCATATACATTTCTCCATTGTGAGATGAATACATTAATTTACTCACTTACTAAAGGAATAATCGTGGATCCGTACCTTTAATAAGTTGAGTATTTTCTTGCTGAGGTCCAGCTCAAAGTTTGTGTAGTTGGATCCCGCCATGTCGTAGATGAAGACCAGGCCGTTCCTCTGCGTCTCAAAACTGCGGAAGAACATTACATTTAAAAAGCCAATTCAGAAACCAATGTGTAATGTGTAAATAATACTAAGATTTATGGATATGTTATTGGTACAAATGCTTAGATTAGCTTAGCATAGCTTAGCTTAGCATGTCCGGGTCTGTGTGTAAACTGGATCACTGCAGTTGTATATCTATAGTATACACTTTTACAGAGTTTGTGTAATTTCTAGTGTGTGTGACTGATTTCTGTGTGTGGGCGAAACACGGCAAGGCAACTTTATTTACTGTATACAACACAGTTCATACAAAAGGCTGAACAAAATAACATCAAACAAGGCATTAAACTCTAATCATATTAAATTGAAACAAGTGAAGATAAAATTGTTCAGTTGTATCACAGAAAATATAGAACTGTTTTTAACCTGGATTTAAACATTGAGTAGAAGCCTGTCTCACATTTTCAGGAAGACCTTTCTAGGCTTAGCTGCATAAATCTGATACACAGCCTCCCCATGTTTAGTCCTGACTCTGGGACCAGCAGGAGGCCAGTCCCTGTGCTCCCCAGATTTGGTTCATATGGCACTAACATGTCACAGATGTTCTTTGGTGACGTGTTTAAATGGGTGCAAATAACCACAAAGTTCCATTAAAACAATTCATATTAAACCCGTCTCTGTCCGATATAACTGATCTTCATCGCACCCAAATGCCCCGAACATCTCCCTCACAATGGCCACTCTGTCACTTCCTCTCCCTCTGTGCACAACCTCGGCGTTATACTGGACGCCTTCTTCACCTCCAGGCTCGATTACTGCAACAGCCTCCTCTACTGTACGCTCTCCCTTCCACTCATCTCCAAAGACTGCTATACATCCAGAACTCTGCCGCCCGCCTGCTCAGCCTCACCCGGCGGACCTCCAGGGACCACATCACCCCTGTCCTCAAACAACTCCACTGGCTCCCTGCTCCATGCTGCATCCAATACAAGGTCCTGCTCCTCCTCACCTACAAGTCCCTCCATAACCTGGCCCCCTCTTACCTCTCTGACCTCCTCCATCAGCACTGTCCCTCCCGCCGCCTCAAACCCACAGACTTAGACCTCACTCCCTCAGACCCACAGACTTAGACCTTCTCACTCCCTCAGACCCACAGACTTAGACCTTCTCACTCCCTCACTCCCTCAGACCCACAGACTTAGACCTCCTCACTCCCTCAGATCCACAGACTCCCCCCTCATCACTCCCCTCAGGACTAAACACCGACCCTTGGGGGACCGAGCCTTAGCCGCAGCTGCCCCCACTCTCTGGAACTCACTCCCACCTCACATCAGGAACTCTGACTCACTACAGAACTTCAAATCATCTGTTCAAAACTGCCTACACTTATCTTAATATTTTTAGTTTTTTAGTTTTTTTAAAGCGTCTTTGAGTGTCCAAAAAAGCGCTATATAAGTGCGATGTATTATTATTATTATTATTATTATTATTATTAAACGGTTGTGACTTTACCGCAGTGTTCCCCAACCGTTTTGAACCATGACACACCCTTCTCATTGGATAAAAAAATGTCAGGACACACCACCCGCTAAAACTGATGCAAAAATACAACTCTGCAGCTTTTATAGTAGAAAACAAAGTCATCAAAGTGAATTCAAAAGAAAATCAAAACAAGCTCAATCATCTGTTCTGAATCTTCTCACATCATTTGGACCAATTAGATTAAGTCTCACGGCACACAAACAGGCCCAGGCCCACTGGTTGAGAAACACTACCTCTCCACGGCGCGGTCCAGGAGGTAGAACAGCGCCTGCAGGACCACGTGGTTCCCGGTTTTATTGGGATGGTGCAGTTTGGCCGTGTACAGAGCGATGGAGGCTCCCGAAGGATCGCGGGCGTTCTGCCAGAGACAACAGAAATAATAGTTTTGCATGAAAATGGTGTTAGATTTGACAAGAAATGTGAAGGATATTTAGTTTTAATAGTTTGAGTTACTTTGAGTTTCAGAATAATCACAAAAAAATCAATTTTGTGTACATTTGATCTTATTCACTATCCATGTCTTTGAATTTAAACGGTAGAATGGGTTTTGTCCACCAGGGGGCGCCAGTGCTCATCTGTCAACAGTCTCTGCTCCACTAAACAAGACATTCAATAGTTCTTTTGTGCGTGGTTTTTACATATTTGTCGTAAAAAGATAAATGAAATTAAACTGACCCAAGACCTGGCAGCAGAATTATGGTTATGAAGAAGATTTATTTTTATATATAGCACATTTCTTGTAGTACTGCAGCTTCATACTAGGTTACAACTCAAGTTACACATATATATTTAATTAAATAGAGGCCTGGCCGTGGAACTACTTTGACGGAAAACACAAAAAGGTTATTTGAATATCGAGGACTTGTTATTTTGAGTCCAAGATGACAGTTTATTATTGTGCAAAGAGAGCCCCACTGTGGCACCTGGCGTTCCCACAGGTCTCCCATCACAGTACTGACCAGGTCCTGCACAGCTTAGTTTTTGAGGTATGGCAACATCATGCAAGTTAGGCCATGCAACATTCTATTAAATATTATCCACAAGTAAATCCAGGTTATGTGTGGAGTTTGCATGTTCTCCCCATGCCCTGGTTTGCCCTGCCACTAAAAGCATCTAAGATTAAGATGAAGATGAAGAGATTGTTTATAAGTCCCACAGTGAGGAAATGTCAGTGTTGCATCGCTACAGAATCAGTAGGAATGGTGATCCAGGACACTTTAACATTCTACAACATGTGTGACATTTATCAACACGTGTTCTATGTTCTTTCTGTTGATTCTCTGATCTGTGTCGGTGATTTCAATGGTTTTGTTAAGTCTCTGAGATGATGCTGAAATACAAGAATCATTTGTATTTTATTGTATTTTATTGTGTATTGTAGGAATGAGGAGAACACAGCACAAGTAAAATGAACAACTCTTTACTGAGAAAAATGAAATCTCTAAATTTAGCATAATAAAGAGGCAAGAATTAAGAATAAAGTCTCTAAACTGGAGATCTCTGACGTATAACATACTTTATACTCCAGTGCAAGGAATACACAGTACACATATATGTACGTGTACATGTGGTCAGGCTGAGGGGATGGGACAGAGTGACTCAGATGTGACTGGAGCAATAGTTCAGTGTCTGAGTGCGACAGAATGTACCGGCAAATAAACAAAAACCAAACAGTTCTAGGTTCTGTTTGTCCTCCACATGTTTAACTCTGATCTCAGCAAAACCATCCAAACTTCAGAGTGGTCCTGTAGATGTTCTCCCTGTGCGTTTCTTCAAAGGCTAAAAATAGAGTTTCAGGAGAAGAGGAAATGAGGATGTGAGACGTCAGAGAAGACACCGAGAGGGAAAAGACTGGAGTCACCGAGAGACCGACAGAAAACAGCTGCGTCACGAGGCTTTTGACTTTAACTTTTCATGTTTTAGAAAGTTAAATTATGTCTCGGTAGAAAATATGTGGTGAAACAAGGAGAAAGATACAGCTTGTAATTCCCTAAGCAACCACCAGAGGGAGTAGAATTTGTTTTTGTTTTTAAACTGCTGAGTGTGACGTCATACTGTTACAGGACTGAGACAGAAGGGGCGGAGCTACAGGTTTGTGCCAGAAGCTTTAGCGTGGATGGATCTAAACACAGCTCCAGGTCTGACAGAGAGGGACCAATGTAGGAACAAGGTTAGCAGCTCGAACAAGTCCGTTTAGAAAAATACTGTATCCATAAAACATTTGAACAGGATCTACTGAATACGTCATTTTACTGTCATAGGCCGATGACAGTAACTCGACAGCCAACAGCCAACAGCTAAAGCCAACAGCTAAAGCCAACAGCCAACAGCTAAAGCCAACAGCCAACAGCTAAAGCCAACAGCCAAAGCCAACAGCTAAAGCCAACAGCCAACAGCTAAAGCCAACAGCCAAAGCCAACAGCTAAAGCCAACAGCCAACAGCCAACAGCTAAAGCCAACAGCTAAAGCCAACAGCTAAAGCCAACAGCCAAAGCCAACAGCTAAAGCCAACAGCCAACAGCTAAAGCCAACAGCCAACAGCTAAAGCCAACCGCCAACAGCTAAAGCCAACAGCCAACAGCTAAAGCCAACCGCCAACAGCTAAAGCCAACCGCCAACAGCTAAAGCCAACCGCCAACAGCTAAAGCCAACAGCCAACAGCCAACAGGCCTGTTGGGTAGATAATGGAAAAAATAACCAAAGTCTAAGTTGGAAGCTGCTAGCTGTCGAGTTAGCCACAGGACGCGTCATCGGCCTACCACATTTTACTGACGTAGGCCGCAGCTCAACTCGACAGGAAAGGTACTGCTATCACACAGGAGCCGTGTACAGACTGACCAATCAGGAGCCATCGTGGAGTTTGTATTTCTGTGAACGGACTGTGGGTGGAGTAGAAATAAGAATCAGGCCGTGATTAGATTTGTATCGACATTTTGATTGATTGTTTGTGGCCCCTGGCTCTGAGTCAGACTGAAGTAGCGCAGAACGCATTGTTGCCATGGGTTACTTGTGTGAGCGTGGATGGAGCTGAACGACCACGCACCACATGTTGGGAAACGCAGGTCTATAAACGGCTCTATCCCGTCTCATACTAAGGAACTGTCTGCTTTGGGTTTTAATCCCAGTCGGAACAGGGCCTTTCTAAGTAGAATTTGCATGTTCTCCCCGTGTCTGTCAAGTCCTTAAAGTGTTGTTGTTTGAATCCTGGTTTGACTTTAAAAACCAACGAACACCAAGACGCAGGTTCAACAGTTTATTATTATTATTATTATTATTGGTAGTAAGAGGAGATTAGGAAGATATTTTAGATCTGGGCGAGACTGACTTGACAGTGTCTGCGTAGGTTTCCTCCAGGTGCCCCGGTTTCCCTAAAAAAACATGTACGATCGGCGAAGTCCTCCAGCTAGGAGATAGGTTCCCGGGCACTGTTACTACGGCGACCACTGCACCTGACAGACGCCCTCGTCCAGGGGTGTCCAAACATTTTAGTAAGACTAGTCCAGGGGCCGACATCACAGACTGAAAAACTGTCTTGACTGACCTCGGGCTGTTCTGAGCTTCATGATGATCTATAACAAAGCTGAAGTTGGCTGGATGACACAGTGAACTTGTGTTTATGATCTCACAGACTACCTTTGCTACCAAGGCAGAGGCCTGCCTGCTTCTCATTCCTTCTGTTCTGAAGCAACACTGACATTTCTCATTTCTGCCCTCCCTGACACATGTAGAGCAGGGGACTCCAACCTTTGTCAATCAGAGAGCTACTTTTACACAACAGAAGCGGCCGAGAGCTACTCCTTTTCACTGTCATTCTAAAAATCTATCGACAAAAGATGGAAAACGGATGGAAAATGTGCCATAAAACTGTATAACCCTGTGTTTATACTAAAATAATAGATGTGGGATTTCTAATTCCTTTGGGGAGCTACCTGAGAGGGGCTGAGAGCTACTGGTATCTCCCGAGCTACAGGTTGGAGAGCCCTGGTTCAGAGTCTGTGAACGTGAATGTGAGGGTCAGTGTTTTCTCACCAGGACCGTGAACTTCCCGCTGAGCAGCTCGGACCGGAGCGGCTCCTCGTGAGGCTGCAGTCGCACGATTCCTTCTTTCAGACGAGTTTCCTGGAAAAGAAACGATCCCAAAGTTAAATTAAAACAGATCCAAGCAAACCCAAACCCACTGGTCCAGACCAGAGCAGAGAGGATTCATGGTCCGAACCATGTGGATCAGGTGAAAATCCACTGGAGGAATGCTAACTTTATGAAAAATGCTGACGCATTTAGCATTTTAAAAATGGTCTGAACCGAGCTCCTCCTCCTCCTCCTCCTGCTGCTGAGACCTGAAGGATAATTATTAGATACTTTTTAGAATTATCCATTTATTTGTTTTATTTGTTTTGTTTGGATGATGTGTTTCTGCTGCTGCTGGACACCTGTATTACTCCTAAAGGGATCAATAAAATATCTGTGTGGCTCTTTAGAGCATTGGCCTTTGAGCCTGAAGCTGCGATGGAACAGACTGGTTGCCTCTCTTCTGTCAGTGTGCCCCAGGGCAGCTGTGGCTACAGTCGTTTATCACTACCGTGTTTAGAGAGAGAGGATAATGATGTGAAGAGTCCACAAAAACACTGCATAAAACTGATGTGAGTCACTAATTGACTCTTTGAGCCGAGAGCTGATTGGTTGAGAGCTGATTGGCTGAGAGCTGATTGGCTGAGAGCTGATTGGCTAAGAGAGGGGGGTTCATACTTTTCTGTCTGAAAAATCTGATCTAAAGATGTGACAGAAGCGCAGGTGAAAACTAGTGACAGAAACAAACTCATTTCCAGCTCGTTATTATAAACATAACATAAATGTTTTTACAAGCATTTGTCATGATGTCAAAGTCAGAGGCCTCAGCTTTAATTCTCTCTCTGTGCAGAATGTAACAGTTACTTCTTATAGTTTCTGTTCCTGTTTCAACCACAGTTCATTTAGATCTTTCACTTCTGCTCACGTCAAGAAAGTGTTGGACTTTCTTCAAAACATTTAACTCTGTCAGAAAACCTCATGTTGAACCCAAACCCGTAGATCACAGAGAAACACACAACCTCAGACAGAACAAGGATGAAATCAAAAGAAAGATCCACAAATACAGATTTGGTGAAATGTTTTCAGTCGATTGTTTTCTAAAAAATACACAAAAGGATCTAATTTTACATTTAGTTTGTTTTACTCTGTGTAATAAAAAAAAACTATAAATAAAATGTGGATCTGAAAATGGGTAATAAACTTCAGCTCATTCAAAGGATCAAGACACGAATTTATTTGACATTTGCAGTAAAACCACAGTGGAAAAACCGTGCAAGACTGAGCCCAGAGTGCAGCAGATCAGGTCCCAGACTCAGAAACAGAAGAAAACTGTTTTACACATTAGTAACACATTAGTAACACATTAGTAACACATTAGTAACAACTTCTGATGGACTGACGAGGATCTGGAGACATGAAAACATAATAACTATCTAATTTTTGGCTTTTGTCAGACTGTTGTGTGTTTGTGTGACTGACCAGAGCGCAGCTGGAAGCCATTGTTACCAAGGAATTTCTCTGTTGTAGGTTGGTTGCTAGGATACGGTACTGACCATCTTACTACTACTTGGAGCAAACAGGAAGTTCAACGAGTCACATGTCCTGCCGCTCCTTTCTGTGTTTCTCTTTTCTATTTAATATTTATAATTTAGTGTAAAGTAAATGTAACTCGGGGTTATTTTTGCACAATTTAGTTATTCTACATTTGTTTCTTGTTCACACATTTGCTCAAAATAAACTTTATTATTATATTACTTAATTCTGGTCCTAAATATACGACTATTTGAAAACTGTCTCTTTCCTTCTGGTTTAAACTGGTGTTGAACCAATTCAGGCCGTGTGCGTGTGCGTGTGTGTGTGTGTGTGTGTGTACTTGTTTTCAACTCCTGGTGGGTTCCATAACCTGAGATTCCACTCACGTCATGGGGACTGGTTTTACGTGGTGGGGCCCGAACACCGGACCCCACTGGTCCAAGCTTAATAATCAATGGGTAATGCTTTTCTAACGGTCCTTATGCAGTCTCTATAAAAATATGGAAAGGACCCCTGGAGGTTTACTTTCCTGAAAAAAGTGTGTTATGTGTCGGAACCCTGGTGGTGGGTTGCGGGATATCAAGGAGGGGCACACTGGGGCAATTTCAGTCCAGCAGGCTGGAGCCAATCATGGAGCAGCACAACAGAGGAAATCAGGTGTCAGGCTAGAAAAAGGTGCAAGTGTGTGGTTCATTAGGCTGCAGCCAATCACAGAGCAGCACACTGAAGCGCACGCTTACAAACCACTGGTAAGTGCTAACTACAAGTCATGACTTCAAATTGTTATATAGAATGATTACAAATTATTTGTTGTTTGTGCAGCTTAGTCAAGAGTCCCTAATTGATGAAGTCGACTCAGATTCTGACGATTTAACTGTCAAGAAGAAACCTGTAAAAAAGTATGGAAAAAGAAAAATCAAAAACACTTTTCTTCAAGACTCGGAAAGTGACGAACCAAAGGCAAATAAGATTGTTATCATGCAGCTGCAAAAGAAGAAAAATGGGGGGAGAGTTTACAGCAAGAGACACTTCTGCCTCTACTGTTCAATGTCCTGCCACAAAATGTCCCGTCATTTGACTAGAAAACATGGAAATGAAAGTGACGTAGCCAGAGCATTGGCTCTACCTGTGAAATCTAAAGCACGTAAACTTCAGTTTGATTTGATCAGGAATAGTGGAAACCGTGAGCACAATGTTGAGGTTTTAAAGGCCGGCATTGGAACTTTAGTCCCAGCTAAACAGCCAAATTGCCCAGTTAAATCCAGTGAGTTTTTGCACTGTATAGACTGTGGGGCATTGCTTAAGCGAAAGTCGCTGTGGAGGCATGTGGCCAGGTGCCGGCTTTCACAGAAAGATGCCCAGGCTAAACCAGGCTAAACCAGGTAGAAGTAGGGTCCAGTCCCTCTGCTCCCTAGCCCAGCCTGTACCGGAGGGCATCAGCAAAAAGCTGTGGTCTTTAATTTGGGCAATGCATCAGGATGAGGTCACGGGTGTTGTCAAAGCAGAAAAGGGGATTCTGAGACTCGGAGAGCACCTGTACTTAAAACACGGGCATGATAAGACTAAGCATGATTACATTAGGCAGAAAATGAGAGAAGTCGGTAGGTTAATTAACGAAGCAAAAACCGCAGGGAAACTGAAAACAATTAAGGATTTCTTTATTCCTTCCAACTTTAACCATGTGATTGATGCAGTCAGGTCTGTGGCTGGATATGATGAGGAAACAAATCAATACAAGACTCCATCCTTGGCCCTCAAACTCGGCCATAGCCTCAGAAAGCAGATATTCTTGAATGTGACTCAAAAATGGAGCATTGTGTTGATGAACTATTTATTAAAAACCTCCAACGAAGCCGGCTGCTTTTTGAGAAGAGGTGGGACGTCTGTGTTTCTTCTGCTGCCCTACAGACCCTCCGGCAAGCCAAGTGGAACACTCCGGACCTGCTCCCTCTGACTGAGGACGTTAGAGCCATGCATGCACATATTGAGGTATGTCGACCTGAATATGTGCAAACCCTAATAAGTGAGCCAACGTCTAAGCATTGGTCTTAACTGGCAGTTTTGACTCTTTGTGAGGTCATTATTTTCAATCGAAGAAGGGAAGGTGAGGTTTCAAAGATGCCACTGACAGCCTTTACCTTAAGAAGTAAGACTGGGATCCATTCTGACATTGCTCTGGGACTGTCCAAACTTGAGAAAAAGCTGTGTCAGCATTTTCAACGCATTGAAATTAAAGGGAAAAGAAGTGGGAAAGTGCCGGTTCTTTTGACTCCTGAAATGATTGCTTGGATGGAGGTGCTGGTGGAGAACAGAAGGGCCTGTTCCATCTCTGACCATAACCCATACTTCTTCTCCCGCCCGGGCGCAGACACCCACATCAGGGGATCAGACTCCCTACGGCAGGTAGCCAAAGAATGTGGTGCGGTGCATCCAGATATGCTATCCTCAACCAAACTTAGAAAGCACATAGCTACTATGTCTACAGTTCTCAATATGAAAGAGAATGAAATGGACATACTAGCCAACTTCCTCGGCCATGACATTCGCATCCACAGGCAATATTACAGACTACCAGAGGGGACACTGGAGCTGGCCAAAATCAGCAAAGTGTTGATGGCCATGGAGCAGGGAAGAGTGACGGAATTCAAAGGAAAGAGCCTCGACCAGATACAAATTGAGCCTGAAGGTAATTCTTGATATTATTAAAATATGTATGATTTTTTTCCCCTAAAGGCCACTTGTATTTTTATTTTCTGTGCGACAGGGAGAGCAGTAGAGATCCTCTCACAAACGGACGGGCTAAAAGAAACTTCAAGCGGAGAACCTTCAACCATTCATCCAGATGCACCCCATGGTAGTGGCAGTGCCCCTTCTGGTAAGTGTACCAGGTGGGGGATTACAGCCAGGCTGCTTGGTCCTCACCCTGGGAGTGTATATTGCTAATATATTTTTATTTCTCTCCCTAGAACGTGTAAGAAAGCCATGGTCTGCATCTGAGGTGAAGGCTGTGGAGAAGACCATGACACCTTTCATACAGACTGGAAAGGTCCCTGGGAAGTCTCACTGCCTGGCCTGGCCTGGCCTGGCCTGGCCTGCATTAATGCCTCACCAGATGACCTTAGACATCGGACATGGAGTGGCATTAAATTCTATGTCAAAAAATAGAATCACTGCAATTCGAAAAAAAAATCTAAAATAAAATTCCTTTAAAAGAGTTGTTTGTTTTCTATTGACTGTTTTGTATTACTTAAAGTAGTCCCAGTAAAAAAAGATTATGTCTATGGGTCCCATTCTGAACGGCCCTGTCAAAGGGACCCACCAGGTAACAAAAACGTGTGTGTGTGTGTGTGTGCGTGTGTGTCTGTGTGCGCATGCGTGTGTGTGTGCATCTATGTGTGTGTGTGTGCATCTATGTGTGTGCATCTATGTGTGTGTGTCTGTGTGTGCATCTATGTGTGTGTGTGTCTGTGTGTGCATCTATGTGTGCGTCTGTGTGTGTATCCTTAAGTTCCACATTTACAGCTGTGGTCCCAGAGGAAACGACCAAACATCAAAGCAACAGGAGGAGCAGTGTTGCTAAAGCAGACGCAGGTTCAGAGTCGTCTTCAATAAAAAACATTCTAAAATGGTCATGTGTGTTGCTGCAATTTACAAACAATAAATCTCAATCTAGTCCAATAGGGAAGTGCTCACGGATGAAGTTTTGCTGTAACTTTCCTGGTAACTGTTTGTGTCACACTCACCGTTTTGGGCTTAATAAACTCTGATTTATTTACATCTTTGTGATATATTTAGTGATATTGTCTGTAAATGAAGATATGAGCTGAGTAAGGATTGACCAATTCGCGGAGGAGACGTCAGCTTACCAGTTTGTAACCCGTCTGCTTCGGTTACGACACAAAGCTAACCCCTCAGAACAAATGCCCATTGTCCCCAGCTAGCTTAATCAGCTTCTTCTGCAGTCGCTCAGACCTACAACACGACGGATGGTTTAGAGCCGTTAAAGGGGAAATGTCCAAAGATAATCAATGTTCCAGTTAACGCTGTCTTTGACCTCGTTCTTTAGGTTTGAAAACACTGACTTTCATAGACTGTTGTTTATATGTGGGACGAGAGAAGGTTTTAGAAATAATAATATTAATAATTAAATAATAATGCAGTGTTTTTACATAGCACTTTTTTTGGACTCTCAAAGACTCTTCACATGTCATTATTAATTCTCTCCACACACGGTGGTGATAAACTACTGTAGCCACAGCTGCCCTGGGGCACACTGACAGATGCGAGGAAACCAGTCTGTGCCATCGGCCCCTCCCACCACCACCAACCATTCACACACACACCAGACTCATTCTAATGTGGGGGAAGTGTCTTGCCTAAGGACACGACTGCTGTTTGACACTTTACAGCCCCCCCACTGTGGCACCTGCTGTTTTCAAAGGTCTCCCATCACAGTACTAACCAAGCCCTGCCCTGCTTAGCTTCAGAGGTCAGACGGGATCTGGCTTTCACATACAGGTGTGATCATACAGATATAATACATTTCAAAATGACAGCGTGACAAGCCGTGTAACAAGAGTGAAGCTCATGTAGGGGTGCCCCAGGGCTCAACCCTTGGCCCCATGTTTTTCAGATTATTAGTAGTAATAGTATAATAGTAGTAGTAGTAGTAGTAATAGTACAATAGTAGTAGTAATAAAGTAAGTCTGACCCTGTAGCTGTGGAAAAGCTCTATCGCTCGCAGGACGTCAAACTTCCGGGCCATGAGGAACTTGACGGCGAGCTCCTTGGACAGCGGCGATACTCCGTGCTGATTGGTCCATTTGGTGATCTCCTCCAGGAACTGACGCGTCGCCTAAAAACACACAGTTAGAGAAATGTACAAAGCTGTCGATTCACAAACACAGATCAGAAAACCAACAGTGCGACAATAACAAACATGTGGAGCCGTTGGTCCATGAGACGACGACCAGAGTCTTCACTACATTTAGAACTGAATTATTTATATGACTAATCTAATCTAATCTAATCTGTCATCATTAAAGGGCCCAAATCTGTCATCATTAAAGGGCCCTAATCTGTCATCATTAAAGGGCCCTAATCTGTCATCATTAAAGGGCCCAAATCTGTCATCATTAAAGGGCCCTAATCTGTCATCATTAAAGGGCCCTAATCTGTCATCATTAAAGGGCCCTAATATGTCATCATTAAAGGGCCCTAACATGTCATCATTAAAGGGCCCTAATCTGTCATCATTAAAGGGTCCTAATCTGTCATAATTAAAAGGACCCTAATCTGTCACAATGATAATCTGCTCTTTTCCAATACTTCTTTAACTGATAACAATAGTTCAGAGATATTTGAATTTCTAAATTACTTTTCCAGCCTCTAAATCTTGTTATTTTTTTCATTTCAATGTCCCGCCCTCCACCGTTTCACCAATCAGAAAGTCTGTGATCCGGGCGCCAGAACTCACCGCGTGGAGCTAATCTCACTGGTAAAGTACCATGTGGAGCTAATCTCACTGGTAAAGTACCATGTGGAGCTAATCTCACTGGTAAAGTACCATGTGGCGTAGAACTAAAAAAGGTCTCGTTATGATTCTCAAATCATTAACGACAAAACAAGGAATAAAACCAGGATTTCTATCTTTGTGAAAAAGGTGTTGGTTATAGATTTGTTGTTGACTAAACTCTTGTCTATTCAGCTGTTATGGTCCCAGCTGGATTCGTCTGCATATCTGGCAACCTGAGTCAGGGAGAGTGGGAGAGGCTGCAGTACCACTTTGGGACACAGAAGTATGTAATATAATCCATGCCACTCGTTCCATGTTTTCTAATCAGACTCTTTCTGCAGAGACACACTCCAGTTTTAAAATTGTAAAAACACAAAACATGAACGCACAAGAGACACACACTCAGAAAACAGAGGTCTGCAACTATACGGTTTTTCTCAAAAATAGGAAGTAACAAAGTATTTAACAATAATAAATATCTGCCTCATTTTCAAAACACAAAATCCACAAAGTACAGCTGGCCTCATTTCACTTTAGACTTTTTACTTTTAATTTGTACCGTTTTGAGAAACTGTGGATCCAGTCCCAGGTCCGTCTTTAGTCCCACACGGTCCTGGTTCGGTCCAGGCAGGGCTGGTACTAAAGTGTTCTAACTGACAGTGATTGGTCAGAGTGCTGCTGGAAGCCATGGCTACCAAGGAATTGAATCAGTGAATGTACTGATACAGTACCAACATGGCTGACCACAGGAGAACAGGGTTTTTCCATGTGTGCCAAAATGCCTGAGTGACACTGCCAAATCCTCCTCACATCACATAATAACACAATTTGATTTACTGGTACGATTCAGTATAAAACAAAGTCCATTTAATTTATTTGTGCAGAGCCTGAATCCCAACAGCAGTCGTCTCAAAGTTGTGAATTAGCCAAGAGCAGATCAGAGAACACAAAATGATCTCATCAAAGCCACAGACTGAAGAGAAGTGTTGAACTGTGAGGAATCTGGTCCAACTGGAGACAACGCTGCGGCAACATTAAAGGTGAACTCTAGATAAACGCTAACGATAAAAACCACAGACGATACAAGAGTGAGAAAAACCAGCTTTGAAACTGAGCAGATGAGGATTTTTCTGATAATTTGTACAAAATCTACCTTTTTGAGCCATTTAACCCTCTGCAACTCACTCAGCACATTTATAACTAAAACAAAAAAAACATTAGGGCTAATTCTAACAATCCTATGTCAGTGTTTGCAGCTGGTAGTTTCCAAATTTGAACAAAAACAAAACAAGAATTGGAGTTTGAACTGTAAAATGACACCAATATGTTCACAGCAAAAGAATATGGGATCTATACACACACACCTACACATCTACACACACATCTACACATACATCTACACATACATCTACACACACATACACACATCTACACACACATCTACACATACATCTAAACACACATCTACACACACATCTACACACATCTACACACACATACACACATCTACATACACATCTATACACATCTACACACACATCTATAAACACACACACATCTACACATACATCTACACAGACATCTACACACACATACACACATCTACACACACATACACACATCTACATACACATCTATACACACATCTACACACATCTACACACACATCTATAAACACACACACATCTATACACACATCTACACACATCTATAAACACACACACATCTATACACACATCTACACACACATCTATACACACATCTACACACACACACACACATCTACACACACATCTACACACACATCTATAAACACACACACATCTATACACACATCTACACACACACACACACACACACATCTACACACATCTACATACACATCTATAAACACACACACATCTATACACACATCTACACACACATCTACACACACACACACATCTACACATCTATACACACATCTACACACACACATCTATACACATCTACACACACATACATCTATACACACATCTACACACACACACACACATCTACACACATCCACACACACATCTACATCCACACACATACATCTACACACATCTACACACACACACATCTACACACATCCACACACACATCTACATCCACACACATACATCTACACACATCTACACGCACACATCTACACACATCCACACACACCTACATCTACACACACACACACACATCCACATCTATAAACATACACACACACATCTACACACCTACATCTACACACATCCACACACACATACACACACACACACATCTACACACACACATACACACACATCTATAAACATACACACAGATGATCAAATCTGGGTCAGAACCAGCTGATTGTAGAAGTCTGAGGAGCCAAACGTTAACAGAAACCTCTGAGATTCTGAGTAAAGCCGGGTCTTGCACAACACGGTCCGATCCTGTCCTCCTCTGTTATTTAGCAACAGTTCTGAGAAAAGAAACACGAAACCTCCAGATTTCACTTCATAATAATTACACTCATGTGAAATCTGGCAACGCGGCGGAAAAACCTTCAGGAATTACACCGACTCTGGAGCCGTAATCTCAGTTTAGGATTAAAACACTTCAGAATATGTGTTAGAAAATCAAGGGGGTCCAAACTTATAGTAAAGAGGCCACTTTAGTTATTTCATTTTCAGGAAGACTGTTCCAGATTTTATCTGCATGAGTCTGGAATGCTGCCTCCTCATGATTAGTCCTGACTCTGGGACCAGCAGGAGGCCAGTCCCTGTGCTCCTCAGAGTCCCAGCAGGAGACCAGTCCCTGTGCTCCTCAGAGTCCCAGCAGGAGGCCAGTCCCTGTGCTCCTCAGAGTCCCAGCAGGAGACCAGTCCCTGTGCTCCTCAGAGTCCCAGCAGGAGACCAGTCCCTGTGCTCCTCAGAGTCCCAGCAGGAGACCAGTCCCTGTGCTCCTCAGAGCCACAGCAGGAGGCCAGTCCCTGTGCTTCTCAGTGTCCCAGCAGGAGGCCAGTCCCTGTGCTCCTCAGAGTCCCAGCAGGAGGCCAGTCCCTGTGCTCCTCAGAGTCCCAGCAGGAGACCAGTCCCTGTGCTCCTCAGAGTCCCAGCAGGAGGCCGGTCCCTGTGCTCCTCAGAGTCCCAGCAGGAGGCCAGTCCCTGTGCTCCTCAGAGTCCCAGCAGGAGACCAGTCCCTGTGCTCCTCAGAGTCCCAGCAGGAGACCAGTCCCTGTGCTCCTCAGAGCCACAGCAGGAGGCCAGTCCCTGTGCTTCTCAGTGTGCCAGCAGGAGGCCAGTCCCTGTGCTCCTCAGAGTCCCAGCAGGAGGCCAGTCCCTGTGCTCCTCAGAGTCCCAGCAGGAGGCCAGTCCCTGTGCTCCTCAGAGTTGGTTCATGTGGCACTAATATGTTTAGCTGTTTTAAAGCCTATTGTCTGAACCACAGGCCACAGAGACCTGAGACCAGGACTAATGCTGTCGTACTTCCTGGTTCTGGTCAGGACTAATGCGGTCGTACTTCCTGGTTCTGGTCAGGACTAATGTGGTCGTACTTCCTGGTTCTGGTCAGGACTAATGCGGTCGTACTTCCTGGTTCTGGTCAGGACTAATGTGGTCGTACTTCCTGGTTCTGGTCAGGACTAATGTGGTCGTACTTCCTGGTTCCGGACTCGAGCTGCAGCAAAAAAACCCGTTCTGAAAACTGAAAAGTAAATCTTGCGGCGGAACAATGGCCCTCTGCCTCTGCCTCAGTCCTTTCTTTTCCTGGAAGTCCTGGAGCGCGGCCAGTGTCCATGACCCGTGCACATAATCCGCCTCCAAACTCATTACCAACACCGGGCCCTTCTCCCGGCTCTCCAGGAATGTGTGGAACCAAACTCACAAACTCACAGCAGCACAAAGTTTAGCCACAACATGAGCCACAGTCCCCAACACAGCCCGAGATCTGAACAAGGGTTTTAAAAAGCAGCATTAGATGAAGCAGGAAAACTCTATCTTTTTATTTGTGTTCCCTTTTCGACGGTAATGCAACAATCCAGAAAATACAGCAGTAATACAGTCCATGAAAGAAAGAACAGGAGAAGGATGGAGAAACAAGATCTTATAAACTCTAACCCTAGCTTTAGCATAATAGAGAAGCCAGAATATGGAGCTATTATTGTTTCAATAATATTTGTGTGTGCGTAACCAGATTTGTGTGTACGTAAAAAGATGTGTGCGTGCGTAACCAGATTTGTGTGTGTGTAAAAGAAATATTTGTGCGTGTGTAAATAGATTTGTATGTACGTATCAAGATTTGTCCATCCATCCATCCATCTTCTACCCTTTAATCCATTTCTGGGTCAGGGGGGTGGCAGTCAGAGATGCCACCCAAGTCTCATAGCACCAGCCCCTCACTGACCCTCTGCAGGTGGTGAGTCCACAGGAGGCTGCTCTCTGACTGTGAGCATAGCCTTGATCTTTCAGCTGGGGCTTTGGGCAAAGTGGGGTTAAGTGTCTTGCCCAATGACACAACGACAGCAGTCATCAGTGGGAGTCGGTGGAGAAGGTGCAGAGGTGGGAATTGAACCCACGACCTTCTGGGCTTAAGGCCAATGCTCTACCAACTGAGCTACTGTCGCCCCAAAGATTTGTGTGTGTGTAAAAAGGTTTGTGTGTGTGTAAAGAAAAAAAAAGTACGTTTTACACACAAGTTTTTTTTTTACACACAAATCTTTTGACGCAGTCCTGCCTTCGCAGATTCGCAAGTGTAACTTGGACTGTGTGCGTGCGTAAACAAATTTGTGTGTGTGTAATTTGACATTTGTATCTGTAGCAGAACAATGTGTGTGTAAATAACCACGTTGTACGAAGAGAAGAACGGAAAAAAGCCTAAGTGCTACGCACAGGCTCCGTTTTACACACGAATCTCTTTTTGACACACCTCTGCCGCCAAGCGTGTGTCAAAAAGATTCTTAAGTGTAATGTGGTTGTTCTAGCAGTACACCAGCAGATGGTGCTGTTGTAGCTGGTTATTACCTACAAACCAGCTGAGTTTGTGGCACTATAGTGTAGATAGAGAAAACCGAAGGATTTAAGAAGAAGAAAAGTTCAGGATGACAAGGAACACTAAAATTCCCACAAAATCCGACCTTTATGAAAGCTGTAGGTTCTCTGTCAGCTGTTTTAGTTTACTTTGAGTTCTATGGGGAAAATGTCTGTGTAGCCCACGTGAATTTAGTCTGCAGTACGCGAGAATCCCTCAGCTCCAAGCTAGTAACACCCTATCCAGTTATTATAATAGATCCATGTATCATACAGTGGTGTGAATGACAGGATTTTGAAAATAGGAAAAAATAGGTTTTGGTTTGCTTGCGTGTAGGTAATAACCAGCTACAACAGCACCATCTGCTGGTGTACTGCTAGAACAACCACATTACACTTACAAATCTTTTTGACACACGCTAAGCGGCAGAGGTGTGTCAAAAAGAGATGTGTGTAAAACAGAGCCTGTGCGTAGCACTTTGGCTTTTTTTCGTTCTTCTCTTCGTACAACGCGGTTATTTACACACAGATTGTTCTGTTACAGATACAAATGTCAAATTACACACACACAAATCTGTTTACGCACACACACAGTCCAAGTTACACTTGCGAATCTGCGAAGGCAGGACTGCGTCAAAAGATTCGTGTGTAAAAAAAAAACTTGTGTGTAAAACGTACTTTTTTTTTTCTTTACACACACACAAATCTTTCTACGCACACACACATCTTTTTACGCACACACAAATCTTTTTACGCACACACAAATCTTGATACGTACATACAAATCTATTTACACACGCACAAATATTTCTTTTACACACACACAAATCTGGTTACGTACACACAAATCTGGTTACGCACGCACAAATCTGGTTACGCACGCACAAATCTTTTTACGCACACACAAATATTATTGAAACAATAATAGTTCCATACCAGAATTAAGTGTAAAATCTCTAGCTTTAGCATAATAAGAACTAAGTGTGAAGTATCTGACCTAAGTAAAGCAACTAAAAGTTTGGGTACGTGACTGTTTTAGGCATTAAAGCTCAAGTACTTACATTTCAAAGCATAAATAACCGCATTTACGCACGTGTTAGCTGCACTAGCACTAAAAATATACTCCTCAACATCCACAGGATCTAACTTTGGACCAAGAACGACTTTTGGACCGAGAGCCACTTTTGGACCGAGAACCACTTTTGGACCGAGAACCACTTTTGGACCGAGAGCCACTTTTGGACCATCCTGTAAAGGTGTTTTTCCACCCCCACAGGCCCGGGGTGGTATTGCAGCATGTCAGCGCACGTCATATGGGACACTTTTTAGCCGGGACCTGTCCCCGATGGTTTTAGTTCCAGGCCCGGTCCACAGAGGCTGCAGTGATCTCAGATGGAGCAGAGGGAAGTCACGTCTGAGGCAGAACAGAGACGACAGAGGACGCTCTGTCTGGATCCAAACGGAGGCTTTGACGGTCCAGGATTCAGGAAGTGGAGCCACCTGCAGCTGAAGGAACGACGTGTCCAGTTTATGGGATTGGAACAGGATTATGAGGAGAATGTGCGCTATATTTGACCACACGGGTTAGGAAAAAGCATATAAGAGAGAGAGAGAGAGAGAGAGAGAGAGAGAGAGAGAGAGAGAGAGAGAGAGAGAAGCCTCATCTCCACTGAGAAAAAACATGGTTCTTTAAATACAGTGACCCGGCTTTGAACAAATGCATTACACTCAGGTCCGGGTCTGTCTCAGTAGAATTTCAATTTGATGTGATTTACTCCAAAATTATACAAAAAGGTTCAGTAATAAGATTTGGCTCCTTCTCCAGAGCCACATGTGAGAAAGCTCCATGGATGCATTTGTATTGGATTAACTGAAGATAATAAATTATAATATAAAATATATATGAGAGTAAGTGAGAAAGAGTGAGAGAGAGAGAGAACGACAGCAACAACAAAATAAATATTAAATCTAATTTATAAAAATCAAAGTATGCTATCCACAGTGATTAAAAAATACCCGAAATATATTTTACCCAGGACCTCAGTCCTGGGTCTACAGCCTCAGTCCTGGGTCTACAGCCTCAGTCCTGGGTCTACAGCCTCAGTCCTGGGTCTACAGCCTCAGTCCTGGGTCTACAGCCTCAGTCCATGTGGGAGTGGATCTCTCCTTCAACGTGGACAGCTCTTCCCGGGCGTTTGGTTACACAGCTCTTCCCGGGCGTTTGGTCACTCTCCTCTCTTTGAATCTGAAATCTATTTCTGAGCCAGTGTTCCGGGCTATTGTCGGCCGAGGTCGACTCCGGAGCAGCTCCATTTGGCTCCAGTCCAACGGAAAACAGGAAGTGTGCACACGTCACGCCGCTCTCCCAAGAATCTCACCGTGACCTCAGAGCGTTCGGAGCTGGGAACGCCAAATACTGCAGAAATATTACACATTGTTTGGTTCTGGAGATTGTTTACTTTGGTTTTACTCGTGTTCCAGAACCACAGGAAGTTCTTAAAACTGAGCAATGTAACTTTTTTACTTCAGAAAGAAAATATTATGTGTTACTAGAGAGAGGCCAGAGAGACCAGAGAGAGAGAGACCAGAGAGAGACCAGAGAGAGAGACCAGCGAGAGACCAGAGAGAGAGAGACCAGAGAGAGGCCAGAGAGAGACCAGAGAGAGACCAGAGAGAGACCAGAGAGAGACCAGAGAGAGAGACCAGAGAGAGACCAGAGAGAGACCAGAGAGAGAGACCAGAGAGAGAGACCAGAGAGAGAGACCAGAGAGAGACCAGAGAGAGAGACCAGAGATAGAGAGACCAGAGAGAGTCCGGCGAGAAACAAGGACGAGGGGGAAGAGGAAGGGAAACCCAGAGACGGACAGTTGGCCAGAAGGAGGGGTGGCGGAGAGTGAGGAAGTACCGGAGAGAGGAAGATGAGAATCTGAGAGAGAGATGGAGGAGAGATAGACACCAGAGAGAGCTTATGACGATGAAAGCGGTGGCGTCGGATGGTCGGAGAGAGTGGGCGCGGGAGAGGGTGTTGGGAGAGGAGACGAGCTGGATTGAAGCGTTGCTCTGATACTCAGAGAGGCCCGTTTGGCCTGCGTGATAGAGAGCGACGATCTGAGAAGGGAGGGGTCCACCTCGTGAGGGGGAAGGGAATCGGGGAAGAGAGAAGGAAGGGTAGCGAGGAGAGACGGTAAGGAGCAGAGGAGAGAGAAGAAAGGAGAGAGGGAGGGGGAAGGGGAGGGGAAATGGGATGGAAGAAAGAGAGAGGGCGAAAGAAGAGAAGAGGGCGTGGGGGCTGAACAACGAGAGGGGGGGAAGGAGATGGGGGAGGACGAACGCGGAAAGGAGGCGGGCCAGACGAGAAGGGAGGGAAGGGAGGAGGCGATGATGGGGAGAGGAAAGAGGCCCCGTAGAGGGAAAGGACAACCCAGGAGAGGAGAAGGACCTCGAGGGACACTCGAGAGGGGATGGATGGTCAGTCCTGTTCGGAGGGTTAGAGGCAGTGGGCGGGCCAGGCGCGGGCCAGAGACGCAGAAGAGGAGACCCCGGATGGAGCGGACTCGACACAATCCTAGGAAGGCTTGTGGAGAGAGCGTCATTGAGGCCAGACGCCGAGGAGAGAGCGGAGAGACACGCGAGACGGAGGAACGGAGAGATTTGCGCGAAGGGCGAGGGAAGGTACGGTGCCAGATAGATAGAGTGGAGCGGTCCGAGGAAGGTGTTGGGCCAGAGAGAGACCTGAAGATCGAAGAGGAAGACCATAAAGGGGAGAGCGAAGAAAAGAATAGGAAACCAGCAAGAATGAGAGGCAGGGACAGGGAAGACGACAGCGGGAAGAAGAAGGGTGGGCCCCCCCCCCCCCCCCCCCCCGAGAAAGGGAGAAACCAGCGAAAAGGGAAAAGGGGAGAGGAAGGGAGGGAATGGGAAGAGGAGGCGAAGAGAAGTAAAACAGGAGAGGAAGCCGAGACTTAGCTCTGCGAGAGACCATGAGAGAGAAGGATCCGGACCTAGAGAGAGAAAGTGCCAGTGACGAGACGAGATGATGGAGAGAGACCAGGAGAGATCGAGAGACGAGGGAAGCCAGAGACGACTGAGAGGAGAGAGAGAATGAGAGTTGAGCGAGCCGAGAGAGGGTCCCTGTAGATTGATGAGAGAAGAGAGAAGATGGAGCAATAAAGACAGAGCCCAGAGGGACGCCAGTGAGATGCGACCAGAGGAGGGAGAAGAAACAGAAGAAATAGTGGAAATGACCGGAGAGTGGACGGAGAGAGAATGAGATGAAGGAGACGAGCGCAGACGAGGACCAGAGAGAGAGAGGGAGCACGGGAGACCAGACGAGAGAGACCAGTCACAGAGGGAGCAAGGCCGTAAAATGATGAAGGAATACCTGAGAGATGAGACCGGAGGAGGGAGATAGCGGAGGCAGGAAGCAGGAGAGTGAGAAGGGAGAGAGGAGGTTGGAGAGGACGAGAGGAATCGTTGTACCGGTCGTACCGATGAGTGATGATCTGAGGCGAGACGGGAGAACAGATTCGGAGGACGCGAAGGGGATCTGAGTATGTGAGATAGAGAGGTATGGAGACTGGTGATTCCGGTCTGGGCCAGTGGCCAAGATCACGTCATGAGCTGACACCGGGACGCAGATTTAGTCGGGGTGCGGAGCGGCGAGAGGAGATGCGAGGAGGAGAGGGGAGAGATGGTGGATGGGAAAGGACAGAGAGAGAAGGGACCGAGGGAGACGAACTCGAAATGAAAGGATGTGAGGGATCACGGGACAGACTGGGCCAACCGGAGACGTATGAGCGATGAAGTTAGATGAGAAGATCGACCAGAGAGAGAGGAGGGACGAAATGGCAAGCTGAGAACCAGCGAGGTCGAGACGAAAGGAAGGAGGAATTCTCACCGGAGAGTGAGAACGAGGAGGGGAAGGGGAAGATGGGAAAAGAAGGGCGGCAAGGGAAAACAGATTGGGAGTGTTACTGGTATATGGAGTAAAGATAGAGGGGGAGAGCAGAAGTGAAAGAGAAAACCAGATAGAAGAAACGGCTTGATGGGGGTACCCACCCCACAGAGGATCGGAGCGGACGGCAGAAGGAAGGAGGACCCAGGAGAGGGTGTAGTGGGACGACCCCAGAGAGAAAGGAAATGGAAAAGGAATAGAAGAAAGATGCTGGAGAGGGAAGAAAGGATGGAAAAGAAGAAGAGAGGGGAAGGTGAAAACGGGAAGGAAAAATGACGGGGAGAAGGAGAAGGAAACCAGGAAGGAAGGGAGGGGGGATAGGGGCTTGGTAGCCATGATGGGGGCAAAGAGAGTGGGCAGTCGAACCACGATAGGTGACGGGCCAGAAGATGATGAAGTGGGGGAAGTAAGGGGATGAAGAGCGAAGCCGGTGAGCAGAGAAAGGAAGGGAACGTAGGGAATGCCGACGATGAAACAGAACAGAAGTTGAGGAACCGAGAGGGAGGAGGGGATGATGGAGAAGACTGTGAGAAAGAAAAGGATAGAAGAGATATTGGAAGGACGAAACGAGTATGGACGGGAAGAAGAAGGAACGGCGGAAGAAGAAGAAGGAGGGCTCACATGGGGGGAAGAAGTTGGGCCTGAGAGATGGTAAAAAAACTGAATGGAAGTGGAAGCAGAGTCCGGGGACGGAGAAGAAGAGAAGAACAGAGTGAATGGGGACAGGCGTGAACTTGAAATGAAGGGGAAGGAAAGGGAAGAAGAAAGGCGGGGTGCAGCAAACCCCAGAGGGGAGAGAAGGATGAAGCAAAGAAACGGGATGAAGGAAAGGAAAGCGGAAGAGGTCGAGGAGGGGAAGAAAGGCGTGAAAATGGTGAGTGAGGGGGGAAGGAATTGGATAGAATGAAGTGAGAGAAAAGGATGCTTGAATCAGTAAAGAAGGAAAAGAACAAGGTGTGAACGGGAGAGGAGCGCGAAAAGGGGCGGGAAACCAGAAGAGACGATGAAGAAAGAAAGGGGGAAGACAAATGAGAAGGCATGTGAGGAAATGAAGCAGGAAGAGAAGAAGGAAGAAAAGAAAAAGAAGATAGCCTGAGGGTGAAGAAAAGAAGGGGGATGAAGAAAGAAGATGAGGATTGGGACGAAGAACTATGCGGAGGAAGGACGAGGAAAAGAGACGAACGAGGAAGTAGGGTCGAGGGTAAGAAGGGTTGAGGGAAGGTAGGGGATGAGGAAGGGGCGATAGATCGAGCGAAGGAGGGGGGAGTAACTGGAAAAGGGGAAATCATGAACAGAGAGAAGGGAGAATGGGGGGAGAAGAGGGAAGGAAGATGACTGAAGACGAGAGGGATGGGAAAGGATGGAGGGTGCTGTGGATCGAGGGAAAAGTGTGTGGAGGATGGTGGTGTGAAAGAAGGGAAGGTGAGAGGGAAGATGGGGAAAGGTGCGGAAAGGGAAGGCAACAAGAAGAAGAAGATGGAAAAGGGTGAGGAGGGGGGGAACGGGAACAGCGGTGCTGAAGAAGAGGTGGTGAAGTAAACGTACGGGGCGGTGGTAGAGAGAGAAGACTGAAGGTGGGTGGTGGAAGTGTGGGGTGTTGAAGGAAGGGGGTGGGGTGCAGAACAACTGTGAGGTGGGGGGAAGAGAAGAAAAGCAAAGAAGCTGGGGAGAGAGAGGATAGTAGGGAAGAATTGAGAGGGTAGACGAGGGAGGGGAGACCAAAGGGGGCGAGAGAGCGACGTGGAATGAGAAGAAAATAGGGGGGGAAAGAGAACCAAGCGGGGGGGAGAAAATCCAGAAATGATGGCCGAAAGAAGTGAAGAAGGTGGAAGAAGCGAGGGGAGAGGGGAAAAGCGGAAGAGGATGGCGACGCGTTAGAGAAAAAGGATGAGTAAAGGGGGGAAGAAGAAGAACGAGACGGGTAGGGATAAGGGGGAAAAAGGGAAAGGAGGAAGAAAGACAGGCGGAAAGAGGGGGGAGAAATGAAAGGAGGAAGGAAGGGGGAACGAAACTGGTCGGGAGGGTGTGGAGGGAAGATCCGGACGGGAAGGGAGAAGAAGGAGGGAGGAAGATGGAGCGGACGACGAGGAAGGAAGGAGACGGGGGGTGGTGAGAGAACGAAGTAAGATATGAAAAAGACAAGCTCGGGTGAGAAAGAGGTGGCCCATACAGAAGGAGGAGGGGAAAGTAAAGAGACGAAAGAGCAGAAGGAAAAACCAGTGAGTTAGAAGGGGGCCACACCAGATGTGATGGAAGAGGAGATGAAGTGAGAAAGCGGGAAAACCCCGCCTACGACGACGATCGGGGAGCGGACGAAGATGAAGAGGACGACGTGATGAAGAAGAGTAGAAGGAGACACCCAGGGTAGCGAGAGAGAGATGGGGAGAGCGTGGAAGAGCGACGAGAGGAAGGGAAGGGGACTGAGTCCGACGGAGAGGAGAGAAAGTGAGGAGTGGGAAGAAGTTGAAGAATAGAGTGAGAGTCGGACCGAATTGAGAAGGGGAGAGACTAGAGATGAGTGAGAGATGAGAAGAGACGGGAGGGGGAGAGAAAAGATGAGTGAGGAGAGATGGAGTATGGGGGGGAGAACCTAAGAGATACTCGGGAGGAGAAGAGGATGGGGAAGACTAGAGAGAGAAGGAAAGAGAGGGAATTAGGTTCTACGATCGGGAAGAGAGAGAGGTGGAGAGATCTAAGAAAGCGAGAGTGAGGAGGGAGGGATCTTGCAACGAAGAATGCGAGAGGGAGAGGGAGAGAGAAGAAAGCGAGGGGGGTGGGAGGACTAAGTCGAGAGATTGAGGGGGGTAGGAAGGAGGAGTGGGAGGAGGGAGGGGGTGAGAGGGGACTGTAGGGAGAACTGTTGAGGAGTAATTAGGAGAGAGAGGTGAGGAATTGGGGAGTAGGAGGACAGGCAGAATGATGAAGACGACTTGATGTGAAAAGCGTTGGACGACTAGAATCCGAGGCGGACGGGAGGAGCAAGGATCTTAAGAGGGGAGGAGGTGAGAGGGCGGAGGAGACGGACGAGATGGAGTGAGAGTGCAGGGCCCGGGAGAGGACCTGAGAGATGCGAGCGACCAGTTCTAGCTTGACCTGTTCCTTTGTACACTAACCTAGAGGGGAGATAGACGACTGGCGAGACCCAGGTGATGAGAATGAGGAGACCAGTAGTTGGAGAGAGACGAGCGGGTAGGCGAGATAGGCACGGAGTGAGGGTTGGGGAGAGATCGAGGTGACCAGAGACGGGGAGAAGAAGAGACGAGGTCGGGGACGGACGTGAGAAGAGAGAGAGATGCGACGAGAAATCTGCTCGCGAGACTGAGGAAGGAGAATGACATGGACGAAGAGTCGGTCGACGGAGAGGATGGGAGGAGAGGACACAGCCTGGAGGACCCCGAGTGTTGAACTTTGAACGGAGACGAGACTAGTCTGAGAGTCCTCCCGGCAATAGGAGAAATCGGAGGGACTAGGAGGATTGAGGGAGGTGAGGAGTGAAGAGGGAATGAGAGAAGAGTCCGAGACCCCAGAGAGAGGGTAAGGAGAATGGACCTGTGTGAGAGAGAGAAGGGGGAGAACCGTTGAAACGGGTGGTGAGACGACCAGTGATCGTGGGACGGAGAGCGAGGGAGTAGAGGGGGAACAGACGGAGGAGAGTATGTGGAAGACCGAGTTACGGGGGAGACGAGGATCAGCCAGAGATGAGGAGGTGATAGAGGACCAGAGGAGTGAGAGAGAGGAGGAAGAGAGACGATGAGACCAGAGAGAATGGCAAGGAGATGAGAAGGTACGGATGAAGACGAGAAGAGGAGTGACCGAGAGAAAGGTGGAGAGGTCGGAAGGAGAAGGGTTGAAGGGCGATTGAGGAGTAGAGACCAGAGGAGAGGACCACGAGGAGGGATGGGATACTTGGATGAGGGTAGAGTGAAGAGTAGAGGGAGAGCCGAGAAGAGCTGAGATGGGTGGGAGGGAGAGGAGAGAGCAAGGTCTCGAGCGCGCGTATTGGCAGCGAGCGGGACAGTGGGGAGACGGCGGGATAGAGAGAGGTCGTGCAGAACGAGTAGGAGAGAGAGGATTGGTGAGTATTGGAGTAGGGAGGATTCGAGATGGAGATGGTGGAGCCACGAGATTCTGAGAGACAGGGGTGATGAAATGAGCATGAGGTGGAGTCAGGGAGATGGATGAAGCGAGGAGGTGATTGAGAGGGCGAGGTTGGAGGAGGGGGGAGGTAGCGGGGAGCGCAGTAGATAGACAGACGAATGTTTGGATGAGGAAGGAGTGGGGTACACAGAGAGTGAGTACACGAGTAGACGTGGAGGGAGAGCGGACAGAGATGGAAGGGAGAGTAGGAGAGGCTGTGACGGAGGAGGAGGGAGGAGGTAGAGGGGAGGCGGAGAGAAGAGACCTGAAGGAGGAGGCCAGAGAGTGAAGACGAGATTGGGAGGAGGGAGACCAGAGAGCGAAAGATGTAGCGAGGTGGGGGGGTCGAACAGGGAGGGTGTGAGATAGAGAGAAGCGGATGGAGCGCGCGTACCAGAGTCGGAGAGGGGAGACGATATGAGTCGGACGAGGGAAGAGACCAGGATTACCAGGAGGAGCGACCAGCGGGAGACCAGGAGTGAGCCTGAGGGAGAGCTGTCGGGACGAGAACTGTGGAGGACGCCCGAGCAGACGGAGAGCGGGAGGAAGGAAAGAGTGGACGACGATGGGAGAGAACGAGAGGAGTTTGAGGAGAGAGATCGAGGAGAAGGAGGAATGAGAGGAGCGGGAGACCGGTGAGAGAGGAGGAGAGGACGAGAGGAGAGAATGATCGAGATTAAGGAGTGGGGGGAGAGGAGAGGAGGAGAGGAAAGAGGAGATGTTGAGGAAGAGAACTGAGATGAGAGAGGAGGAGGAGGAAGGAGACGAGGGCAGAGAGAGGGATGAGGAAGAGAGATACGAGGGAGAAGAGTGGAGGTAGGGGGAAGAGAAGGAGAGCGGAGACAGGATGGTTGAACGCGGATGGAGCTTTTTCCCCCCCCCCCCCCCCCCCCCTTCCCCCCGAGGGATGAAGGAATGGTAGCGCGAGGAGAGGAAGAGAGGTAGGGAGTAGGAGGGAAGGAGATGAGTGGTTGAGTCTGTGGAGACAGAGACTCGATAGAAGAGAGAAGGAGGATGAGGGAGAGAGGAGAAGAGAAGAGACCAATGGATGAGAAGGGGCCAGGGGAGGAGGGAGAGGGAAGAGCGAAGGAGGAGGGAGAGGAGAACAGAGAGATTTGTGATGAGAGGATGATGTGGGGAGAAGGAGCCTAGAGAAAGGGAGAGCAGAGATTGAGGGGAAGAAGAGACCAGAGAGAGACGAAGACCCAACGGAGAGCTGGGGAAGGACGAGAGAGAGGAAGGAGAGAGAGAGGCTGGCGATATAAGAGTTGAAGAGGAAGAGGCAGGAGGGTACCAGAGGGAAGGACGAGAGCGGGAGATGCTGAGAGATGGAGAGGGTGATCGATGAAGTAAGAAAAAGAATGACGGAGACCTAAGATGACTGGTCTTGAGCAGGGAGAGGTCGCTCTGGAAGAGGAGAACCAGAGGAGAGAGTGAAGTAGAAAGATAGAGAGAAGGTGGAGGCGAGGAAGGATGCTGAGGAGAATGACGTGTGCGGGGAATTCTGAGAATCACCAAGAGGATGATCGGAACGCGAGAGGGATGGGAGAGATGGTTGAGGAAGAGGAGGACCCGAAGAAGAGGCTTGAGATGTAGGGAGACCTGAAGAGTAGAGAGGGGGAAGGAGCGGGGTCGGCCGGGAAGATCAGGGGAATGGGGGTCGAGACCAGATGGATGGATGTAGAGCGAATGAGTGAGATAGAAGAGACTGGAGCTGTGACCCAGATGGTGGACTGAGTAAGAGGATCGATCCCCCACGAGAGGAGCGAGGGACGAGGGGATCCGATCGACATCGAGCGGGGGAATGAGAGTGGAGGAAGAGCGAGCGGCAGACGGAGGGAGGCCACTTGAGAGTATCAGAGTGAAGGACAGATGAATGAGAGAAGAGAACCGGATTGAGAGAGACAGGGAGTGGGGAGAGCACGCGACTCGAGGCGGTTGACAAGCTAGAGAGAAGGAAGGGAGCCGAGTGAGAGGAGGCGGCTGGGGGCCGAAGCTGGAGGTGAGACGGGAGGGAGACAGGAGCACTGAGATGGAGGAGATGGAGGCTGAGATGAAGGAGTATAGAGGTGGAATGTACCGAGGGGGGAGAGAGGAGACTGAGAGAAAGTCTGAGACTAGAAAGAAGACGGAGGAGAGGGAGAAAGAGGTAGAGGAGGGGGTGGAGAAAGGAGTGGAGGATTGAAAGGTGAAGAGAGGAAGGGAGGCGAAGGGGAGTTGCCGAGAGGGAGAGAGAGAGAGAGGTGGAGAGGATCACAGAATGAGAGGGCGAGAAGGTGAGGGGAGACGTGGAGATGAGAGGAATGAAGAACTGAGAGAGGATGAGACGGGACAGCGGGAAGACGAGATGAAGAGTGAAGGAGAGAATGAGACCGTAGACGAGACGAGACAGAGCTCAGAGGAGAATTGGTAGAGATGACGAGCCCGGGGTTTGTTGAAGAGGATCTGGATTACGCGAAGGATGGAGACTATGGGGATAGGTATGAGAGCTGGGGGAGCGAGCCCAGAGACCAGAGAGAGAGAGAAGACCATGAGCAGAGAAGGTGAGGGATGAGGTGGGGGGAGAGAGAAGGAGGGAGAGGAGAGAGGACGAGCGAGGAAGATGAGACCACTGAGGAGAGGGACGAGTGGAGTGAGAGACGGAGAGAGGTCGTGAGTGAGGACAGAGAGAGAGAGGAGACGGATGAGGCGGAGAGAAGAGGACGATCGGGCGAGCAGACGAGAGAGAGAAGAGCAAAGAGTCGCGAGAGACCAGAGGGGAGATCAGACGAGACTTGTGGAAGCGAGAGAATGGAGAATCGTGGCGACTAGGAGATGGGAGAAGGTTAGTTTGATAGGAGTCTTGAGTGTTTGGATAGAGAGGGAGTGAGACCCCGGAAGAGGCGTGCCGAGTTGGATGGCGGCTGGACAGACATCCGAGGCGATTGTCGTATAGAGGGAAGTTGATTGGTGCAAGAATTGCGGTCCATTAAGGAAGGTTGTAGGACTGTTGGGAGAGATTGAGGACATCTTGAGCGTGGAATGAGTGAGGGAGAGAGACCAGTGAGGATGAGGATAGTGGACGAAGAGGCCTAGAGATGGAGCCGAGAAGGAGCTCATCCTGGAGGATTCTAGGATGTAGATGAGGGAGACTGCGCGAGACATCACGAGTGATTTATGAGATTGGACGAGCCGGCGCATGGATGATCGATTTGAGACTAGCGCTGAGTGACGGCCCCCCAGAGAGGGGGAACTCGACGAGGGGTAGAGAGAGAGAAATGCTGAGCGGAGGCCTGTGATAAGATTGGTGAACCGAGGAGAAGTTGAGATGAAGATGAGGATGGCAGACGCCTGTAGCTTGGCTCGCGACGGAGTCGATGCGAGTAGTCGTGATGTGCAGGTATCGAGGGGACCATGGATGAGGTCGGAGAGAGGGAGGACGCTGTGACGGGGCACGTGCCCGTGGAGCGGGAGATGAATGAGAGGGAGCGGATTGTGAGTATAGAATGGAGAGGAGAGGCGAGTGTTCGATTGGGAAGAGAGCGGAGAAACCCAGGAGGGGTTGATGCTGGGAGACTACCCGAGCTGAGGGAGAGACGGCCCTGAGAGAGAGGAAGAAGTAGAGGAAGACGAAGAAGCGGAGAGGCCAGAGCGCGAAGGGACTGAGAGTGAGAGTGATAGAGACGAAGAATGGGGCGAGAGATATGAGAGAGGAGAGGATGCCGCTCGCGGGTGGGTTGGCTTGGGAAGGGAGATTTCCTGTTGATTAGAGATCCCACTGAGGGTGGACGGGGGATCACGGAAGAGGAGAAAACATGAGGGGGCCTCCAGAGCATCATGGATGTTCGGAAGGGTGAGATGACTTTGAAAACGACCGAGAGACGCCGAACTGTGGAGAAGTCTGCCCTGACGGAGGGACGAGAATCGAAGAGGTGGTGAAAAGAGCGGGGGTTGAGGACTGATGTATTAAAGGCAAAGCGTCGTCTGTCGAGTCTGCTGCCTAGCGGTCAGACTCGAACGGAACGCAGAAGTTTTCCGAGGGGTAGACATTCCACGAGCTGGGAGACGCTCCCTTGCGGGCAGAAGTCAGAGGCGTTATCGGAGGAGTCCCCACTTCTGGAGAGGTTGAGACCATTGATGGATAGACCTGGATTGTAGGTTTTCGGCGAACAATTCCCGACGTAGGCGAAGAGGGCGAAATGGCCGCGGGGCATCTGGAGGGACTGGCCGTGAGCTGAGGCGGAGTGATGGAGGGCAGTGGATGGGAGGACGTTTGATTTGCTCGAGACGCGATGCGGAGACGAATGAGGGAAGGAGGTGTGAAGGGCTTGGAGAGGACATGGAGCGGGTCGACGGCCGAGAGAGCACTGTTGCGTGAAGGAGGCCCAGAGAGGAGGATGTTGAGGAAACGATCGGAGAAGGAGAGACGAGCGAGGGGGATCGGATGGACGACCAGAGAGAGAGAAGGGGTTGGGAGAGAGGTTTGGATGAGAAAGAGGACGAACTCTCTGAGGCCCCCCCCAGAGTGAGAGCAGGCTGGGAGATGTGAGATAGCGAGAGCCGGTGACGAGTCGGGGAGTATGACGGAGACGATTCGCGAAGATGAGAGGGAGGAGACCGGATGAGAGAGGAATGAAGAACTCGTATAATCTGACGGATTGAGGCCCAGAGAGGAGAGGAAGAGGAGAGAGGGAGGCGGGCCGATTGGTGTAACATTGCGCGGGTGCAAATGAATGCGAGGAGGTGGCCGAAGTGGATCTTTTATGTGAAGATCGTGCCACTGATCGGACGAGGGGTGATGGAGGGGAGGTGGGGGTCGATGGAGCTAGAGAAAGGAAATACGACGCGAGGAGCGAGAGAGTGGAGCCTGAGGGTTATGAATGATGTCAGGAGTGTTGATGTGTGGGGAGGAGTGGACTTAGAGCGATCGTACGCGACGGACTGAGAGCGTAGTAGGAACTAGGTTTTGTTGTGAGACTGTGGCTCCGGAAGAGGAGATGGCGCGACGCCGGCGCGATGTACCGTATCAAGTCGATTTCGCGGCCTGGGATAGGAGTGAATCATAAGAGGTGTTTCGTAGAAACTATTTAAGCGAGATTCTGAGTTGTGGATGATGTGAGGAGCCCAGAGGCAAGAGAAGGGCCCGCATATTCGCGGGTTTGCGCGATGACCAATGGGGAGATGTGGCGTCGTTGAGGGCTATCGATGGAATGACAGGGGGGGCACCCCAGTGTTCTGCTGTCTGAGTAGTTCAATTTTCGAGAGCGAGAAGGACGGATACCTGTGTGGCTTGGTTGGAGGGAGGGGTCGGGACAGACAGGACGGAGGCCAGAAGTACCGGCACAGAGAAGCTGAGGCTCTTTGGGAAGAATAGAATCCAGAGGGGAGTTGCGGGGGGAGGACCGGATCGATTAGTGGGAGTGGAGCTGGACACGAGATGCTCTCGGACTTACGGAAGGATCTTAGAAGAAGTGCCGGAATCGAGTGGCCTCGAGTGAGCGAGTGAGGGTGGGAGACTAGATGCAGTTTGAGGAGTATGATGAACGGGAATGTTCTGAGCCGTCGTCGGGGATGTGTGATAGATGATGTTCAATGAAGGGGACATAAATAGAGCTAGAGGAAGACTCGTGAGACGAGAGTGAATGATCGAAGTCGTTCAGCCGTTGTTGAGAGAAGCTTAAGTGGGATTGAAAGCCTATGACGTTACAGAATGGAATGCCGTGTGTGGAGAGGAGAGGCTAAAGGAGACTTGAGGCGACGTAAATCAGCATTTGAGTCTGAAAAGCTAGAAGTGGCGATTAGGCGTACCGAGGGAGCTGGTAGGAGAGGGTGGTGGGACGATCGGGGTTGAGAGATTGGGATGGATTGGATCTCGTGATCGAGAGTGGGGTTTCTGTCGGATGTAGAGGAGAGAGGCGAGAAGAGATAGGGGGCGAGGAGGCCCCAGAGAGTCGGACCAGAGAGACCAGAGCGAAGACCAGCGAGAGAGACCAGAGAGAGACCAGAGAGAGACCAGAGAGAGACCAGAGAGAGAGACCAGAGAGAGACCAAGAGAGAGACCAGAGAGAGACAGAGAGAGAGAGACCAGAGAGAGAAACCAGAGAGAGAGACCAGAGAGAAACCAGAGAGAGAGACCAGAGAGAAACCAGAGAGAGAGGCCAGAGAGAGACCAGAGAGAAACCAGAGAGAGACCAGAGAGAGACCAGAGAGAGAGACCAGAGAGAGACCAGAGAGAGACCAGAGAGAAACCAGAGAGAAACCAGAGAGAGACCAGAGAGAAACCAGAGAGAGACCAGAGAGAGAGACTAGAGAGAGACTAGAGAGAGACCAGAGAGAGACCAGAGAGAGACCAAGAGAGACCAGAGAGAGACCAGAGAGCGAGACCAGAGAGAGACCAGAGAGAGAGACCAGAGAGAGAGGCCAGAGAGAGACCAGAGAGAGACCAAAGAGAGACCAGAGAGAGAGACCAGAGAGAGAGACCAGAGAGAGACCAGAGAGAGAGACCAGAGAGAGACCAGAGAGAGACGAGAGAGACCAGAGAGAAACCAGAGAGAGACCAGAGAGAGACCAGAGAGAGACCAGAGAGAGACCAGAGAGAGACCAGAGAGAGACCAGAGAGAAACCAGATAGAGACCAGAGAGAGACCAGAGAGAAACCAGAGAGAGACCAGAGAGAAACCAGAGAGAAACCAGAGAGAAACCAGAGAGAGAAACCAGAGAGAGACCAGAGAGAGACCAGAGAGAAACCAGAGAGAGACCAGAGAGAGACCAGAGAGAAACCAGAGAGAGACCAGAGAGAGACCAGAGAGAGACCAGAGAGAGAAACCAGAGAGAGACCAGAGAGAGACCAGAGAGAGACCAGAGACCAGAGAGAGACCAGAGAGAGACCAGAGAGAGACCAGAGAGAGACCAGCTTGTGTCCCTCGTTAATATGATTGTGATGAATCCTGCTGCACTGACGTCACATTTGTCTGATGTTGGTTTAAACACGTGAGAAACCACAGACACAGGGAGAACATGCAACATACACAAAGAAAGGAGTTTCTCTTCTGCATTTTACTCCTGTCACATTTAAACAGCGATAACAATAATAATGAAACATCTTTTCTACGTCGGTGAGTCGAGGGTCACTGTCCCCGAGCTTTAATGAAAAACCCACTCTCTGGTCTCTCCCTCTCTGGTCTCTCTCCCTCTCTGGTCTCTCCCTCTCTCTGGTCTCTCCCTCTCTCTGGTCTCTCCCTCTCTCTGGTCTCTCCCTCTCTGGTCTCTCCCTCTCTGGTCTCTCCCTCTCTCTGGTCTCTCCCTCTCTCTGGTCTCTCCCTCTCTGGTCTCTCCCTCTCTGGTCTCTCCCTCTCTGGTCTCTCCCTCTCTCTGGTCTCTCCCTCTCTGGTCTCTCTCCCTCTCTGGTCTCTCTCCCTCTGGTCTCTCCCTCTCTGGTCTCTCCCTCTCTCTGGTCTCTCTCTCTCTGGTCTCTCTCCCTCTCTGGTCTCTCTCCCTCTCTGGTCTCTCTCCCTCTCTGGTCTCTCCCTCTCTCTGGTCTCTCCCTCTCTGGTCTCTCTCCCTCTCTGGTCTCTCTCCCTCTGGTCTCTCCCTCTCTGGTCTCTCTCTCTCTCTGGTCTCTCCCTCTCTGGTCTCTCTCCCTCTCTGGTCTCTCTCCCTCTCTGGTCTCTCTCCCTCTCTGGTCTCTCCCTCTCTGGTCTCTCTCCCTCTCTGGTCTCTCTCCCTCTCTGGTCTCTCCCTCTCTCTGGTCTCTCTCCCTCTCTGGTCTCTCTCTCTCTGGTCTCTCTCCCTCTTGGTCTCTCCCTCTCTCTGGTCTCTCCCTCTCTCTGGTCTCTCCCTCTCTGGTCTCTCCCTCTTGGTCTCTCCCTCTCTGGTCTCTCTCTCTCTGGTCTCTCCCTCTCTGGTCTCTCTCCCTCTCTGGTCTCTTCCCTCTCTGGTCTCTCCCTCTCTCTGGTCTCTCTCCTCTCTCTGGTCTCTCTCTCTCTGGTCTCTCTCCCTCTCTGGTCTCTCCCTCTCTCTGGTCTCTCCCTCTCTCTGGTCTCTCCCTCTCTGGTCTCTCCCTCTCTGGTCTCTCCCTCTCTGGTCTCTCCCTCTCTGGTCTCTCCCTCTCTGGTCTCTCTCCCTCTCTGGTCTCTCTCCCTCTGGTCTCTCCCTCTCTGGTCTCTCCCTCTCTGGTCTCTCCCTCTCTCTGGTCTCTCCCTCTCTGGTCTCTCTCCCTCTCTGGTCTCTCTCCCTCTCTGGTCTCTCCCTCTCTGGTCTCTCCCTCTCTCTGGTCTCTCCCTCTCTGGTCTCTCTCCCTCTCTGGTCTCTCTCCCTCTGGTCTCTCCCTCTCTGGTCTCTCCCTCTCTCTGGTCTCTCCCTCTCTGGTCTCTCTCCCTCTCTGGTCTCTCTCCCTCTCTGGTCTCTCCCTCTCTGGTCTCTCCCTCTCTGGTCTCTCTCCCTCTCTGGTCTCTCTCCCTCTCTGGTCTCTCTCCCTCTCTGGTCTCTCTCCCTCTCTGGTCTCTCTCTCTCTCTGGTCTCTCTCCCTCTCTGGTCTCTCCCTCTCTGGTCTCTCCCTCTCTGGTCTCTCCCTCTCTGGTCTCTCCCTCTCTGGTCTCTCTCTTGTCTCTGAATTAAATCACTTATAACCACAATGAATGAAAGCACAGCTAACCATGTTGAATTAATTCACTTAGAAGCATGGCTAAGGCTAACCACAATCAATGAAAACAGGATGGGTCAAACGCACATTTCACTACAGGGACAAAAAAGGGACTGGCCACCAGCCCGGACTCTGAGGAGCACAGGGACTGGCCTCCTGCTGGGACTCTGAGGAGCACAGGGACTGGCCTCCTGCTGGGACTCAGAGGAGCACAGGGACTGGCCTCCTGCTGGTCCAGAGTCAGGACTAAACATAGGTCTTCCTGAAAACGTGAGACAGTCTTCTCTGACAATGTTTCCTTGTGAACTGTGCGACACAAATAAACCTGCTTTAATAATTGTAACGTGTCATTTTCACACGTTTTATCAAAAACACAAACATGAGTTTATCATAAAAATAATAAAGATAAAAACACCCAGTCTATGGTCCCAGTCTATGGTCCCAGTCTATGGTCCCAGTCTATGGTCCCAGTCTATGGTCCCCGTCTATGGTCCCCGTCTATGGTCCCCGTCCAGTCTATGGTCCCAGTCTATGGTCCAGTCTATGGTCCAGTCTATGGTCCAGTCTATGGTCCAGTCTATGGTCCCGGTCTATGGTCCCGGTCTATGGTCCCAGTTTATGGTCCCGGTCTATGGTCCAGTCTATGGTCCCGGTCTATGGTCCCGGTCTATGGTCCCGGTCTATGGTCCCTACATACCAGTAACTGTTATTCTCGGGTCAGAAAGTTTCCACGGAGCGCGCTCTTCTGCACAAACACGTAACAACAGTCTATGGCACTTATCACGCAATAAAACCACGATCACGCGCACGTTCAACACCCGACACCCCCCAATGCTGTTTACGTCGACGGGGACGCGCTCTGGCAACCCGCACCCCAACCAGAACACGCCACGAAGCGAAAATATCCGGATGCTGGGATTTGGCAACTTACGCACGGCGGCCAAAGCGACGTTTTCAGCCAATAAAAACACATAAAAACACAAAACAGACCCAAAACCGGACCCGTGGCCTACCTGCTCTTCCTCCAGCGTCAAAGCAGCAGCCATGGTTCACCAAAAAGCAGATCACCTTGGGCTGCGTTTCATGGGAGGCGGGTTTGTCGTGCGTAAAAAGTCAAAATAGCAGGAGTTGGTGCGTGTGGCTTTGGCTCGGGTCTGGCACGGCTCTGGCACTTGGCATTCCTGGAAGCGCAAAAAAAACAGGCCAATTAAGCGGCGAAATCTGCTACATCCGAACGGGAGAGAGGGCTGAGGAGGCGGATGTTGTGTCGGGTTTCAGAGCAGGGGAAAGGGGGGAGAAAGAGTGGGAGAGAGAGAGAGGTTCCGGAGGTGGGTTTTCTCGGTGTTAAATGGATGGAATGAGGAGTGGGACGCGCGGGGAGAGGCGCTGTGCCGTGGGGCCGCGGTGGAAACGCGTTTATGTGGAGGAGAAGCCGCAGATGGATGAGGGGGAGGCGCGTTCTACTACAGCCACAGGTTGGATCTCCCCCTAGCGGCGGAAGGGGCGCATGGCAGGCCACACGCGTTCATTCATAAAAAAAAAACAAAACACAGATAGACACAAAGACACACACACACAGACACACACAGACATAGAGACACACACAAAAACACACAGTAGTAGTAAGTAGTAATCTTTATTTTGTGAGACAGGCCTCCTCTCTGACAATGTTTAAAACCAGGTTAAAGACAGTTCTGTTTAACTGTGCTACAACTGAGGGATTTTATATTTCTATCTTTTCTCTTTAATGTTCTGTGATAATTTATGATTTTAATGCTTTCTTGTTTTGTTCAGCACTTTGAATTGCCTTGTGTATGAATTGTGCTATATAAATAAACTTGCCTTGCCTATTTATATACCACCTTTTCACTGCAGATCTGAGTCTCAAAGCGGTTTACAATTGTTAATTATGGGCACTTGTCTCTCACTCCACACAAAGATGGGAGCGGGGTCGCCAGTACAGGAGAACTATTGGACATATTTTTAGTGGTAGGGGAAACCGGAGTACCCGGAGGAAACCTACGCAGCCACGGGGAGAACATGCAAACTCCTCTCAGAAAGGCCCTGGTCCGACCAGGATTCGAACCCAGGACCTTCTTGCTGAGAGGCGAGACTGCTATCCACTCAGCCACACAGACACACACACACACACACAAAACCAGACAGAAACTATACAAGGCATTAAAATCATAAATAATTATATAACTTTAAAAATAGTAAAGATAAAATCCAGTTGTTTTTAACCTGGATTTGAACATTGTCAGAGAAGAAGACTGTCTCACATCTTCAGGAAGATTGTTCCAGATTTTAGCATGAATCTGAAATGCAGCCACATGTTTAGTTCTGACTCTGGGACCAGTCAGTCTGAGGCCAGTCCCTGTGCTCCTCAGAGTCCTAGCAGGAGACCAGTCCCTGTGCTCCTCAGAGTCCCAGCAGGAGGCCAGTCCCTGTGCTCCTCAGAGTCCCAGCAGGAGACCAGTCCCTGTGCTCCTCAGAGTCCCAGCAGGAGGCCAGTCCCTGTGCTCCTCAGAGTCCCAGCAGGAGGCCAGTCCCTGTGCTCCTCAGAGTTGTTGGTCGTTCAGAATGGCAGTGATTCCTTTTACTGAGAGATAGGATCTAAATGTAAATGTGTTGAGGTAAGTATGAGGTTAAAACTTGCTTTCTGCCTGTAACTCCCTGTGCTACCACCAGAGGGAGCAGTAGGGATGGTTTTGTTTGTCGCAATCTGGGTCAAATAGTGACTCACAGGGCTCATTCTGACACTGAACATATGTTTTCTAATCAGATGTTGTGGTCCATAGCAACAACACAGAGTTACTGATGAGGAAAAGGTACCGCAGCTTTAACTCTCTACAAGTATAGTTTATTTTCACAAGGTTCTCAGAAAAATCACAATTTGTCTTTAACCGAGGATCAAAAACGTTGAATGAATGCTGCTCTTAAATCTTAAAATCTTCCTCTTCCTGTTCTTTTTGTCAACTTTGTGTAAAATGTGAGACTTTCGAGAAATCCTGGGTTTTATTTCCACGTCAATAACATCCTTGAGATTGAATTTACAAGAACACAAAGAAACAATGAGTCCAGTTTTTGTCTCACTGCTGCTTTCCAAAATTATTTCTTCGCGAGAAATGTTGAAATTAGTTCTTGGAAAGTGACTTCAGCAGAACTGAGACGGAGCCGCTCGTCTCTGGTTTTACACAGAACAAAACCAAGACCTTTGAAATCACGTCGCAGATGTTTAATGTGTGGTCGTCCTCAACACGTGCGGCGCTCATTGGACCCCACACGTTTTATACATTTGTCACAGGACGCACCAAGACGCACAAAGACACACTGTTCACTGTTTAGACTCTGGTTAAGTTTATTTGAATCAATGCATTAGTTTTATACAGAGCTTTTCAGGGCACTCAAAATGTCATTATTCTTTCTCTCCAACAGCTGCCCTGGGGCACAGTGACAGAAGTGAGGCAACCAGTCTGTGCAATTGGCCCCTCCCACCACCACCAACCGTTCACACACACACCAGACTCGGGCGGCAGTAGCTCAGTTGGTAGAGCTTTGGCCTTTGAGCCAGAAGGTCGTGGGTTCAAGCCCCGCTCAAGACTTTCACCATCGACTCCCTCTGACTACTGTCGTTGTGTCCTTGGCAAGACACTTAACCTCTGGGAACACCAGCCACAGTGGGGCGGCTGCGGCTGTAAAGTGCCAAACTGCCGCTGTGTCCTTAGGCAAGACACTTCACCCCCATTGCCTAGAATGAGTCTGGTGTGTGTGTGAATGGTTGGTGGTGGTCGGAGGGGCCGATGGCGCATACTGATTGCCTCGCTTCTGTCAGTGTGCCCCAGGGCAGCTGTGGCTACAGCAGTAGTTTATCACCACCGTGTATGGAGTGAATGAATAATGACACATGTGAAGCGTCTTTGAGTGTCCAGAAAAGCGCTATATAAAACCGATGCATTATTATTATTCTAATGTGGGGGAAGTGTCATGCCTAAGGACACAACTACAGTATAACACTTTACAGCCACAGCCGCACGCACTACTGTGGCACCTGCTGTTCCCAGAGGTCTCCCATCACAGCACTAACCAGGCCCTGCCCTGCTTAGCTTCAGAGGTCTGACAGGATCTGGCCTTCACCTGCAGGTGTGGTCACATGTATGGCCCAGTTCACAAACACAAAATCAGATGGAAACTCCCTCTGGTGGCAGCACAGGGAGTTACAGCAGATACCGTTATTTTCACTTCATGCTTTTAAATCTTAAATATATTTTCAAATTAAGATTAAATTGCACATTCTAAAACATCTGCATTTTTTCCATGGTTTTGTCACATTTTCTTGCCCCGCGGCCATTTTGAAAAAGCCTCAGCGGCGGAGAGAGGCGTGACATTGTTCGTTATTGTTGTGTCTGATTCTCTGATCTGTTGTTGGTGAATCAACAGTTTAGTAAAGTCCTCTGAGAAAACCACTGCAGGGATTTAGGGCGATGCAAAATAAATTAATAAATACATAATTTTAGAATCAATTTTAAGATTTTGTTTGTTTTTAAAGCTTTGAACGGACTGGCCCCTCCTCACATCTCGGACCTCATCCAAATGTATCACCCGCCCCGCGCTGAGGTCCGAGGACCAGACTTAAAACCCGGGGACAGGGCCTTCTCTGGGGCTGGACCAAAGCTGTGGAACCCTCTGCCCCCCCGGACCGAGTCCCGGACCAGAAAGTGTCTGGCACTCTCGCCTCTCAGCAAGTATGTTCTGGGATCGAATCCCAGTCAGAACAGGGCCTTTCTGAGTGGAGTTTGCATGTTCTCCCTGTGTAGGTTTCCTCTGGGTGCTCCGGTTTCCCCTACCACTAAAAACGTGCACAATAGTTCAGGGTGTGTGAGTGAGACTGAGACGGATGGAAATGATCCCATGGTACAATCCGGAGTGATGTGTTCAGGAACATGTACTGACCCAACCAAATAAACTATAAACTGAGACGGGACTAGAACACAGTACTTTAGACTTGGTTCTTATTCTGCCAAATGTAGAGTTAGAGATTTCAGATGATTTTAATGAGTATATTTGGTTCTTGTGCTGCGTTAGCTTTAGCCATCCATAAACTCGTACCGTGGTGTGGTGCGACCAGGACAATGCCGTGTGCGCCTCCTTCTTGTTCTGTAACCTGCGGTGCAACACTGACATTTCCCCGCTGTGGGACCAACACAGGACCTCTTCATCTCATCTCGGCCCCGGTCCTTCAGTCCAGGTCGGTCAGACTCATTCTGGTCGGGGCCAAGTTCAGAAACATGAGCTGTTTGGGGCCAAAAGTATAAAAGTCATTTCCGTTTATTTGTTTTACATAATTAGGAAACGAGTTTGGATTTCATTTCTGAGTAGGTTTGGGTTCAATCCCAGCTGGGTCAAATATCAGACATGTCATTGTCACTGTTAACCCATGGTCTGCCTTTGACGTATTTGTCTGAGAGCCTCTTTTCCACTGGAGATCACAGGAGAATAAAAACAGCTATAAACAAACTTATTTTTGCTGATGAAAGTAGAAAATCCAGTCTTTCAGAATCTGGTTTCACATTTCACACAGTCTGAGGAAATAATATTCTGTGGGTCTCCAGAATCAGTGAAATCATCAAAAACAGCAGCTGTTAGTGTTATTTTGTTTTCAGATTTTCCCATTTCTTTCCTGTTTGTGTTCCGATGTTGGAGGATAGTTCTGTTTCTGCGACCGTGACCATAACGAGACTTATTGATGGTTCTTTCACCTGAGCGTGGTGTGTTTGTGGATCACGTGTGAAAGTGAAACTAAAAGTAGCGAGAACAGATTTCACAGATTAAAGGCTCGAGTTTCTGAGGATTAAGTTTCTGCGAAGACGGAAACTGAAGCAGCGCTAATGTGTTTCTGCAAAGTCATTCCTGGAAAGCACCAGAGAGAGAGAGACAGAGACACCAGAGAGAGAGCAGGGAGAGAGACCAGAGAGAGAGAGACAGACCAGAGAGAGAGACCAGAGAGAGAGCAGGGAGAGACCAGAGAGAGACCAGAGAGAGACCAGAGAGAGAGCAGGGAGAGACCAGAGAGAGACCAGAGAGACCAGAGAGAGAGAGAGAGACCAGAGAGAGAGCGACAGAGAGAGACACCAGAGAGAGAGAGAGCAGGGAGAGAGAGACCAGAGAGAGAGCAGGGAGAGACCAGAGAGAGACCAGAGAGAGAGACCAGAGAGAGACCAGAGAGAGAGACCAGAGAGAGACCAGAGAGAGAGACCAGAGAGAGACCAGAGAGAGACCAGGGAGAGAGCAGGGAGAGAGAGAGAGAAAGACCAGGGAGAGACCAGAGAGAACAGAAAGAGAGCGGCGAGAGAGAGAGAGCAGAGTGAGAGACCAGGGAGAGTGACCAGCGAGCAGAGAGACCAGAGAGACCAGAGAGAGAGAGAGAGAGAGAGAGAGAGAGAGAGAGAGAGAGAGAGAGAAAGAGAGAAGCGAGAGACCAGAGAGAGACCAGAGAGAGACCAGAGAGAGAGACCAGAGAGAGAGACCAGAGAGAGACCAGAGAACACTTTCCTATTGGGCTTCATTGAACTGATTAGTTTTGTCCAAAACACATTAAAATATTTTTCAGATTTTTGCGAAGGACTGACATGACTCCAAACTGAAGAGATTCTGGTTAAATTGATCCGGTCTTAATCTTGCAGCAATAACATAATCCCATAATCCCTTCTCAGAATACAGGCATAAAAACATTTTATTCAGCACAATACATTTAAAAAAAATACTTAGCACAAAACAAATGAAGAATTATGAGTCAAAGGTACAGATAGTCGGGTCCATTTTGGCCAAAAGCTTCATGTTTATCCAAATATATTTATATAGTATTTGAGGAATTGAGTTTTGACCGAAGCAAACGCCAAAACTAATTAATTTGTTCTAAAAAGGCAGAAAACAGCTCTGTCCATGTCTCAGTTTACACCAAAAAGTCAGAATTCAACAGTTTTTGTGCACATTTCTCACATGTTTGTAATATTACCGTAGAGTTGGATTTGGAGGAACTTTATGAATGAGCAGCAAAATACAACTTTCTGTGATGAAGGCGAGCAGCGGAACAGAAAGGATTTGGACTGAAGAAATATTTAACACTCATTTAGGAGAAAGACTTGGGTCCAAACGGGCAGAAAACACCTCCGTCTCTGAGGTCACGGTCTCTGACTGAGCCTGCATCGTAATCAAAATAAATGGGATGTAGTTTGGGCCTCCAGATTAAGGCAAAGAACTGTTGGGTATTGGTTTTATAAGGGACTGCAGAAGCTAGGAGTAAGAAGCAGTTCTGGACCGAGAGAGATTGTCCCGTGGGCCGCATTTGGCTCGTGGGCCATGGTTTGGACCGGCCTGATTTAGACAGAACTGTGTGCAGTAACAGATGTGACAGAGCTGTGGGTTTTTCTGCTCAGTCCTCCATCTGCGCCTCTTTGATGGGTCTCTGGTTTAAAAACTTGCCGTCGTCGGCGCCGTTCTGGCTCGGCGTGGAGAGGTACTCCAGCTCGTAGCCCCCGTCGGCGTCTATAGGCCGCACGTCGCTGGAGGTTTTCTTGTGCTCCAGGATCTGCTGCAGCTGGTGCGAGGCGTAGTCCGGCTTTCGGGTCAGCGGTCCGTCCGGGAGCTCCAGACCCAGGATGTCCCCGACCATGTACGGCCTGAGCCAGCCCACCAGGGGGGTGCTGCCGGGGGTGTAGTGGGTCTGTCTGTGGTAGAACAGGAGCCCGTCCACCTGCAGAAGGTTCAGAAGGTTCAGATGTGAGATTAGTCCGACCTGTAGAGTCATGTTGGACTGGGACAGAGGAGCTTTAGCCCCGTCTACATCAGTCCAGAGGGAGGTTTGGTCCGTCTACGGCCTCAGTCCTGGGTCTACGGCCTCAGTCCGGGGTCTACGGCCTCAGTCCGGGGTCTACGGCCTCAGTCCGGGGTCTACGGCCTCAGTCCGGGGTCTACGGCCTCAGTCCGGGGTCTACGGCCTCAGTCCGGGGTCTACGGCCTCAGTCCGGGGTCTACGGCCTCAGTCCGGGGTCTACGGCCTCAGTCCGGGGTCTACGGCCTCAGTCCGGGGTCTACGGCCTCAGTCCGGGGTCTACGGCCTCAGTCCGGGGTCTACGGCCTCAGTCCGGGGTCTACGGCCTCAGTCCGGGGTCTACGGCCTCAGTCCGGGGTCTACGGCCTCAGTCCGGGGTCTACGGCCTCAGTCCGGGGTCTACGGCCTCAGTCCGGGGTCTACGGCCTCAGTCCGGGGTCTACGGCCTCAGTCCGGGGTCTACGGCCTCAGTCCGGGGTCTACGGCCTCAGTCCGGGGTCTACGGCCTCAGTCCGGGGTCTACGGCCTCAGTCCGGGGTCTACGGCCTCAGTCCGGGGTCTACGGCCTCAGTCCGGGGTCTACGGCCTCAGTCCGGGGTCTACGGCCTCAGTCCGGGGTCTACGGCCTCAGTCCTGTTTATAATATTTTACACCTAATCTAAATGATCCATGTTAGCTCAGCAGTAGCACAGAGTCTAAACCACTCCCCCCCGTCCTCCACCAAACCCAACCCCTGCACATGAACACCGTTTCTGTAACAACGAAATTAGTTGTTCAAAAATGTATATTCGAACACATATTAGACAGCCCTTAATATTCTAAATGTATTTAATGACTGCAAATGAAATAGCTCCCAAAGGTTTCACCGTGATGTGCTAGGCAGCTAACAGCTAAGCTAGCTCAATAACTCTCTAGAACAACATGAAAACTGAACAAAGAATTCTGAACATCAGAGTTACTTACTGTATGTATATACTGAACCTATATCCATAATCACTTATATATGAACCTATATCCATAATCATTTATATATGAACCTATATCCATAATAATTTATATATGAACCTATATCCATAATCATTTATATATGAACCTATATCCATAATCATTTATATATGAACCTATATCCATAATCATTTATATATGAACCTATATCCATAATCATTTATATATGAACCTATATCCATAATCATTTATATATGAACCTATATCCATAATCATTTATATATGAACCTATATCCATAATCATTTATATATGAACCTATATCCATAATCATTTATATATGAACCTATATCCATAATAATTTATATATGAACCTATATCCATAATCATTTATATATGAACCTATATCCATAATCATTTATATATGAACCTATATCCATAATCATTTATATATGAACCTATATCCATAATCATTTATATATGAACCTATATCCATAATCATTTATATATGAACCTATATCCATAATCATTTTATATATGAACCTATATCCATAATCATTTATATATGAACCTATATCCATAATAATTTATATATGAACCTATATCCATAATCATTTATATATGAACCTATATCCATAATCATTTATATACTGAACCTATATCCATAATCATTTATATATGAACCTATATCCATAATCATTTATATATGAACCTATATCTAATCATTTATGTATGAACCTATATCCATAATCATTTATATATGAACATTATATTTTATTCATTATAAAATAAAATATATTAAAATAGTAATTTTGTCACGAAAACGTTAACGATTAATTCTGCTAACCTCTGTGCATGTGTGTTAAGGATGTAGACTGTATTCTCTGATTAACATCTAAAGGTGTTGATTGATGTGTATTTGTTTATTGAGCGTGGCTAGCTCTGCTAGCTTCTCTGCACAGACTGAAGTGACAGGCGCTGAAAGCTACTTGCAGAGTAATGTTAGTCTTTTACACCTGAATTACAAACAGAGTGCGTTGCCAAAGGGCAGCGGCCATTATTGGTTTGAGAGTTCTGTTATCAAGAAAAGACGATCGTTAGAACGTTTTGAAATGACTGGACCGTTCTCCTGCTGCTGTGAGGAGCGTGTGATAAATTATTAAATATTCAAAACTAGCGGTAATCTTTCAGTTATATATGTTGTTAGCAGTGCGTTGCTTTTGTACCATTTCATCAGTGATTGTTGTACAGCTTAAGTTGTGCTAATGCTAATGTTAGCATATGTATCAGATTGTAAATAAATCTAGATGGCTCCGTGGGAGGAGAGCGTAGGGGACAAGAGAAGCCTGTGAGCGAGTTGGGGGCGGGGCTAAACATTCTAACTGAAGAAACAGGTACAGCTCCTTTAATCTTGGCTGTATTTATTGGTTATGGAGTTTACAAAAGGAGCCCTAAAGGAGGCCAAGAAGAACCACAGGACGTTTGTTACCGTGAAGCCGTAGTCTGAGGCCAAACACTTCTGGATGGACGGAGCAGAGCAGTCGGTGCTGGAGAGACTCACGAAGCGGAACTGAAACAAACACATCAGTTACTGACAACACAACGTTCAACACAACGTTCAACACAACGAGGAACACAACGAGGAACACAACCTGTGAATCTGGGAAACAACAATAAATGCATTAAAGTGGATCCATCGAACGCTAGAGTCACACAGACCATAATGAGGTTTGTAAAGTTCTTAAAGTTACATGCCCTAGCTTTAAGTCTGTTATAAAGTTACATGCCCTAGCTTTAAGTCTGTCTGTTGTAAAGTTACATGCCCTAGCTTTAAGTTTGTCTGTTGTAAAGTTACATGCCCTAGCTTTAAGTCTGTCTGTTGTAAAGTTACATGCCCTAGCTTTAAGTCTGTCTGTTGTAAAGTTACATGCCCTAGCTTTAAGTTTGTCTGTTGTAAAGTTACATGCCCTAGCTTTAAGTCTGTCTGTTATAAAGTTACATACCCTAGCTTTAAGTCTGTTATAAAGTTACATACCCTAACTTTAAGTCTGTTATAAAGTTACATGCCCTAGCTTTAAGTCTGTTATAAAGTTACATGCCCTAGCTTTAAGTCTGTCTGTTATAAAGTTACATGCCCTAGCTTTAAGTCTGTGTTATAAAGTTACATGCCCTAGCTTTAAGTCTGTCTGTTATAAAGTTACATGCCCTAGCTTTAAGTCTGTTATAAAGTTACATGCCCTAGCTTTAAGTCTGTCTGTTGTAAAGTTACATGCCCTAGCTTTAAGTTTGTCTGTTGTAAAGTTACATGCCCTAGCTTTAAGTTTGTCTGTTGTAAAGTTACATGCCCTAGCTTTAAGTCTGTCTGTTGTAAAGTTACATGCCCTAGCTTTAAGTCTGTCTGTTGTAAAGTTACATGCCCTAGCTTTAAGTCTGTTATAAAGTTACATACCCTAGCTTTAAGTCTGTTATAAAGTTACATACCCTAGCTTTAAGTCTGTTATAAAGTTACATGCCCTAGCTTTAAGTCTGTTATAAAGTTACATGCCCTAGCTTTAAGTCTGTCTGTTATAAAGTTACATGCCCTAGCTTTAAGTCTGTGTTATAAAGTTACATGCCCTAGCTTTAAGTCTGTGTTATAAAGTTACATGCCCTAGCTTTAAGTCTGTGTTATAAAGTTACATGCCCGAGCTTTAAGTCTGTGTTATAAAGTTACATGCCCTAGCTTTAAGTCTGTGTTATAAAGTTACATGCCCTAGCTTTAAGTCTGTGTTATAAAGTTACATGCCCGAGCTTTAAGTCTGTCTGTTATAAAGTTACATGCCCTAGCTTTAAGTCTGTCTGTTGTAAAGTTACATGCCCTAGCTTTAAGTTTGTCTGTTGTAAAGTTACATGCCCTAGCTTTAAGTCTGTCTGTTGTAAAGTTACATGCCCTAGCTTTAAGTCTGTCTGTTGTAAAGTTACATGCCCTAGCTTTAAGTCTGTTATAAAGTTACATACCCTAGCTTTAAGTCTGTTATAAAGTTACATACCCTAGCTTTAAGTCTGTTATAAAGTTACATGCCCTAGCTTTAAGTCTGTTATAAAGTTACATGCCCTAGCTTTAAGTCTGTCTGTTATAAAGTTACATGCCCTAGCTTTAAGTCTGTGTTATAAAGTTACATGCCCTAGCTTTAAGTCTGTTATAAAGTTACATGCCCTAGCTTTAAGTCTGTCTGTTGTAAAGTTACATGCCCTAGCTTTAAGTTTGTCTGTTGTAAAGTTACATGCCCTAGCTTTAAGTCTGTCTGTTGTAAAGTTACATGCCCTAGCTTTAAGTCTGTCTGTTGTAAAGTTACATGCCCTAGCTTTAAGTCTGTTATAAAGTTACATACCCTAGCTTTAAGTCTGTTATAAAGTTACATACCCTAGCTTTAAGTCTGTTATAAAGTTACATGCCCTAGCTTTAAGTCTGTTATAAAGTTACATGCCCTAGCTTTAAGTCTGTCTGTTATAAAGTTACATGCCCTAGCTTTAAGTCTGTGTTATAAAGTTACATGCCCTAGCTTTAAGTCTGTCTGTTATAAAGTTACATGCCCTAGCTTTAAGTCTGTTATAAAGTTACATGCCCTAGCTTTAAGTCTGTCTGTTATAAAGTTACATGCCCTAGCTTTAAGTCTGTCTGTTATAAAGTTACATGCCCTAGCTTTAAGTCTGTTATAAAGTTACATGCCCTAGCTTTAAGTCTGTCTGTTATAAAGTTACATGCCCTAGCTTTAAGTCTGTGTTATAAAGTTACATACCCTAGCTTTAAGTCTGTGTTATAAAGTTACATACCCTAGCTTTAAGTCTGTGTTATAAAGTTACATACCCTAGCTTTAAGTCTGTGTTATAACGTTACATGCCCTAGCTTTAAGTCTGTGTTATTAAGTTACATGCCCTAGCTTTAAGTCTGTGTTATAAAGTTACATGCCCTAGCTTTAAGTCTGTGTTATAAAGTTACATGCCCTAGCTTTAAGTCTGTGTTATAAAGTTACATGCCCGAGCTTTAAGTCTGTGTTATAAAGTTACATGCCCTAGCTTTAAGTCTGTGTTATAAAGTTACATGCCCTAGCTTTAAGTCTGTGTTATAAAGTTACATGCCCGAGCTTTAAGTCTGTGTTATAAAGTTACATGCCCTAGCTTTAAGTCTGTGTTATAAAGTTACATGCCCTAGCTTTAAGTCTGTGTTATAAAGTTACATGCCCTAGCTTTAAGTCTGTGTTATAAAGTTACATGCCCTAGCTTTAAGTCTGTGTTATAAAGTTACATGCCCTAGCTTTAAGTGTGTCTGTTTTAAAGGGTTTGTGTCTGGACTCACTGGGTTCCTCTTGGCGATCTCCGACAGACCTTCCGTCTCCTGGACCTTGGACTGGAGCCAGTAGAACCTGAACTCGGTCTGTCGATGAGAAACAGCATAAACAGATCTGGATCCTCGAGTCATTACTCAGGCATCTGGAGGGGGAGTGGGAGCAGCGGCTCTATCCCATGCTCCAGCAGATCCACAGTATACATGTTACAGACACACTTTGGATTTATTATGCTCTGAACTTCATGTTTGACAATAACACTTCAGACTTAGTCCCAGAGGCAGATTTCCCGTGGTCAAAGCATTAATAAACAGAACGACCAAATACAGGTAAAGAACAACACCTGAAAACACAAAGAAACACAATATATACAATAAAATATATACACAAAACTACCTCACTCTGGCAGTAGCACAGGAAGATAAAGCCGATTATTATCGATATTGTTAATCGAAGGAGGTACAGAGACATGAAGCTCAGAGACAGATTATAATAATAATAAATCATTAGGTTTATACAGCGCTTTTCAGGACGCTCATAGTGATTAACTGCTGTAGCCACAGCTGCCCTGGGGCACACTGACAGAAGCCCCACCACCACCAACCATTCACACACACACCAGACTCATTCTAATGTGGGGGAAGTGTCTTGCCTAAGGACACAACCACAGTTAAGCACTTTACAGCCTCAGCCATCCCACTGTGGCACCTGCGGTTCCCAGAGGTCTCCCATCACAGCAGTCACCAGGCCCTGCTTAGCTTCAGAGGTCTGACAGTGTCTGGCCTTCACCTGCAGGTTTGACCGTGGGACAATAGCTAGTCCCCATCTGCGTCTGTCGTGTTTACCTTTGATACTAGATTCACCTTTTTCTACTGAAGACTTTTAAAATTCTAAAACTAGAAATGTTAAAACGGTTTCATAATGTTTAATGATTCTGAATCTGTGATTGTTAAAAACACAGATCATAGAGAATTCAAACTACTCACTGTCCGAGACATAATCCATAAAATATGTTTTATAAAGCGTTCTGCATTTCTACAGCCACTTCCTGTTTAATGTCCAATGAGACGTGACCAAAAACAGCCTGAGACGGGCCGCTAAAGGTGTTCTTTAACTCTGCTGTATGACCTGAAGCCTGATCTAAACGTGTTCTTTAACTCTGCTGTATGACCTGAAGTCTGATCTAAACGTGTTCTTTAACTCTGCCTGTATGACCTGAAGTCTGATCTAAACGTGTTCTTTAACTCTGCTGTATGACCTGAAGTCTGATCTAAAGGTGTTCTTTAACTCTGCCTGTTTGACCTGAAGTCTGATCTAAAGGTGTTCTTTAACTCTGCTGTATGACCTGAAGTCTGATCTAAACGTGTTCTTTAACTCTGCCTGTATGACGTGAAGTCTGATCTAAACGTGTTCTTTAACTCTGCCTGTATGACCTGAAATCTGATCTAAACGTGTTCTTTAACTCTGCCTGTATGACCTGAAGTCTGATATAAACGTGTTCTTTAACTCTGCTGTATGACCTGAAGCCTGATCTAAACGTGTTCTTTAACTCTGCCTGTATGACCTGAAGTCTGATCTAAACGTGTTATTTAACTCTGCTGTATGACCTGAAGTCTGATCTAAACGTGTTCTTTAACTCTGCCCGTTTGACCTGAAGTCTGATCTAAAGGTGTTCTTTAACTCTGCTGTATGACCTGAAGTCTGATCTAAAGGTGTTCTTTAACTCTGCCTGTATGACCTGAAGTCTGATCTAAACGTGTTCTTTAACTCTGCCTGTATGACCTGAAATCTGATCTAAACGTGTTCTTTAACTCTGCCTGTATGACCTGAAGTCTGATATAAACGTGTTCTTTAACTCTGCCTGTATGACCTGAAGTCTGATCTAAACGTGTTCTTTAACTCTGCCTGTTTGACCTGAAGTCTGATCTAAACGTGTTCTTTAACTCTGCCTGTATGACCTGAAGTCTGATCTAAACGTGTTCTTTAACTCTGCCTGTATGACCTGAAGTCTGATCTAAACGTGTTCTTTAACTCTGCTGTATGACCTGAAGTCTGATCTAAACGTGTTCTTTAACTGCCTGTAAGACCTGAAGTCTGATCTAAACGTGTTCTTTAACTCTGCCTGTATGACCTGAAGCCCGGATTTAAACGTGTTCTTTAACTCTGCTGTATGACCTGAAGTCTGATCTAAACATGTTCTTTAACTCTGCCTGTATGACCTGAAGTCTGATCTAAACGTGTTCTTTAACTCTGCTGTATGACCTGAAGCCCAGATCTAAAGGTGTTCTTTAACTCTGCTGTATGACCTGAAGCCCGGATCTAAACGTGCTCTTTAACTTTGCCTGTATGACCTGAAGTCTGATCTAAACGTGTTCTTTAACTGCCTGTATGACCTGAAGTCTGATCTAAACGTGTTCTTTAACTCTGCCTGTATGACCTGAAGCCCGGATCTAAACGTGTTCTTTAACTCTGCTGTATGACCTGAAGTCTGATCTAAACGTGTTCTTTAACTCTGCCTGTTTGACCTGAAGTCTGATCTAAACGTGTTCTTTAACTCTGCCTGTATGACCTGAAGTCTGATCTAAACGTGTTCTTTAACTCTGCCTGTATGACCTGAAGTCTGATCTAAACGTGTTCTTTAACTCTGCTGTATGACCTGAAGTCTGATCTAAACGTGTTCTTTAACTGCCTGTAAGACCTGAAGTCTGATCTAAACGTGTTCTTTAACTCTGCCTGTATGACCTGAAGCCCGGATTTAAACGTGTTCTTTAACTCTGCTGTATGACCTGAAGTCTGATCTAAACATGTTCTTTAACTCTGCCTGTATGACCTGAAGTCTGATCTAAACGTGTTCTTTAACTCTGCTGTATGACCTGAAGCCCAGATCTAAAGGTGTTCTTTAACTCTGCTGTATGACCTGAAGCCCGGATCTAAACGTGCTCTTTAACTTTGCCTGTATGACCTGAAGTCTGATCTAAACGTGTTCTTTAACTGCCTGTATGACCTGAAGTCTGATCTAAACGTGTTCTTTAACTCTGCCTGTATGACCTGAAGCCCGGATCTAAACGTGTTCTTTAACTCTGCTGTATGACCTGAAGTCTGATCTAAACATGTTCTTTAACTCTGCCTGTTTGACCTGAAGTCTGATCTAAAGGTGTTCTTTAACTCTGCCTGTATGACCTGAAGTCTGATCTAAACGTGTTCTTTAACTCTGCTGTATGACCTGAAGTCTGATCTAAACGTGTTCTTTAACTCTGCTGTATGACCTGAAGTCTGATCTAAACGTGTTCTTTAACTCTGCTTGTATGACCTGAAGTCTGATCTAAACGTGTTCTTTAACTCTGCCTGTATGACGTGAAGTCTGATCTAAACGTGTTCTTTAACTCTGCCTGTATGACCTGAAATCTGATCTAAACGTGTTCTTTAACTTTGCCTGTATGACCTGAAGTCTGATCTAAAGGTGTTCTTTAACTCTGCCTGTTTGACCTGAAGTCTGATCTAAAGGTGTTCTTTAACTCTGCTGTATGACCTGAAGTCTGATCTAAACGTGTTCTTTAACTCTGCCTGTATGACCTGAAATCTGATCTAAACGTGTTCTTTAACTTTGCCTGTATGACCTGAAGTCTGATCTAAAGGTGTTCTTTAACTCTGCCTGTTTGACCTGAAGTCTGATCTAAAGGTGTTCTTTAACTCTGCTGTATGACCTGAAGTCTGATCTAAACGTGTTCTTTAACTCTGCCTGTATGACCTGAAGTCTGATCTAAACGTGTTCTTTAACTCTGAATGTATGACCTGAAGTCTGATCTAAACGTGTTCTTTAACTCTGCTGTATGACCTGAAGTCTGATCTAAACGGTTTCTTTAACTCTGCTGTATGACCTGAAGTCTGATCTAGACGTGTTCTTTAACTCTGCCTGTATGACCTGAAGTCTGATCTAAACGTGTTCTTTAACTCTGCTGTATGACCTGAAGTCTGATCTAAAGGTGTTCTTTAACTCTGCCTGTTTGACCTGAAGTCTGATCTAACGGTGTTCTTTAACTCTGCTGTATGACCTGAAGTCTGATCTAAACGTGTTCTTTAACTCTGCCTGTATGACCTGAAGTCTGATCTAAACGTGTTCTTTAACTCTGCCTGTATGACCTGAAGTCTGATCTAAACGTGTTCTTTAACTCTGCTGTATGACCTGAAGTCTGATCTAAACGTGTTCTTTAACTCTGCTGTATGACCTGAAGTCTGATCTAAACGTGTTCTTTAACTCTGCTGTATGACCTGAAGTCTGATCTAAACGTGTTCTTTAACTCTGCTGTATGACCTGAAGTCTGATCTAAACGTGTTCTTTAACTCTGCCTGTATGACCTGAAGTCTGATCTAAACGTGTTCTTTAACTCTGCCTGTATGACCTGAAGTTTGATCTAAATGTGTTCTTTAACTCTGCCTGTATGACCTGAAGTCTGATCTAAATGTGTTCTTTAACTCTGCTGTATGACCTGAAGTCTGATCTAAACGTGTTCTTTAACTCTGCCTGTATGACCTGAAGTCTGATCTAAACGTGTTCTTTAACTCTGCCTGTATGACGTGAAGTCTGATCTAAACGTGTTCTTTAACTTTGCCTGTATGACCTGAAGCCCGGATATAAACGTGTTCTTTAACTCTGCCTGTTTGACTTGAAGTCTGATCTAAACGTGTTCTTTAACTCTGCCTGTATGACCTGAAGTCTGATCTAAACGTGTTCTTTAACTCTGCCTGTATGACCTGAAATCTGATCTAAACGTGTTCTTTAACTTTGCCTGTATGACCTGAAGTCTGATCTAAAGGTGTTCTTTAACTCTGCCTGTTTGACTTGAAGTCTGATCTAAAGGTGTTCTTTAACTCTGCTGTATGACCTGAAGTCTGATCTAAACGTGTTCTTTAACTCTGCCTGTATGACCTGAAGTCTGATCTAAACGTGTTCTTTAACTCTGAATGTATGACCTGAAGTCTGATCTAAACGTGTTCTTTAACTCTGCTGTATGACCTGAAGTCTGATCTAAACGGTTTCTTTAACTCTGCTGTATGACCTGAAGTCTGATCTAGACGTGTTCTTTAACTCTGCCTGTATGACCTGAAGTCTGATCTAAACGTGTTCTTTAACTCTGCTGTATGACCTGAAGTCTGATCTAAAGGTGTTCTTTAACTCTGCCTGTTTGACCTGAAGTCTGATCTAACGGTGTTCTTTAACTCTGCTGTATGGCCTGAAGTCTGATCTAAACGTGTTCTTTAACTCTGCCTGTATGACCTGAAGTCTGATCTAAACGTGTTCTTTAACTCTGCCTGTATGACCTGAAGTCTGATCTAAACGTGTTCTTTAACTCTGCTGTATGACCTGAAGTCTGATCTAAACGTGTTCTTTAACTCTGCTGTATGACCTGAAGTCTGATCTAAATGTGTTCTTTAACTCTGCTGTATGACCTGAAGTCTGATCTAAACGTGTTCTTTAACTCTGCTGTATGACCTGAAGTCTGATCTAAACGTGTTCTTTAACTCTGCCTGTATGACCTGAAGTCTGATCTAAACGTGTTCTTTAACTCTGCCTGTATGACCTGAAGTTTGATCTAAATGTGTTCTTTAACTCTGCCTGTATGACCTGAAGTCTGATCTAAACGTGTTCTTTAACTCTGCTGTATGACCTGAAGTCTGATCTAAACGTGTTCTTTAACTCTGCTGTATGACCTGAAGTCTGATCTAAACGTGTTCTTTAACTCTACTGTATGACCTGAAGTCTGATCTAAACGTGTTCTTTAACTCTGCCTGTATGACCTGAAGTCTGATCTAAACGTGTTCTTTAACTCTGCCTGTATGACCTGAAGTCTGATCTAAACGTGTTCTTTAACTCTGCTGTATGACCTGAAGTCTGATCTAAACGTGTTCTTTAACTCTACTGTATGACCTGAAGTCTGATCTAAACGTGTTCTTTAACTCTGCCTGTTTGACCTGAAGTCTGATCTAAACGTGTTCTTTAACTCTGCCTGTATGACCTGAAGTCTGATCTAAACGTGTTCTTTAACTCTGCTGTATGACCTGAAGTCTGATCTAAACGTGTTCTTTAACTCTGCTGTATGACCTGAAGTCTGATCTAAACGTGTTCTTTAACTCTACTGTATGACCTGAAGTCTGATCTAAACGTGTTCTTTAACTCTGCCTGTTTGACCTGAAGTCTGATCTAAACGTGTTCTTTAACTCTGCCTGTATGACCTGAAGTCTGATCTAAACGTGTTCTTTAACTCTGCTGTATGACCTGAAGTCTGATCTAAACGTGTTCTTTAACGCAGCAGGTTCTCACCGGACAGTCGTAGACCGGGTGTCCTCTCCAACACATCACGTCCAGGATGTAATACGTACGGTCCACCTCACTGTAAATACAATCCAGGATGGTGTAGTCTGAAACACAAGAGGGATTCATATAAGTCATGGTTATTTATATAGCGCAGATTCTTTTCCATCCGCACAGTGACGTTGGCATTGAGACGTCAAACACACTGGTGCTTCAAAGCCCCAACATTATCCATTCATTCATCAGATCTATTGTACATGTTATGAGTGGTAGGGCAAACCGGAGCACCTGGAGAAAACCTATGAAGGCACAGGGAGACGATATAAACTCCACTCAGAAAGGCCCTGTACATACACACACACATGTAACTAATACATGTTTCAGACGTCCATAATTACAGCGCTACAGCGAATGGAAATGTATCACTCTCAGCCCAACGTTCCCATAATGCATCACTTTAATGTTGTTTATTATGTAAGGGATAATGTATAGCCTACAGGTCATTATCGGAAAATAAGTACCGACAGGGCGAAGCGGACCCCGACGCGCAGCGGAGGGGTCTGCTTCCGCCCTGAAGGTACTTATTTTCCGATAATGACCTGTAGGCTATACATTATCCCGCTTATTATACTGCTTTGTACCAACTTAACACACAAAATAAACTTCAGATCACTTTTATGAATGCCAAAAGTTTATTTAATGACAACAAATAAAGTAGTCCCAAAAAGTTTTCCCGTTGCTCGGCAACCGCGGGCAACAGTTAGGCTGGCAACTTCCAAACTAGAACTCTCTGGAACTGCATGAAAACTGAACAAAGAATTCTGAACATCAGCAGTGAGTGACCCAAACATAAACCTAACCTAAATCCATAATTCGATCCTCTGCAAATGTGTCCGAAAATGTGCCGGTATCTTAAAATGTGCCGGTATCTACTTCCGGGTTTTTCGGGATCGCCTTTTCTCGCATTACATCAGTGTTTTTGTCATGAAAACGTAAACGGAAAATTCTGAAAACTTCCGTGCACTTGTATTAAGACTGGATATGTATAAATTACTCTCCGATTAACATTTCATTGCGTTGATTGATTGGCATTTGCGTTTATTGAGCGGCCAGAACTACTTCCGGGTTTTTCACGATCGCTTTTTGACGCAGAGAAATAGTATTTTTGTCATGAAGACAAGACCAGAAAATTCTGAAAATTTCCGTGCACGTGTGTGAAGAATGTATATGTATAAGTATTCTCCGATTAACATTTAAGTGTGTTGATTGAGCGTGGCTAGCTCCGGAGTGGCCGGAACTACTTGCGGAGTTATCCACGCATTTGAAAGACAAGCAGAGAGTGCGTTGCCAAAGGGCAGCGGTCATTATTGTTTTGAGAGGTCCGTTATAGAAAATAATGACCGGTAGAACGTTTTTAAATTACATTCAAATCAATGGAGCGTTCTACTGCTGCTGTGAGGAGCCGTATAATAAAATAACAATAAGCGACTGAAGCAGATACGGTCCCAATATGTTCTTTAACAGCTGCACTTAAAGTTTAACACATTCACTAAAAGACAAACTATGCAACACACGCAGGCACACACACACAGACAGACACACACACGCAGGCACACAGACAGACACACAGAAGCGCACACACAGACACAGGCACACACACACACAGGCACACACAAACAGACACAGAGGCACACACACACACAAAGGCACACACACACACACACACACAGACAGACACACAGAAGCGCAGACACACACAGACAGACACAGACACACACACAGACAGAGGCGCACAAACACACACACACACACAGACAGACACACACAGGCACACACACACACACAGGCACACACACACAGACAGACACAGACACACAGAGGCACACACACACACAGACACACACACACAGGCACACACAAACACAGAGGCACACACACACACAAACACGGAGGCACACACACACAGACGCACACACAGACAGACCTTTTCCCATGGCAGAGTTGTGTCTGTTCCCGCCCGGCAGCAGGGAGGGGAAGCGGCTCACACAGTATCCACTTTTAGTATAAGCCGCAGTGGAACCCTGAAGGAAAACACACACACTGTTCAAAGGCCACACGCAACAAAGACACAATGGACTGCCGCTTCACCCAACCCCTTCTTAACCCTGGGACTGTAGCTTTATCTGAGTTAGTGCTGATGTGAAAGTCCAGCAGCTTTGAAATTATGAACACACATTTTTGCAGTTCTTGTGCTTTTAGGCATTATAAAAATAAAAATAAATCCAATGGGGAAATGGAAACGGGTGAATATTGTGCCTTTGTAAAACCGTGTTTGTGAAATGTTTGTGGAGTCAGATCCAGATCGTGTGAGAACTGGGTCAAGAACTCAGAGAGGAAGTTGTCGAAATGCAGCGTCAGGTCAGTTTTATTTTAGAAACTATTATCAATTGTGCAAAGTACTTTGAGAAGAAGAAAAACACAGTAATCTGATCACAGTAATCTGTCCCCTCTCTGGTGTCCCCTCTCTGGTGTCCCCTCTCTGGTGTCCCCTCTCTGGTGTCCCCTCTCTGGTGTCCCCTCTCTGGTGTCCCCTCTCTGGTGTCCCCTCTCTGGTGTCCCCTCTCTGGTGTCCCCTCTCTGGTCTGGTTGTCCGTCACATTTATCTGTCCGAGTCTTTGATTCTTACCTTTGAGGCGACAATGAGAGATCTTTTCCCCACGGGACAAAAGACCAGCAGCCAATCAGTGCTGAGCTCTGCCGGGACGTCCACCAGCCACTCCGACAGCATCAGCTGCAGCACAGACAATACAACAGACTGAAGAGCGCCCTCTGCTGGACAATGATAGAACTGCACATGAACTCAAGGGACAGTGTTTAAAAAGTGTGTTTGGATCCATTCAGTCCCGGGTCTACGGCCTCGGTCCCGGGTCTACGGCCTCGGTCCCGGGTCTACGGCCTCGGTCCCGGGTCTACGGCCTCGGTCCCGGGTCTACGGCCTCGGTCCCGGGTCTACGGCCTCGGTCCCGGGTCTACGGCCTCGGTCCCAGGTCTACAGCCTCGGTCCCGGGTCTACAGCCTCAGTCCCAGGTCTACGGCCTCGGTCCTGGGTCTACAGCCTCAGTCCCAGGTCTACAGCCTCAGTCCCAGGTCTACGGCCTCGGTCCCGGGTCTACGGCCTCGGTCTTGGGTCTACAGCCTCAGTCCTGGGTCTACAGCTCTGACCTGGTTGGCGTAGTGCTTGGGCAGCTTCCTCCGCTCCACCTCCATCTCCTCCTCTTCCTCCGCTGGGACGTCCTGGGACTGCTCTTTCTGCTGCTGCTCTTCATCGCTGTCCGCCTCCGTCCAGTCCCCGTCCGCCAAACGCCGCGCATGGTTCACGTAGTTTAGCCTTTTACTGACCAGACATTAACAAGACACAATTATTATCGGTCCCACGTGATCGGGACAGTACTTTTAAGAACCCACAACTTACAAGTAACATTTTTACTCAAAGCTAAATGGTTTTGTTGTTACTTGTAAATAAAGAGCAAAAACAATTGGACACATTTTGTATCGTGTGATTTCTGTATCGGTTCATGACAAGTATCGACAGGTTCTGAAAACATTTTTGAAAGTTTTTAGTTTCTGAAAGACGTGGAAAATCTGGATCTCGACATGTCATTATTATTTCACTCCAACAGCTGCCCTGGGGCACACTGACAGAAGTGTGGCAACCAGTCTGTGCCATCGGCCCCTCCCACCACCACCAATTCTATTTTAGATCGAGTTTTGATGAAACAAGGAAGAGAATGTGTTTCGGGTCTCTGATTGTGACCAATCCCGGTTCTATCGTTCTATGGTCACGCCATCCACGCTCAAATGTACGATACATGGATCTATCCATATTGGGAGACGCTAGCTCCGTCAGCAACAGTGAGTGTGTGTGGGGGGCGATAGCTTCGTGGGTGCGGGGAGGGGAGCAGAAAGAGAGAGGCCAGCGAGACCGCTGCTTCAAAATCCCAAAGTCAGTTAGTGCAGCTTTAATTGTCAATACGTTTTTCACCGTGAGTGGAAAATGTGTTTTAAAATATATGGACTAAAGTAGAGGTAATTATCTCCAGTTTTTAATAAAAGAGACATTTGATCGTTGATTGATTTTCTAAGATGCCATGGGTGCATTGATAGACTAAACCAGGCTGAACCAGACTAAACCAGACAAGAAGGTCTGGTCACGCGCGCTCTGGTCTCGCTCTCTCTCTTAAACTATGGATCCTGTTCCTGCATATGATATATATATAAACCAGACTGAACCAGACTGAACCAGCCTTTCCCAAGTCTTCAGCGCACTATAAAGCAGCAGCCATGCTGTATTTACGTTTTCTGGAGCTCGAGGAACCTGCGGCGTCGCTCACTCTGCTCCAGCACACTGTACTTGCACTTGTACTGGGCCAGCCGAGGGTGAGGGGCCGCGGTGCTGTTGGGCTCCGACGACACAGAGAAGGAGGCCGAGAGGGACTGGGTTAAGGCGTCCATGGCGGCTCTGCAACAGGAGTCATCACAGGGTCAGGTCAGCACAGGTACAGACATGAAGGACAACAACTTCAAGGAGACAATAACATTTTTATCAACGCAAAAAAATCCAAACAGCAGCTTCCTGTGGCTCAGAAAACAGAATTTACTGAACCAAAGTACTTCTGTGACATGTTAGTGCCATGTGACGCAACTCTGAGGAGCACAGGGACTGGCCTCCTGCTGGGACTCCGAGGAGCACAGGGACTGGCCTCCTGCTGGGACTCAGAGGAGCACAGGGACTGGCCTCCTGCTGGGACTCAGAGGAGCACAGGGACTGGCCTCCTGCTGGGACTCAGAGGAGCACAGGGACTGGCCTCCTGCTGGGACTCAGAGGAGCACAGGGACTGGCCTCCTGCTGGGACTCAGAGGAGCACAGGGACTGGCCTCCTGCTGGGACTCAGAGGAGCACAGGGACTGGCCTCCTGCTGGGACTCAGAGGAGCACAGGGACTGGCCTCCTGCTGGGACTCAGAGGAGCACAGGGACTGGCCTCCTGCTGGGACTCCGAGGAGCACAGGGACTGGCCTCCTGCTGGGACTCCGAGGAGCACAGGGACTGGCCTCCTGCTGGGACTCTGAGGAGCACAGGGACTGGCCTCCTGCTGGGACTCCGAGGAGCACAGGGACTGGCCTCCTGCTGGGACTCTGAGGAGCACAGGGACTGGCCTCCTGCTGGGACTCTGAGGAGCACAGGGACTGGCCTCCTGCTGGGACTCTGAGGAGCACAGGGACTGGCCTCCTGCTGGGACTCTGAGGAGCACAGGGACTGGCCTCCTGCTGGGACTCTGAGGAGCACAGGGACTGACCTCCTGCTGGGACTCCGAGGAGCACAGGGTCTGGTCTCCTGCTGGTCTCAGAGTAGGGACTGAACATGGGGAGACAGCATGTTGGATTTATGCAGCACGGTGGGACAGTGGTTAGCACTTGTGCCTCACAGCAAGGTCTTTGGTTCGATTCTACCTCAAGGGATTTCTTTCCCCTCCTACAACTAAAAATATGTACAATAGGTCTGGCATGGGCCTCCTGTTCAGCACCTCCGCTCCATCTGTTTGGAGAGAGAGATAAATGCCTACATTGATTGTAAAGCGCTTTGTGACTCTGGTCAGTGAAAGGCGCTGTATAAATATTACTTACTAAGATCTGGAACAATCTTCCTAAAAGTGTGAGACGGGCTTCTTCTCTGACAATGTTTAAATCCAGTACAGTACAACATACAAGTCTGTTTAGCTGCAACAACAACAGGAACCGTCGTCCAGGGTAGAACTTGTTTGGACCTGGTTCTACTCAATAAGAACAGGACCAGTGTAATGAGGGGAGGGTGGAGCTGAGAGGGGCTTGGACAATCTGACATACAAAACTACAGCGTTTTTAATTCAGTCAATGCTCCTGGTTTGACAGTTAAAAGCAGAAAATACATTCAAAAGACAGGAAACAGAAAAATATATATATGTTTATTTCCGTACGTAACTGCGTATGAATAACGCTGTTTTTATACAGCTGTGTCTGTAAGAGTGTGTTATTGACAGACTCTCGGGGGTTATCCGTCCACAGACAGAGGGTTGTGTTCAGGTGTTGTGGGGAATGAGCAGAAAACAGTTGGAAATAGATGAAAACAGTTAAAAACCGTTGAGACAAACCGTGGCGCGAGGAGCTGCTGCAGGCGCGAGGTTAGAGCGCCGCCATGTTGGATCCTACCGGAAGCTGCGACACAGGAGCGCGCGCCCTCTACCGGTGGTGGAAACGACCGGTTATTAAAACTAAACCAAAAACTTACAGAAAATGCACATTACTAACACAACAATATAGCGTTAGTTGTGACAGTTTGAAGAGGAATGTGGAGTGGATACAGGATTATTAACACTTTACTAACACAACAACAATAACATCTCTAATTATCACTACTACTGCATTTTTTAAAATCCTACCCTGAAGTTACTACTACTACTACTACTACTACTACAACTACTACTACTACAACTACTACTACTACTACTACTACTTCTACTACTACTACTACTTCTACTACTACAACTACTACTACTACTTCTACTACCTCTACTACTACAACTACTACTTCTACTACTACTACTACTACTACTTCTACTACTACTACAACTACTACAACTACTACTTCTAATACTACTACTTCTACTACTACTACTACAACTACTACATCTACTGCTACTACTGCTACTACTACAACTACAACTACTACTACTACTACTACAACTACTACATCTACTACTTCTACTCCAGTATAACATTTGTTTGTCTTTCTTTATGGACAAATGACTGATTTAAAGAGTTCCTGACTTTGAAACCATAAAAACTAGACTGTGTAGTAACTTCATGTGATTGCCAAAGTTCATAGCTCTCAGAACTGTTCGTGACACCCACAATATAGAAAGTACTTCAATTGTTTGGCTACTAGGGCTGTACTTTTCTGATTTGTGGCCCTACTACTGTATTACATAATCAGTTCCAAATGACTGCCCTCCACCTATGAGTAAACAAACTTTGACTAAAAATACTTCAGGAATTTACAATATGTTCTTTCCTCGTCATTTGCTTTGAGTAGTGGCTTTTTTATCGAAAGCCATTCAAGTACGTGCAGAGGCTGAAACACACGCCTCAGTCCTACTTAGACCAACAGTGAGAAATATTTAAAATACTAGTTGCCTTCTTTGGTCCCCTCTGTTTAAATGAGGGTTAAAACAGTTAATCACCTTTATGTCTCTCAAAACACATTTCAGTACGTCACCTTTAAAGTGGGACTATTAGTTTGTTGTCTTTGGGCGTCGATCCTTGCGGCTCAGTGATTCACAACAATCAAAAAAGGAACCCCACTTTTTTGATTTTTTGACACGTTTACTTTTACAATAGCTACTGCAGGGCCTTCACCCCCACCGCTGTCAGATTGTACAATAAGTCACTGCACTAGAACTGAAAAAGCAGCACTACTATTGCCACTTTTTTATTGTACATAATTATATCCTGCACCGACTGTTTTTACCTTTGACATGTTTCACACTTGTGTCTTTTACACAATCTGAGTGATTCTATCTGTGCCATACGGAAGAGCATTGCTGTCACTCAAAAAAAAAAAAAATTGTTAAAAAAAAAAAAAAAAAAAGATCTCATAATTACGAGATAATTATCTCGTAATTATGAGATAATTATCTCGTAATTATGAGATGATTATCTCGTAATTATGACATATTATCTCATAATTATGAGATTTAAAAAAATAACAAACAACAGAGACACTGACTCAGTGGTGATGATGGGGCTTTTTGATTTACTGCACTTTTATCATCTAATTGGATTAAAACATAAGGAAATACAGGTTGTTCTTCAAGAAGATGGCTATGAAATTTCCCTAATGCCACTTTCAGAGACACCTCGACCTCTCAAGAAATCCCATAAAGTGGTGTCCGTGGTGTCCGTGGTGTCTGGTCCACCCGGTCCTGCTGAAGCCATCGTGTGGAAAATGAAGCTAGCAATGACAGCAACTTTGTGACTATGACAATTTTTTGACTAATAAGGAAGAATTTCATAATAGATGGTTAAAATATTTCTTAATATAATCAAATATTTACCTGTACTGTTGGTAAAAGTTGTAGATGAAACAATGAATTGCATGCAGCCTGCCTCATGAGATTTTTTTTTTATTTCATTTTTTATCTCATAATTATGAGATAAAAAATGAAAAAAAAAAAAATTCTATCTCATAATTATGAGATAACTATCTCATAATTATGAGATAGTATCTCATAATTATGAGATCATTTTTTTTTTTTTTTTTTTAACAATCTTTTTTTTTTTTTAAGTGACAACAATGCTCTTCCGTAGTGCCAAATGTATTGACAGAGAAGCAAAATAAGCTTTGAGTTTAAAGGTTGTGAGGGATGGATTTATGTGATTATGTTAGAACAGTAGATCCAGGACACTCAACATTCAACAACATATACAGACATTTATCATCATTTCTGGACATCGGTCTCTGCCCCTTTTGCACCATGTGTTTTTATCTGTGCATTTCTTTGAACTGTTTGATTCTCTGATCTGTGTTGGTGAAGTCCTCCGAGAAAACACTGTTGTGATTGAGGACTAAACAAGTATACATTGAACTGAAATACTTTATAGTACACCGGTGGCAGTTTAGATTGTATGCAGTATTAACAAGTGTGTACGTAAAATGGATTTAAAACTATATGTGTGTGTTTTAAGTTAATATATTTGGACAGACAGTTTATACCAAAGCTACTCAAAGTGCAAATGTCTCATTCCCTGGAAACTTTAGTCACTAATACGTTTCTCACAGCCCTTTACATTAAGACTACAGCGACACTGTCATGAAAGGAGTAATATGCTCAAGCAACCATAGTCCCACTATAAAGGAAAGGAAGGTGGTGTTGAAACGTACTGATATCTGTTTGAGAGATACATGTCATTACATAGTACCGTGGTATGTTTGACAATTCTACTGCATGATTTTGTTAAAACACTTTGTCTGATGGGATTGGAAGCAAATAAGCTCTTAAATATCACTTCAGCACTTCATCTAACTCCTTTTTGAACCAGGTACGGGTTATTCATCTGTTATATTGATATATGTAAAAGTATGTATTGTGCAAGTTCGAAATAAGAATACGTCAAAAAAAAAAAATTCCCTCTGTGTCCGCATGGGGGCAGCATCCATCAGCGCGCGTCTCCAATAGAATATAAAGGAACCAGCAGGAGAAGGGGCGAAACTCCAGTCGCCTCCAATTGTCCAGCAGTGCCTCGCGTCATGGAAACACTCACTCCACTCTCACACACCACCAGCGCCAACACAACCCACTAAAACGCACTAAAAACGCACTAAAAACGCACTGAAACTCTCCGAACGCGCGGGGATTGCATGCGTTGCCGTGACTGGCGCTCGCCCTGGCCCGGACCTGGCGCGCACTGGATCTGGATTCGCGGACTGAAGATGCAGCAGCAAGTTTCTGTGCTCCGGAATGTACTCGGATAACTGCCTTTTCTGCACTTTGCATTGAGACGCCAGTACTCTCTGTGGTTGGAAGTATTCGCCTACACGGATCCTTACGCCTGGGATTACAATCTTTTGAAAGTGAAAATCTCTCTCTTTCTCTTGTCGCCATAACATCTCATTGTTGGATTAATTCAATGTTGTTGTCGCTGCTCCAGCTTTGTTCCGCCAACCTGTTCCGTGGAAGGTTTCTACAGCCGCGTTACTCATGGCGTTTATGATCAATTATTAATATTGCATAAGTCATAGCTTTGTTGAGGCACACCTGATCCAACAGCTGCCATGTAACTTGATAGGAGCCTGAATTTTACACTAACGAAGTCAATTCAACATGCACTGAAGTAGAAAACTATGAGACAAAGGTGGGTCAGGATATGTACTTGAGTAACTTTTTATATACGTTGTTTATTGGTATATTACAACACTAGTATCACCTATAGCAGAAATATACAGACTTTAAACGATTGTGCAATGGTTGCTTGAGCATATCACTCGTTTCATGACAGCATTTCAGTGTCGCTGTAGTCTAAAGGGCTGTGAGAAACGTATTAGTGACAAAAGTTTCCAGGGAATGAGGCATTTGCACTTTGAGTATCTTTTGGAATGAGCTATGTCCAAATATCTTAACTTAAAACACACACATATAGTTTTAAATCCATTTTACGTACACACTTGAGGGCTCACATAAGTCTAGAATTGGTATATTTGGGTCACAACTTTTTCCTTCTACTTGAGTACAAACACTTAAAAGTAACGTTCGTAAATGACAACAAAATTTGGCTATAGATGCTAGATTTTAGGATTCGAGAAAATCACTCAAGATGTCAGTGAAAGCTCGAGCTATTTATACTTTCCAGAGCGAAAACAAAGAGGAGATTAGTATACAGGAAAATGAGGAAGTGGTTATTTACGACGAGAACTCCGTGGATGGATGGTATCAAGGGGAGAACAGCAAAGGGCAAAAGGGTCTCTTCCCGGCGTCGTACGTGGAGGTTCTGCGGATTCGCTCCAACTCCAACCTGACGGATTATTCCATCAGCCCGGCCGGATCTCTGGGCAACAACTCGTCCTCTTCCTTCAACCACGGAACTCCGAATTCGACCAATGCGCATCTGCAGCAAAGTTACAGCTACGAAGATGACGATTACGACGACTGGGACGATTGGGACGACCGATCGACTGTTGTGGATGAAATCGAACCCACGAGTCATTCGACGAGGGGTCCAGACGCCAACGGCCACGCCCATCCAAGTCCAATCACCAACTCCCGGAACCCCAACGTTCATTATCGATCCAGGCCACCCATGGAGCGCCAAGACAGTATCTCCAGCAAAAAAAGCAGCATGGTTGGAAGAAACTTGAACCGGTTTTCCAGTTTTGTCCGCTCCGGGGTGGAAGCGTTCGTTTTGGGCGATGTTCCAATGATGGCCAAGATCGCGGAGTCTTACACGATTGAGATGGGAACTCTTGGGCCGAGCTGGAAGGACAACCCGAACCCTTTTGTCTGTTCTATCGAAGATCCGACCAAGCAGACCAAATTCAAAGGCATTAAAACGTACATATCGTATCGTGTCACGCCTTCCCACACGGGAGGGCCGGTTTACAGACGCTACAAGCACTTTGACTGGCTTTACAACCGGCTTTTGAGCAAATTCACTGTGATATCCGTGCCGCATTTGCCCGAAAAGCAGGCGACAGGAAGGTTCGAAGAGGACTTTATCGATAAGCGCAAGAGACGGCTTGTGTTATGGATGAACCACATGACCAGCCACCCCGTCCTCTCCCAGTACGAAGGCTTCGAACACTTTCTGATGTGCGCAGACGACAAGCAGTGGAAGTTGGGCAAAAGGCGCGCGGAGAAAGACGAGATGGTTGGCGCGCACTTTATGCTAACGCTTCAGATCCCCAATGAACACCAGGATCTGCAGGACGTAGAGGAGCGAGTGGACACCTTCAAATCCTTCGCCAAAAAGATGGACGACAGCGTGTTGCAGCTGACGCACGTAGCTTCGGAGCTGGTTCGGAAGCACGTGGGCGGCTTCCGGAGGGAGTTTCAGAGACTGGGCAACGCCTTTCAGTCCGTGAGCCACTCGTTCGCACTAGACCCGCCCCACGGCTCGGACTCTCTCAACAACGCCATCTCGCACACGGGGAGGACCTACGAGAACATTGGGGAGATGTTCGCGGAGCAGCCCAAGCACGACCTCTTCCAAATGCTGGACAAGCTGTCGCTGTACCAAGGCCTGCTCGCCAACTTCCCAGACATCATCCACCTGCAGAAAGGTAACGATCACAGACAAACTCACACATTCTCAAACCGTGAAGACAGAGGTGTTTGTTTAAGGTATTTAGTTATTCTAGACCAGACAATAGTGAGTTTAGACGCTTCTCAGGAAATATACGTAGAAACATCTCACGGTAATAACTAAGTTACTATCGCTAACTTACTATGGCTAACTTACTATCGCTAACTTACTATCGCTAACTTACTACTACTAACTTATTATTGCTAACTTACTATTGTCTGGTATAGAAGACCTTAATTCCTACTACATGGTGTGACACAGTGGCTGAGTGGTTAGCACTGTCGCTTCTCAGCAAGTAGGTCCTGGGTTCGAACCCTGGTCTTTCTGAGCGGCGTTTGCATGTTCGCCCTGTGTCTGTGTTGGTTTCCTCCTGGTGCTACGATTTCCCCTACCACTAAAAACATGTACAATAAGTCTGAGTGAAATGAATGAGTGAATGGGTGTTTGGTCGGAGGCTTTGATGGACCAGTGCTCTCTAGTCTCGCATCCATCGTCACCGAGAGAATAGAACAATATCTGAACTCTGAACAAGCGCTTTGGCAATAAAAGGATTTTTTATTTTTATAGTTTTCTTGCAGCATTGATGGTAATGTGTTACCATGGCACGTTATACATCATCTGTTTTCTCAGGAATTTAATGTATTCTAACATTTTACCCAAAACATCATTAGAAAATAATAGTGAAACTCATATCAAATAAAAGTAAGTGACCAAAATGAGTTTGACACTTCTGCTCTGTTGGAGTTTATTCTTGGGCTTCAATCTTTAGTTGATTACTTTACTCCTTATGCTTGTTGACGTGACTTGTTTTTATTTTGTAATTACCAAATACAAGACTTTCTATGTGGATATTCAGTTTTGGCTGTTGTTAGTTAGTTTATTTTTTCTTTGGCCATATGTACACCCAACCTCGGGTCACACGGATACAGAGCTCACATTTACTTTTTACAACAAGAAAAGAAAAAAAAGAAAAAAAAAGAACCAAATGTGTCCATAAAGGACCTTGTGCGAAACAATACCTGACCGAAAGGGTTTAGGCTGAAGTCCAAACTTATCCTGCCTAACCCCTAATACAATGTGAAATACGTCCAAAGATGACGAATTATACAGATTATCATTTACCAACAATAGTAACATGAAGCACCAAACATGTGTGTTTTGCAACAAGTTTCGGTATTGAAGGAATATAATATTCGACGTCACTACGAGACTCATCACAGCGAAAATATGACGGCTTGCAAGGACAACTGAGAAGAGATAAGATTAACGAATTGCTGGCGGGTCTGAGGAAACAGCAGTCAACTTTCATCAAGAGCCGAGAAGTAAGTGAAGCAGCGGTAAAAGCCAGCTACCTAGTTGCTAGCGAAATAGCATTAGCATCGAAGCCGTATTCCGACGGTGACTTTGTTAAACGATGCATGATGAAGGCGGCTGAACTTGTATGTCCCGAGAAGCGACAAGCTTTTGCCAATATTAGCCTGACTAGGAATACTATAGCAGAGAGGATTTCGGAACTATCGGCAGATTTAGACAGTCAATTGAAACGAAGAGTCAAGTCATTTATTGCATTTTCCGTGGCAACTGACGAGAGCACTGACATCACAGACGTGGCCCAACTGGCCATATTTATTCGAGGAGTTGATGAGACATTGACTGTTACTGAAGAGTTCTTGAGTTGGTGCCAATGATGGACACCACAACAGCCGAGGACATTTTCGGCTCTGTCGCTGCTGCATTGGACAGAGTTGGAGTGGACTGGTCCCGCGCTGTCAGCCTGGCTACAGACGGCGCGCCATCCATGGTCGGAAAGAAAGCAGGTGTCGCGACAAAGTTCAAAGACAAAGTACAAGCCCTTAATGGAGGAGATCGTTTCTGGACATTTCACTGTATTTTGCACCAGGAGGCATTGTGTTGCAAGTCGCTGAAAATGGACCACGTCATGGAGGTGGTTGTTCGCACTGTAAATTTTCATCCGGTCCAGAGGTCTGAACCATCGTCAGTTTGACAAACTTCTCAGCGACAGCAACATTACCCACAGCCTGCCATACCACACTGAAGTGAGATGGTTAAGCCGAGGCGCTGTGCTGAGGCATTTCTTTGATCTACGAGAGGAAATCGGACAGTTCATGGAGAAAAAAGGAAAACCGGTGTTGGAATTACAATCTCAGGAATGGCTACGAGACCTTGCATTCTTGGTTGATATTACTGAACACTTGAACAATCTGAACAAAATGTTGCAAGGCCGCAAAAAAGTTGTCACACAGTTTTCTGACAACATACATGCATTTAAGTTGAAGCTGACTTTGTGGGAGATGCAACTGGCAAATGGCAACCCTGCTCATTTCCCCTGTCTGAGAGATGTGTGTGTGACCAGACCTGATGCGGACATGAAACTGTACAAAGACAAAATTGCAGGACTACTGCGGGAGTTTGAGAAACGTTTTCAGGTATTTGGTGAACTTGAGACAGAATTTTCAGTTTTTCGCTCACCTTTCACAGTTAAAGCTTCTGATCTGCCGGTCGAAATTCAGCTAGAGATAATTGATTTGCAGTGTGATGCAGATTTGAAGGGCAAATTTGCCTCTGTAGGTCTGGACAGATTTTATCAGTATCTACTACCAGGGTACCCCAAATTAACAGCCCTGGCTGCTAAAATTTTGTGCATGTTTGGGACAACCTACCTTTGTGAACAAATTTTCTCAGTGATGAATATCAATAAAACAAAAATGCGTTCAAGGCTCACAAACAAGCACTTAAATGACATTCTGAAAGTGACAGCTAGTCAGGACATGACACCTGGTGTTGATGCGCTTGTACAGGCCAAAAGATGCCAAGTTTCAGGAACAAATACAAGTCCAGACTAGACTAACACCTTTTAAAATGCTGCTTTAGATACTGTTTGCATTGAAAGAATACAGCTCTGTGAAGATGAGTCCTTACTGTGGTGATTTAAAAAATGTGCACTTTAATGTTAGTCAGCAGCTTCAAAACAAAAGTTGTGTGATGGAATTCTACTGTTCATAAAACTCCATAAATTTTCAGTATGTATTGTATGTGTATGTATGTTTCATGTATGAAGTTCACAGATTTACAGGACAGGCGAACACTTTCTTCATTACACATTTAAAATCACTCTCCTTAGTTTGTAAGGTGTACGCAGGGATTACATTTTATATGCGTATGTGTAAGTGGTTTAAAAATTCCTTTCTTTAAAAGTCTCATTTAATCTTAAAGTGCATTACTATATTTGTCAGTACCAATTAAAGTTTTGTGCCTTTGTACAATCAGTGGGATCAGTTGCAATGCATATTTGTGAATGATAAAAGTAAATTGCACATTTGTCTATGGAAATATGAGGTGTTTCATGAAATGTTTTGTAAAAGGATAGTTCATTAAATTTCAATATTTCCCTAATGTTCTTGTGCTTCTTTACACCAAAACAAAGGAAAGACATGATATTTTGGTTATTTATAGCAGAGTATGGTATAACTTTAATGGTCCGGCCCACTTGACATCTCCCTAGGCCGTATGTGGCCCACGATGCGAAATGAGTTTGACACCCCTGCTCTAAAGGTTAAATCCTCTAATGCCAAATATTTTCCTAAATCTACTTTAATTCACCATCATTTATACTGTAGCTAATTAGCGCCTATCCACTACAGTCTATGCTGTTCACTAAAAGCTGTCAAACCGAGGAGGCACGTCTGCAGGTATTATTGGATATCATATAATCCCTATATTCCTTAATATGCAAAAGTTGGCCCGCCCTGTTCAACATTTCTGCCTACGTCTCTGATACATATAATTAGTATATTCTATATTAATAAGTGAGAGAGACTAAGAGAGACCAGAGACAAATGAGAGACCAGAGAGAGACCAGAGACAGATCAGAGATGGGGAGAGACCAGAAAGAGAGACCTGAGAGAGAGGAATGCACAATTTGACACTATTCTTCGATTCTACGTCATGGTGCTACGTCCCTTAGCGGACTTCGCTAGTGGGATATCACGTGACCCCCAGGTCACAGACGCCAGAGAGATCAACAAAAAATGCTCCAATCACCAGCCACCCTCCTCTATAAAGGCCCCTGCACAAGGCCGTGCCCCCTCTTTCACTCTGGCGCCGATTGAGATCTACCACAGTACTCACTTCATTCTGAGAGATGTCTTCCGTTGTTCGTCCGAGTTCCCCTTCGCCCTCCGGCGTCGGACGTCGTCGCTGCTCGACGTGTCGAGTCAGGCTCCAGCGCACGGACCAGCACTCCAGCTGCTTCATGTGCCTGGGTTCGGGCCATGCGGCATTGAGCGCTAGCTGCGCCTCGTGTCTCGCTCTCCCCAGGGAGGAGAGCGAACGCAGGCGCGCGTTCTTCGCCGCTGCAGCGCCCCGTCCGGACTCCTCTCAGGACGAGGAGTCTGAGACTGACTGGGCCCCACTCGACCTTCTGCCCGTGCCCGCGGAATGGGGTGACTGCGAGGACGGAGAGGCTTCGGAGATCGGCTCTCTCCTCACGCTGGACGAGGTGGTTTCGAACCCAGAGCCGGACCGCTTTCCTCTGGACCACATGCCTGGGCTCTACTCCTCCGAGGCGGCCATCATGGATGCCCCTCTGCCACCGCAGCCGATCCAGAGGGTGCAGGACTTCACCTCTGTGGGCACCACCACTCGAGGGAGGAGGAGGATACAACCCACGTTGTGCCCGTGGATGGACCCGATCGTCCATTACGCGACACGTGAGTGGCCAAAGCCCCTAGCAGCCAAGAGGCCTGCTCTGGGGTACGGCATGTATTGCAGCGTGCAGGACTGGTCCTGGACCGGTGGTGTCCCGGACATTGAGGATTCGGTCCGCATGGCCCTGCACCCCTCCGCATCTGTGTGGCCCGGCACCAGACCTCTCCTTCCCTCCGGGCGGGACAGGATGTCTTGGCGATGCTGGATAGATGTTATGCCAATGCGGCTCAGGTTAACAATAACAATAACAACAATATGGCGTTCATCACGGCCCTGGATAGGTCGCTCTCCTCTGGTCAGGCGCTCAGTGGAGACCTCCTATCGCAGGCGAGGACCACCTCGGCAGCGATCCTGCGCATGTGCCAGGCGCTAGCCGTGGATGGCAGCCGCTCCATGGCAGCAGCTCAAGTCGGGGCCAGGCACCTTTGGCTTGGGCTGGCTAATATCAGGGAGGCGGAGAAGAGGCAGCTGCTGGACCTGTCCATCTCCCAGACGTCCCTCTTCGGCCCGGACATGCAGGCCCTGGTGGCGAGACTGGAGTCTGCGGCCAACGACTCGGCTAGGCTAGCCCCGCACCTAGCACCAAGGCGCCATGCCCCCCACCATCACGGAGCCGGGTCAGAGGCAGAGAGCGTTCGTCCCGGGAGGCGTCCTGACCCGTATCCGCGCTCTGTGGTCCATCGTCCCCCCTCGACGAGGCTCCCGGGTCCAGACAAACCCACGGGTGGCTCGCGGGAGCAACGCACCCACCGCCGGCCTCCCCATGGTAGAGGAAGTCGGGGTGGCAAGAATTCTTTCAATAAAGGCCAACCGGCATTTCATCAGTACTCGTTACTGATGCTACGCGAGCTACGAGGAGGAGGAGGAGGGAGGTCAGAGTGTGTGGAGGAGGTCAGAGTGTGAGGAGGAGGAGGGGGTCAGAGTGTGTGGAGGAGGTCAGAGTGTGTGGAGGAGGTCAGAGTGTGAGGAGGAGGAGGGGGTCAGAGTGTGTGGAGGAGGTCAGAGTGTGAGGAGGAGGAGGGGGTCAGAGTGTGAGGAGGAGGAGGGGGTCAGAGTGTGAGGAGGAGGAGGAGGTCAGAGTGTGTGGAGGAGGTCAGAGTGTGAGGAGGAGGAGGGGGTCAGAGTGTGAGGAGGAGGAGGAGGTCAGAGTGTGTGGAGGAGGTCAGAGTGTGAGGAGGAGGAGGAGGTCAGAGTGTGTGGAGGAGGTCAGAGTGTGAGGAGGAGGAGGGGGTCAGAGTGTGAGGAGGAGGAGGAGGTCAGAGTGTGAGGAGGAGGAGGGGGGTCAGAGTGTGTGGAGGAGGAGGGGGTCAGAGTGTGTGGAGGAGGTCAGAGTGTGAGGAGGAGGAGGTCAGAGTGTGAGGAGGAGGAGGAGGTCAGAGTGTGAGGAGGAGGAGGAGGTCAGAGTGTGAGGAGGAGGAGGAGGTCAGAGTGTGAGGAGGAGGTCAGAGTGTGAGGAGGAGGAGGAGGAGGTCAGAGTGTGAGGAGGAGGAGGAGGTCAGAGTGTGAGGAGGAGGAGGAGGTCAGAGTGTGAGGAGGAGGAGGAGGTCAGAGTGTGAGGAGGAGGAGGAGGTCAGAGTGTGAGGAGGAGGAGGGGGTCAGAGTGTGAGGAGGAGGAGGGGGTCAGAGTGTGAGGAGGAGGAGGAGGTCAGAGTGTGAGGAGGAGGAGGTCAGAGTGTGAGGAGGAGGAGGAGGTCAGAGTGTGAGGAGGAGGAGGAGGTCAGAGTGTGAGGAGGAGGAGGAGGTCAGAGTGTGTGGAGGAGGTCAGAGTGTGAGGAGGAGGAGGGGGTCAGAGTGTGAGGAGGAGGAGGAGGTCAGAGTGTGAGGAGGAGGAGGAGGTCAGAGTGTGAGGAGGAGGAGGAGGTCAGAGTGTGAGGAGGAGGAGGAGGTCAGAGTGTGAGGAGGAGGAGGAGGTCAGAGTGTGAGGAGGAGGAGGAGGTCAGAGTGTGTGGAGGAGGTCAGAGTGTGAGGAGGAGGAGGAGGTCAGAGTGTGTGGAGGAGGTCAGAGTGTGAGGAGGAGGAGGGGGTCAGAGTGTGAGGAGGAGGAGGAGGTCAGAGTGTGAGGAGGAGGAGGGGGTCAGAGTGTGTGGAGGAGGTCAGAGTGTGAGGAGGAGGAGGTCAGAGTGTGAGGAGGAGGAGGTCAGAGTGTGAGGAGGAGGAGGAGGTCAGAGTGTGAGGAGGAGGTCAGAGTGTGAGGAGGAGGAGGAGGAGGTCAGAGTGTGAGGAGGAGGAGGAGGTCAGAGTGTGAGGAGGAGGAGGAGGTCAGAGTGTGAGGAGGAGGAGGAGGTCAGAGTGTGAGGAGGAGGAGGTCAGAGTGTGAGGAGGAGGAGGAGGTCAGAGTGTGAGGAGGAGGTCAGAGTGTGAGGAGGAGGAGGAGGTCAGAGTGTGAGGAGGTCAGAGTGTGAGGAGGAGGTCAGAGTGTGAGGAGGAGGAGGAGGTCAGAGTGTGAGGAGGAGGAGGGGGTCAGAGTGTGAGGAGGAGGAGGAGGTCAGAGTGTGAGGAGGAGGTCAGAGTGTGAGGAGGAGGAGGGGGTCAGAGTGTGAGGAGGAGGAGGAGGTCAGAGTGTGAGGAGGTCAGAGTGTGAGGAGGAGGTCAGAGTGTGAGGAGGAGGAGGAGGTCAGAGTGTGAGGAGGAGGAGGGGGTCAGAGTGTGAGGAGGAGGAGGGGGTCAGAGTGTAGATAGATAGATAGATAGATAGATAAATACTTTATTCATCCCAGCGAGGGGAAATTCAGTTGTCCTTAGTAGCAAAACAGCGGATAAAAAAGACAATACATATAAATATAAAAAATTAAAACCCCCACACATTTACATCAGCGATGACCGTTGTAAAATCGAATTGCAGCAGGGATGAAGGATCTCCGGAAGCGCTCAGTCCTGCTGTATACGGAGAGGAAACGATCCGATCGATTGCTCTTCTGAGCAGACAGAGACCCATACAGAGGGTGCCTGGAGTTACTAAGGATGGCCTGGACCTTTCTCCCCATGCACCTCTCAACCACTGCCTCAACAGAGTCCAGTGACCCCCCCAACCACTGACCCCGCCCTCTTAACCAGTTTGTCCAGCCTGTTACGGTTTTTGACCGATATATTGTTGCCCCAACTAATGACAGCATAAAAGAGAACAGCAGCCACAACAGAATGGTAAAACATAGACAACATTTGATTACACACATCAAAGGACTTCAGCCTCCTCAGAAAAAAGAGCCTGGTCTGACCCCTTTTGTAGAGCGCCTCTGTGTTGATGTTCCAGTCCAATTTATCATCCAGGTGAACACCTAGATATTTGTATTTGTGCACGCGTTCGATGTCCTGTCCATGAATATTTATTGGCTGTAAAGTGTTCTTTTTCTTGCCAAAGTAGATAGTCATTTCTTTGGTCTTGTTAGTGTTCAGAGTAAGTGAGTTCTTGGTGCTCCAATCACAGAATGCAGTGATCAAGTTCCTGTACTCCTCTTCCTGGTTATTTCTGACATAGGCCACAATGGCTGTGTCATCCGAGTACTTCTGAACATGACAAGTGTCAGAGTGGTACTTGAAGTCAGATGTATAGATGGTAAAGAGAAAAGGAGCAAGAACCGTTCCTTGTGGAGCCCCAACATTACTCACGACATAATCCGAAGTGGTGTGGCCAAGCCTCACGCACTGAGGCCGGCCCGTCAGATAGTTATGGATCCACGTGATGAAGATCCGGTCAACCCCTAACCTCTCCAGCTTTTGTTTGAGGATGTCTGGTTGAATTGTGTCGAATGCACTAGAAAAATCAAAGAACATTATCCTCACATATCCACCAGATTGATCCAGGAGGGAGTAGGTCCGGTGCAGCAAATACAAGATGGCATCATCCACTCCGATAGCCTCCTGATAGGAAAACTGGAGTGAGTCTTGTGCGTGATGTACCTGAGGCCTGAGAAGGTGCAGGACGAGCCGCTCCAGTGTCTTCATAATGTGGGAGGTCAAAGCCACTGGTCTGAAGTTTTTTAACTCTGTAGCCCGCGCTTCTTTTGGCACAGGGACGAGACAGGATGTCTTCCACAGATCAGGGACTCTGCCAGACTGAAGACTGAAGTTGTAGAGTGTCTGGAGCGGCGCCGCAAGCTGCTCCGCACAGTCCTTCAATAAACGCGGACTCACACCGTCTGGTCCAGGACCTTTGCAGGGGTGTAGCTTCTGCAGTTGTTTTTTCACCTCATCAGCAGTCACAGATGGGAGCGGTGAGGAACCAGAAGGAGCCTGGAGGAAGGAATGGTCGGGAGAGGGTGGAGGAGGGGATAAGAAAGGGGCAGGGGTGAGGGAGGATGAGGATGTTACATTGTGTCTGTTATAAAACCGATTGAACTCATTTGCACGATCCCTGTCACCAGCTGGTAAGCTCTGTCTTCCTTTCATTCCCGTGATCTTTTGCATTCCTCTCCACACTTCCTTGATGTTATTAGCCTTTAACCTTCTCTCCAGCTTCCGTTTGTAGTTCAGCTTGGACTTTCTTAAACTCCTTTTCACCTCCTGCTGTATCTCCCTTCGCTTTCCCTTGTCACCAAACACCCTCTTCTTTTCATTTAGAAGATGCTTAACGTCTGCCGTGATCCAAGGTTTGTTGTTAGGAAAGCACCTGACAGTGATTAGGGGCAGGGCAATATCTGTGCAAAAGTTTATATAGTCTGTTGTGCATCCCACTATTCTGTTAATGTCAAAGTCAGTGGTTGTCCTTCCATTGTTGTCCTGTAGATCCAGGATAACACTCCAGTCGGTGCATTCAAAACAGGCTCTCAGGGATTCACTGGCCTCTGACGTCCACTTCCTGAATGTCCGAGTTGTTACAGGCTGAGTCATTACACAAGGCTTGTATACAGGTCTCAGGTAAACCATGTTGTGGTCAGATTTACCAAGAGGTGGAAGTGCAGAAACAGTGTAGGCCTCTTTGACATTAACAAAGCACAAGTCCAAAGTTTTCTGCTCCCTTGTGGGACAGTCCACATATTGTGTGAATCCAGTCAAGTGGGGGGCAATGTTCACATGGTTAAAATCACCTGAAATAACAAAAAGAGCATCTGGGTGTAGTGTTTGCAATCTCACAACAGTATCGTGTATGACGTCACACGCTGCTGCCGGCTCCGCTCTTGGGGGGATGTAAACAATGATGGCGACGATGCTGTTGAATTCCCTCGGAACATAATATGGACGTAATCCGACTGCCAGTAGTTCAATGTCTTTACAACATAGTCTTTCCTTAGCAGAAATATGTCCGGGATGACACCATCTATTGTTCACAAAAATTGCAAGACCCCCGCCTTTGCTTTTCCCACTCGATTTCACGTCCCTGTCAGCACGCACCAAGGTAAAGCCAGGAAGCTCCACAGCAATGTCCGGTATTACATCCGTGAGCCAAGTCTCCGTTAGACAGAGAAGACTGCTCTCACGGAACTCTCGCTGATAGTTGACAAGCGCCGCGAGCTCATCACATTTGTTATGATAGGAGTTGACGTTACCCATCATAATCGACGGCACCGCCGGCTTGAATCTCCGCTTCTTAGCCTTTAGCCTGGCACCCGCACGGTTGCCTCGGAAAGGTTTTTTAATCTCCCGAGGAATCGGGTGTTTCATTCCGTGTCCAGACTTTCGCAGCACAAGGAGATCATCCCTGCTGTAGACGAGTTTACACATGACAGGCTCTAAAAACAGTGAAAAACAACGACAAACACGACAAAATATCCGGAGCTACTTCAGACTTGCTGCTTGCTCAGCGCATGCGCACTCTCACTCTCCTGAGAGGTGTGAGGAGGAGGAGGAGGTCAGAGTGTGAGGAGGAGGAGGGGGTCAGAGTGTGAGGAGGAGGTCAGAGTGTGAGGAGGAGGTCAGAGTGTGAGGAGGAGGAGGAGGTCAGAGTGTGAGGAGGAGGAGGAGGTCAGAGTGTGAGGAGGAGGAGGAGGTCAGAGTGTGAGGAGGAGGAGGGGGTCAGAGTGTGAGGAGGAGGAGGGGGTCAGAGTGTGAGGAGGAGGAGGAGGTCAGAGTGTGTGGAGGAGGAGGAGGTCAGAGTGTGAGGAGGAGGAGGAGGTCAGAGTGTGAGGAGGAGGAGGAGGTCAGAGTGTGAGGAAGAGGAGGAGGTCAGAGTGTGAGGAAGAGGAGGAGGTCAGAGTGTGAGGAGGAGGAGGAGGTCAGAGTGTGAGGAGGAGGTCAGAGTGTGAGGAGGAGTTCAGATGTGTGAGGAGGAGGAGGAGGTCAGAGTGTGTGGAGGAGGAGGAGGTCAGAGTGTGAGGAGGAGGAGGAGGTCAGAGTGTGAGGAGGAGGAGGAGGTCAGAGTGTGAGGAGGAGGTCAGAGTGTGAGGAGGAGTTCAGAGTGTGAGGAGGAGGAGGAGGTCAGAGTGTGAGGAGGAGGAGGAGGTCAGAGTGTGAGGAGGAGGTCAGAGTGTGAGGAGGAGGTCAGAGTGTGAGGAGGAGGTCAGAGTGTGAGGAGGAGGTCAGAGTGTGAGGAGGAGGAGGAGGTCAGAGTGTGAGGAGGAGGAGGAGGTCAGAGTGTGAGGAGGAGGAGGAGGTCAGAGTGTGAGGAGGAGGAGGAGGTCAGAGTGTGAGGAGGAGGTCAGAGTGTGATGAGGAGGAGGTCAGAGTGTGAGGAGGAGGTCAGAGTGTGAGGAGGAGGAGGAGGTCAGAGTGTGAGGAGGAGGAGGAGGTCAGAGTGTGAGGAGGAGGAGGAGGTCAGAGTGTGAGGAGGAGGAGGTCAGAGTGTGGATCTCCTGATCCTCCACAATCATCATGTGTTGCAGCCTCTGCTCTGAGAGTTTGGGAGAGGTTTGTGTTGTGTAGAAATAAACAAAGTACATTGCTGTTATGTGTGAATTATACACATCTATATTTAGATTGTATTCATTTTATTTTCTTCAAATAGTTCTTACTACTATAGTCGTTGTTTAAGGTTGAAGCTTGAATGGATTTATATGAAATAAAATATTTGTCTGATGTCCGGACCCTGATCTATTGAACTAATCAAGTAGGTGGACCTCATGCCAATTTAATTGGGGACCCCTGCTTTAGAATAATCAATATCTCATATATAAAAGTGGCACAAAGGAAACTTTGTGCAGCACAAACCGTGTCTGCGCGGCTGCAAAGAGACGCGCGTCTCCCGCTGTGCGTGCGGTGTGCAGGGGACGTGAGAAGAAGAAAACATTAATCTTACCTGTGGATAGGGTTGCCAACCGTCCCTTGAAAAACGGAATCGTCCCGTATTCAGAAACAAAAGCACCCGTCCCGTATTGAGCTGAAAAGGGACGCACTTTGTCCCGTTTTACTGTGAGTCAAAAGATTGTTGGTAAAGAGCCAAAGGAAAATGAATGACAGCGTGCGGTAGATGAGAAGCTGTGATAAATTTGTTCCTGGCGTCCAGTACTGCTCTTTGACCAATGAGGTGACAGCATATTTACACGTGAATAGAATACGCTCATCTCATTGGTTGAGCCTATTGTAGCTTGCAGCGAAGTTAGCGGAAGAAAACATAGCAGCATGGGTGACACAAATGCCAACACTGATCTTCTACCTGTGTGTGTAGAAGGAGGAGGAGGTCAGAGTGTGAGGAGGAGGAGGTCAGACTGTGAGGAGGAGGAGGAGGAGGATGTCAGAGTGTGAGGAGGAGGAGGAGGTCAAAGTGTGAGGAGGAGGAGGGGGTCAGAGTGTGAGGAGGAGGAGGAGGTCAGAGTGTGAGGAGGAGGTCAGAGTGTGAGGAGGAGGAGGAGGTCAGTGTGTGAGGAGGAGGTCAGAGTGTGAGGAGGAGGAGGGGGTCAGAGTGTGAGGAGGAGGTCAGAGTGTGAGGAGGAGGAGGTCAGAGTGTGAGGAGGAGGTCAGAGTGTGTGTAGAGGAGGAGGAGGTCAGAGTGTGAGGAGGAGGAGGAGGAGGTCAGAGTGTGTGTAGAGGAGGAGGAGGTCAGAGTGTGAGGAGGAGGAGGAGGTCAGAGTGTGTGTAGGAGGAGGAGGAGGTCAGAGTGTGAGGAGGAGGAGGAGGAGGTCAGAGTGTGTGTAGAGGAGGAGGAGGTCAGAGTGTGTGTAGAGGAGGAGGAGGTCAGAGTGTGTGTAGAGGAGGAGGAGGTCAGAGTGTGAGGAGGAGGAGGAGGTCAGAGTGTGTGTAGAGGAGGAGGAGGTCAGAGTGTGTGTAGAGGAGGAGGAGGTCAGAGTGTGTGTAGAGGAGGAGGAGGTCAGAGTGTGAGGAGGAGGAGGAGGTCAGAGTGTGAGGAGGAGGAGGAGGTCAGAGTGTGTGTAGAGGAGGAGGAGGTCAGAGTGTGAGGAGGAGGAGGAGGAGGTCAGAGTGTGTGTAGAGGAGGAGGAGGTCAGAGTGTGAGGAGGAGGAGGAGGTCAGAGTGTGTGTAGAGGAGGAGGAGGTCAGAGTGTGAGGAGGAGGAGGAGGTCAGAGTGTGTGTAGAGGAGGAGGAGGTCAGAGTGTGAGGAGGAGGAGGAGGTCAGAGTGTGAGGAGGAGGAGGGGGTCAGAGTGTGAGGAGGAGGAGGAGGTCAGAGTGTGAGGAGGAGGAGGGGGTCAGAGTGTGAGGAGGAGGAGGAGGTCAGAGTGTGAGGAGGAGGAGGAGGTCAGAGTGTGTGTAGGAGGAGGGGGTCAGAGTGTGTGGAGGAGGTCAGAGTGTGAGGAGGAGGAGGGGGTCAGAGTGTGAGGAGGAGGAGGGGGTCAGAGTGTGAGGAGGAGGAGGGGGTCAGAGTGTGAGGAGGAGGAGGGGGTCAGAGTGTGAGGAGGAGGAGGAGGTCAGAGTGTGAGAGGAGGAGGAGGTCAGAGTGTGAGGAGGAGGAGGGGGGTCAGAGTGTGTGGAGGAGGTCAGAGTGTGAGGAGGAGGAGGGGGTCAGAGTGTGAGGAGGAGGAGGGGGTCAGAGTGTGAGGAGGAGGAGGAGGTCAGAGTGTGAGGAGGAGGAGGGGGTCAGAGTGTGAGGAGGAGGTCAGAGTGTGAGGAGGAGGAGGAGGTCAGAGTGTGAGGAGGAGGAGGTCAGAGTGTGAGGAGGAGGAGGTCAGAGTGTGAGGAGGAGGTCAGAGTGTGAGGAGGAGGAGGTCAGAGTGTGAGGAGGAGGAGGTCAGAGTGTGTAGGAGGAGGAGGAGGTCAGAGTGTGAGGAGGAGGAGGAGGTCAGAGTGTGAGGAGGAGGGGGTCAGAGTGTGTGTAGGAGGAGGAGGAGGTCAGAGTGTGAGGAGGAGGAGGAGGTCAGAGTGTGTGTAGGAGGAGGAGGAGGTCAGAGTGTGAGGAGGAGGAGGAGGTCAGAGTGTGTGTAGGAGGAGGAGGAGGTCAGAGTGTGAGGAGGAGAAGGTCAGAGTGTGAGGAGGAGGAGGAGGTCAGAGTGTGTGTAGGAGGAGGAGGAGGTCAGAGTGTGAGGAGGAGGAGGAGGTCAGAGTGTGTGTAGGAGGAGGAGGAGGTCAGAGTGTGAGGAGGAGGAGGTCAGAGTGTGAGGAGGAGGAGGAGGTCAGAGTGTGTGTAGGAGGAGGAGGAGGTCAGAGTGTGAGGAGGAGGAGGTCAGAGTGTGAGGAGGAGGAGGAGGTCAGAGTGTGAGGAGGAGGAGGAGGGGGTCAGAGTGTGAGGAGGAGGAGGAGGTCAGAGTGTATGGAGGAGGAGGAGGAGGTCAGAGTGTGAGGAGGAGGAGGAGGAGGTCAGAGTGTGAGGAGGAGGAGGAGGTCAGAGTGTGAGGAGGAGGAGGGGGTCAGAGTGTGAGGAGGAGGTCAGTGTTTGAGGAGGAGGGTCAGAGTGTGAGGAGGAGGTCAGAGTGTGAGGAGGAGGTCAGAGTGTGAGGAGGAGGTCAGAGTGTGAGGAGGAGGAGGAGGTCAGAGTGTGAGGAGGAGGAGGAGGTCAGAGTGTGAGGAGGAGGAAGAGGTCAGAGTGTGAGGAGGAGGAGGAGGTCAGAGTGTGAGGAGGAGGAGGAGGTCAGAGTGTGAGGAGGAGGAGGGGGTCAGAGTGTGAGGAGGAGGTCAGAGTGTGAGGAGGAGGAGGTCAGAGTGTGAGGAGGAGGAGGAGGTCAGAGTGTGAGGAGGAGGGGGTCAGAGTGTGTGTAGGAGGAGGAGGAGGTCAGAGTGTGAGGAGGAGGAGGAGGTCAGAGTGTGTGTAGGAGGAGGAGGGGGTCAGAGTGTGTGGAGGAGGTCAGAGTGTGAGGAGGAGGAGGGGGTCAGAGTGTGAGGAGGAGGAGGTCAGAGTGTGAGGAGGAGGAGGAGGTCAGAGTGTGAGGAGGAGGTCAGAGTGTGAGGAGGAGGAGGAGGTCAGAGTGTGTGTAGGAGGAGGAGGGGGTCAGAGTGTGTGGAGGAGGTCAGAGTGTGAGGAGCAGGAGGGGGTCAGAGTGTGAGGAGGAGGAGGGGGTCAGAGTGTGAGGAGGAGGAGGGGGTCAGAGTGTGAGGAGGAGGAGGAGGTCAGAGTGTGAGGAGGAGGAGGAGGTCAGAGTGTGAGGAGGAGGAGGTCAGAGTGTGAGGAGGAGGAGGGGGTCAGAGTGTGTGGAGGAGGTCAGAGTGTGAGGAGGAGGAGGGGGTCAGAGTGTGAGGAGGAGGAGGGGGTCAGAGTGTGAGGAGGAGGAGGAGGTCAGAGTGTGAGGAGGAGGAGGGGGTCAGAGTGTGAGGAGGAGGTCAGAGTGTGAGGAGGAGGAGGTCAGAGTGTGAGGAGGAGGAGGTCAGAGTGTGAGGAGGAGGAGGTCAGAGTGTGAGGAGGAGGAGGAGGTCAGAGTGTGAAGAGGAGGTCAGAGTGTGAGGAGGAGGAGGTCAGAGTGTGAGGAGGTCAGAGTGTGTAGGAGGAGGAGGAGGTCAGAGTGTGAGGAGGAGGAGGAGGTCAGAGTGTGAGGAGGAGGGGGTCAGAGTGTGTGTAGGAGGAGGAGGAGGTCAGAGTGTGAGGAGGAGGAGGAGGTCAGAGTGTGTGTAGGAGGAGGAGGAGGTCAAAGTGTGAGAGGAGGAGGAGGAGGTCAGAGTGTGTGTAGGAGGAGGAGGAGGTCAGAGTGTGAGGAGGAGAAGGTCAGAGTGTGTGTAGAGGAGGAGGAGGTCAGAGTGTGAGGAGGAGGAGGTCAGAGTGTGAGGAGGAGGAGGAGGTCAGAGTGTGAGGAGGAGGAGGGGGTCAGAGTGTGAGGAGGAGGAGGAGGTCAGAGTGTATGGAGGAGGAGGAGGAGGTCAGAGTGTGAGGAGGAGGAGGTCAGAGTGTGAGGAGGAGGAGGAGGTCAGAGTGTGAGGAGGAGGAGGAGGTCAGAGTGTGAGGAGGAGGAGGGGGTCAGAGTGTGAGGAGGAGGAGGAGGAGGTCAGAGTGTGAGGAGGAGGTCAGAGTGTGAGGAGGAGGGGGAGGTCAGAGTGTGAGGAGGAGGTCAGAGTGTGAGGAGGAGGAGGAGGTCAGAGTGTGAGGAGGTCAGAGTGTGAGGAGGAGGAGGAGGTCAGAGTGTGAGGAGGAGGAGGAGGTCAGAGTGTGAGGAGGAGGAGGAGGTCAGAGTGTGAGGAGGAGGAGGAGGTCAGAGTGTGAGGAGGAGGAGGTCAGAGTGTGAGGAGGAGGAGGAGGTTAGAGTGTGAGGAGGAGGAGGAGGTCAGAGTGTGAGGAGGAGGAGGAGGGGGTCAGAGTGTGAGGAGGAGGTCAGAGTGTGAGGAGGAGGTCAGAGTGTGAGGAGGAGGTCAGAGTGTGAGGAGGAGGAGGAGGAGGTCAGAGTGTGAGGAGGAGGAGGTCAGAGTGTGAGGGGGAGGAGGTCAGAGTGTGAGGAGGAGGAGGAGGTCAGAGTGTGAGGAGGAGGAGGTCAGAGTTTGTGGAGGAGGAGGAGGTCAGAGTGTGAGGAGGAGGAGGAGGTCAGAGTGTGTAGAGGAGGAGGAGGTCAGAGTGTGAGGAGGAGGTCAGAGTGTGAGGAGGAGGAGGAGGTCAGAGTGTGAGGAGGAGGTCAGAGTGTGAGGAGGAGTTCAGAGTGTGAGGAGGAGGTCAGAGTGTGAGGAGGAGGAGGAGGTCAGAGTGTGAGGAGGAGGAGGAGGTCAGAGTGTGAGGAGGAGGAGGGGGTCAGAGTGTGAGGAGGAGGAGGGGGTCAGAGTGTGAGGAGGAGGAGGGGGTCAGAGTGTGAGGAGGAGGAGGAGGTCAGAGTGTGAGGAGGAGGTCAGAGTGTGAGGAGGAGGTCAGAGTGTGAGGAGGAGGAGGAGGTCAGAGTGTGAGGAGGAGGTCAGAGTGTGAGGAGGAGGTCAGAGTGTGAGGAGGAGGAGGAGGTCAGAGTGTGAGGAGGAGGAGGAGGTCAGAGTGTGAGGAGGAGGAGGGGGTCAGAGTGTGAGGAGGAGGTCAGAGTGTGAGGAGGAGGAGGAGGTCAGAGTGTGAGGAGGAGGAGGAGGTCAGAGTGTGAGGAGGAGGTCAGAGTGTGAGGAGGAGGTCAGAGTGTGAGGAGGAGGTCAGAGTGTGAGGAGGAGGAGGAGGTCAGAGTGTGAGGAGGAGGAGGAGGTCAGAGTGTGTGTAGGAGGAGGAGGAGGAGGTCAGAGTGTGAGGAGGAGGAGGAGGAGGTCAGAGTGTGAGGAGGAGGAGGGGGTCAGAGTGTGAGGAGGAGGAGGGGGTCAGAGTGTGAGGAGGAGGAGGGGGTCAGAGTGTGAGGAGGAGGAGGGGGTCAGAGTGTGAGGAGGAGGAGGAGGTCAGAGTGTGAGGAGGAGGTCAGAGTGTGAGGAGGAGGTCAGAGTGTGAGGAGGAGGAGGAGGAAGAGGTCAGAGTGTGAGGAGGAGGTCAGAGTGTGAGGAGGAGGAGGGTCAGAGTGTGAGGAGGAGGAGGAGGTCAGAGTGTGAGGAGGAGGAGGAGGTCAGAGTGTGAGGAGGAGGAGGGGGTCAGAGTGTGAGGAGGAGGAGGAGGTCAGAGTGTGAGGAGGAGGAGGAGGTCAGAGTGTGAGGAGGAGGAGGAGGTCAGAGTGTGAGGAGGAGGAGGAGGTCAGAGTGTGAGGAGGAGGAAGAGGTCAGAGTGTGAGGAGGAGGTCAGAGTGTGAGGAGGAGGTCAGAGTGTGAGGAGGAGGAGGAGGTCAGAGTGTGAGGAGGAGGAGGAGGTCAGAGTGTGAGGAGGAGGAGGAGGTCAGAGTGTGAGGAGGAGGAGGGGGTCAGAGTGTGAGGAGGAGGAGGAGGTCAGAGTGTGAGGAGGAGGAGGAGGTCAGAGTGTGAGGAGGAGGAGGAGGAGGTCAGAGTGTGGATCTCCTGATCCTCCACAATCATCATGTGTTGCAGCCTCTGCTCTGAGAGTTTGGGAGAGGTTTGTGTTGTGTAGAAATAAACAAAGTACATTGCTGTTATGTGTGAATTATACACATCTATATTTAGATTGTATTCATTTTATTTTCTTCAAATAGTTCTTACTACTATAGTCGTTGTTTAAGGTTGAAGCTTGAATGGATTTATATGAAATAAAATATTTGTCTGATGTCTGGACCCTGATCTATTGAACTAATCAAGTAGGTGGACCTCATGCCAATTTAATTGGGGACCCCTGCTTTAGAATAATCAATATCTCATATATAAAAGTGGCACAAAGGAAACTTTGTGCAGCACAAACCGTGTCTGCGCGGCTGCAAAGAGACGCGCGTCTCCCGCTGTGCGTGCGGTGTGCAGGGGACGTGAGAAGAAGAAAACATTAATCTTACCTGTGGATAGGGTTGCCAACCGTCCCTTGAAAAACGGAATCGTCCCGTATTCAGAAACAAAAGCACCCGTCCCGTATTGAGCTGAAAAGGGACGCACTTTGTCCCGTTTTACTGTGAGTCAAAAGATTGTTGGTAAAGAGCCAAAGGAAAATGAATGACAGCGTGCGGTAGATGAGAAGCTGTGATAAATTTGTTCCTGGCATCCAGTACTGCTCTTTGACCAATGAGGTGACAGCATATTTACACGTGAATAGAATACGCTCATCTCATTGGTTGAGCCTATTGTAGCTTGCAGCGAAGTTAGCGGAAGAAAACATAGCAGCATGGGTGACACAAATGCCAACACTGATCTTCTACCTGTGTGTGTAGAAGGAGGAGGAGGTCAGAGTGTGAGGAGGAGGAGGTCAGACTGTGAGGAGGAGGAGGAGGAGGATGTCAGAGTGTGAGGAGGAGGAGGAGGTCAGAGTGTGAGGAGGAGGAGGAGGTCAGAGTGTGAGGAGGAGGAGGGGGGTCAGAGTGTGAGGAGGAGGAGGGGGTCAGAGTGTGAGGAGGAGGAGGAGGTCAGAGTGTGAGGAGGAGGAGGAGGTCAGAGTGTGAGGAGGAGGAGGAGGTCAGAGTGTGAGGAGGAGGAGGGGGTCAGAGTGTGAGGAGGAGGTCAGAGTGTGAGGAGGAGGAGGTCAGAGTGTGAGGAGGAGGAGGTCAGAGTGTGAGGAGGAGGTCAGAGTGTGTGTAGAGGAGGAGGAGGTCAGAGTGTGAGGAGGAGGAGGAGGAGGTCAGAGTGTGTGTAGAGGAGGAGGAGGTCAGAGTGTGAGGAGGAGGAGGAGGTCAGAGTGTGTGTAGGAGGAGGAGGAGGTCAGAGTGTGGAGGGAGGAGGAGGAGGAGGTCAGAGTGTGTGTAGAGGAGGAGGAGGTCAGAGTGTGTGTAGAGGAGGAGGAGGTCAGAGTGTGTGTAGAGGAGGAGGAGGTCAGAGTGTGTGTGTGTAGAGGAGGAGGAGGTCAGAGTGTGAGGAGGAGGAGAAGGTCAGAGTGTGTGTAGAGGAGGAGGAGGTCAGAGTGTGTGTAGAGGAGGAGGAGGTCAGAGTGTGTGTAGAGGAGGAGGAGGTCAGAGTGTGTGTAGAGGAGGAGGAGGTCAGAGTGTGAGGAGGAGGAGGTCAGAGTGTGAGGAGGAGGAGGAGGTCAGAGTGTGAGGAGGAGGAGGTCAGAGTGTGAGGAGGAGGAGGTCAGAGTGTGTGTAGAGGAGGAGGAGGAGGTCAGAGTGTGAGGAGGAGGAGGTCAGAGTGTGTGTAGAGGAGGAGGAGGTCAGAGTGTGAGGAGGAGGAGGAGGTTAGAGTGTGAAGAGGAGGTCAGAGTGTGAGGAAGAGGTCAGAATGTGTGTAGAGGAGGAGGCGGTCAGAGTGTGAGGAGGAGGAGGAGGTCAGAGTGTGTGTAGAGGAGGAGGAGGTCCAGAGTGTGCAGAGTGTGAGGAGGTCAGAGTGTGAGGAGGAGGAGGAGGGTCAGAGTGTGAGGAGGAGGAGGGGGTCAGAGTGTGAGGAGGAGGAGGGGAGGTCAGAGTGTGTGTAGGAGGAGGAGGGGTCAGAGTTTGAGAGGAGGAGAGGGTGAGTGTGAGGAGGAGGAGGGGTCAGAGTGTGAGGAGGAGGAGGAGGTCAGAGTGTGAGGAGGAGGAGGTCAGAGTGTGTGTGAGTGTGAGGAGGAGGAGGTCAGAGTGTGAGGAGGAGGAGGAGGTCAGAGAGTGTGTGAGGAGGAGGAGGAGGTCAGAGTGTGAGGAGGAGGAGTCAGAGTGTGAGGAGGAGGAGGTAAGGCAGAGTGTGAGGAGGAGGAGGAGGTCAGAGTGTGAGGAGGAGGTCAGAGTGTGAGGAGGAGGAGGTCAGAGTGTGAGGAGGAGAGGAGGTCAGAGTGTGTAGGAGGAGGAGGAGGTCAGAGTGTGAGGAGGAGGAGGAGGTCAGAGTGTGAGGAGGAGGGGGTCAGAGTGTGTGTGTGAGGAGGAGGAGGAGGTCAGAGTGTGAGGAGGAGGAGGAGGTCAGAGTGTGTGTAGGAGGAGGAGGAGGTCAGAGTGTGAGTGAGGAGGAGGAGGTCAGAGTGTTAGGTAGGAGGAGAGGTCAGGAGGAGAGTCAGAGTGTGAGGAGGAGGAGGAGGTCAGAGTGTGTAGGAGGAGGAGGAGGTCAGAGTGTGAGGAGGAGGGAGGTCAGAGTGTGAGGAGGAGGAGGAGGTCAGAGTGTGAGGAGGAGGAGGAGGTCAGAGTGTGAGGAGGAGGAGGAGGTCAGAGTGTGAGGAGGAGGAGGAGGAGGTCAGAGTGTGAGGAGGAGGAGGTCAGAGTGTGAGGAGGAGGAGGTCAGAGTGTGAGGAGGAGGAGGAGGTCAGAGTGTGGGGAGGAGGAGGAGGTCAGAGTGTGAGGAGGAGGTCGAGTGTGAGGAGGAGGAGGTCAGAGTGTGAGGAGGAGGAGGAGGGGTCAGAGTGTGAGGAGAGGAGGAGGAGGTCAGAGTGTGGTGAGGAGGAGGAGGAGGAGGTCAGAGTGTGAGGAGGAGGAGGAGGTCAGAGTGTGGAGAGGAGGAGGAGAGTGTGGGAGGGGAGGAGGTCAGAGTGTGAGGAGGAGGAGGAGGTCAGAGTGTGGGAGGAGGAGGAGGTCAGAGTGTGAGGAGGAGGAGGAGGTCAGAGTGTGAGGAGAGGAGGTGGAGGTCAGAGTTGTGTGGAGGAGGAGGAGGTCAGAGTGTGAGGAGGAGGAGGAGGGTCAGAGTGTGTGGAGGAGGAGGAGGAGGTCAGAGTGTGTGGAGGAGGAGGAGGAGGTCAGAGTGTGAGGAGGAGGAGGAGGTCAGAGTGTGAGGAGGAGGAGGAGGTCAGAGTGTGGAGGAGGAGGAGGAGGTCAGAGTGTGAGGAGGAGGAGGAGGTCAGAGTGTGTGGAGGAGGAGGAGGTCAGAGTGTGGAGGAGGAGGAGGAGGTGTGAGGTGGAGGAGGAGGTCAGAGTGTGAGGAGGAGGAGGAGGTCAGAGTGTGAGGAGGAGGAGGAGGAGGTCAGAGTGTGGTGGAGGAGGGAGGTCAGAGTGTGAGGAGGAGAGTCAGAGTGTGGAGGAGGAGGAGGTCAGAGTGTGAGGAGGGAGGTCAGAGTGTGAGGAGGAGGAGGGAGGTCAGAGTGTGAGAGGAGGAGGAGGTAGAGTGTGGGTCAGAGTGTGAGGAGGGGAGGAGGAGGTCAGAGTGTGACAGGAGGAGGAGGTCAGAGTGAGGAGGAGGAGAGGTCGATGTGAGGAGGAGAGAGGAGGGGTCAGAGTGTGAGGAGGAGGAGGAGGTCAGAGTGTGGAGGAGGAGGAGGAGGTCAGAGTGTGAGGAGGAGGAGGAGAGGTCAGAGTGTGTGGAGGAGGAGGAGGGTCAGAGTGTGTGAGGAGGAGGAGGAGGTCAGAGTGTGAGGAGGAGGAGGAGAGGTCAGAGTGTGGAGGAGGAGGAGGAGGTCAGAGTGTGAGGAGGAGGAGGAGGTCAGAGGTCAGAGTGTGTAGAGGAGGAGGAGGTCAGAGTGTAGAGGAGGAGGAGGTCAGAGTGTGTGTAGGAGGAGGAGGAGGAGGAGGTCAGAGTGTGTGTAGAGGAGGAGGAGGAGAGTGTGTGTAGAGGAGGAGGAGGTCAGAGTGTGTGTAGAGGAGGAGGAGGTCAGAGTGTGTGTAGAGGAGGAGGAGGTCAGAGTGTGTGTAGAGGAGGAGGAGGTCAGAGTGTGTGTAGAGGAGGAGGAGGTCAGAGTGTGTGTAGAGGAGGAGGAGGTCAGAGTGTGTGTAGAGGAGGAGGAGGTCAGAGTTTGTAGGGAGGAGGAGGTCAGTGTGTGTAGAGGAGGAGGAGGTCAGAGTGTGTGTAGAGGAGGAGGAGGTCAGAGTGTGTGTAGAGGAGGAGGAGGTCAGAGTGTGTGTAGAGGAGGAGGAGGTCAGAGTGTGTGTAGAGGAGGAGGAGGTCAGAGTGTGTGTAGAGGAGGAGGAGGTCAGAGTGTGTGTAGAGGAGGAGGAGGTCAGAGTGTGTGTAGAGGAGGAGGAGGTCAGAGTGTGTGTAGAGGAGGAGGAGGTCAGAGTGTGTGTA